AAGCGGATCAAAACGGAGAACATCTCTCATACATCGATCCGCAGTGGGCGCGGCATCAACCCCCCCCTTCCCCCCCCCAAGCCAGTTGGCCTGGTATTTCCACAATTGCGACCAGACAGAACAAACAGTTTGTCAAGAGGTGTGTTGTCGATCACTTCGCTTTCATCCCTGCTCCTTTCAACCTGAACGATCATTCCTTAGCTCTGTTAAGATGATCGTTTAGACTTCCTGTTTCTCGTTTTCTATTTTTTGGTTTTTCTTTTTCCATTCCTTTTTTTTTATTTTCCCGTGCTTGCTAGGGTTCTTTTCCCCCTCTCCCTTTCCATTTTTCAGTTTCCATTTTTTTTTTCTTTTCTCTTTGCAACCCCCTCCCCAGGCTGCTATCCTTCATATCATAGGGCGAGATCCAAGGAGTCCGGCATAACTCCGTACTCTGTCCACCACTCAGACGCGGACTTGGCCATCTCGAGACGAGTATGGGGTCAGTCAGCTGCATCACTTAGGTTCCAACAGCCTGCCGATGTCCAGGCAGTAATTGATGTTTCGTCTTATTCCCCACGCCAATCCCAAATGCAGAACCCGAAGCACGAACTGAAGCACGGCTGGATTGCCGAATCCAGCAAGAGGAGCCTATCACTCCAGCATGGCATGATTTCTCTTTAGGCAGTGTAGATAGAGGGCAGAGGAAGTGGAAATCAAGCAAAGCAGGTAACCCATGCAAGTATGACCTCATGCAGGAATGGCCCTTGTGGTGTTTGCTTGATGCCGGCCGGAAGGTCCTTATGGTAAGGCGGGTGGAAAGTTTGGTGTTATTATAGTCGGGAACCACTATTATCCCTCCTGATCCGTGCCACGGTACTTTAATGTCTATCCAGGGCCATATATCCGACATTGGCTCTGCTAAAACATGGAAAGTGGAACAGCGCAGGCGGACGCGTAGCCAGTCTGTTTCTAGATTTTTCCTTTGCCAGCGGCAGGAATTATCCGAGGGGCATTGGGGTACGTACGTGCTTAATGCTGGCGACTATGACTCTCGATAAGGTTCCTAGCCAGGCTTGGCCCAGCTGTCACGGCGTGCGATCCCGTCTGCTTGAAACGTACGGAGTATTCCGGACAGGGGAGAATAATCAATTTAATTATCACGTCCTACACCAGGAGGCACGAACAAAATCAAGCAGCATCAAAAAAGGGAACAAATTCTTCTTCTTCTTTTTTTTTTTTTTTGAAATACCAGTAAAGCAAAAAAGAATGGAAAATGAAAATTGGCACGAAAAGGTTAAAAAACGAAAAGAGAAACCAAAAGACAATACGAAGCCCGGCCACTCCACGATCTGCTCCTTTGATTATCTCGCGATCCTGGCCATCCTGGGCGGCTACAACCGTCGTTAATTTGGCTTCCTCTCCTGACTGGATCGCTTCTTTCTTTCGTCACTGCAGTGTCATCGCACGGGCAGAGGGCCTGGCAGACCCTAGCTTATAGACCGTTAACCGCGATCTTACGCCACGTAAAGTGCATGATATCTCAGCCTCTCGGCCTCAATTTCCTCCACTACCCGGACATCCTTTCACCGGGGATACAGTGAGTAGGGATTCTACATGCATCTCAGGGGATGTCAAAGCAAACAAACATAACGCCACCTAGGCAGACGGCGGTACTTCCGACAGATCTCGATTCACTTCCGACTAGACACCTGTCTCCGGAGGACACAGGACAGAGTTAGTCATCGGAAGCGGGTTTCCCTTTATCGAGTCCCTGTGAAGAAACACCGCTACCAGAAAGCAGACCAGGTCACTTTCCTGCTCGAAGGGCCAATCTTGAGCCAGTCAGAGGCCTACGCCGATATTGACGACCACGGATGATATACCATTTTGTGCCAGGGCTCCGAAGCACGGGCAACCCGGGCCGAATCCGAGCCAGATATCATGTCATCTCATGCATTGCCACGATCTCTCCGGCCGATTGTGTGTCTTGGCTTCCAGACCAAGCATGCTTGGCAACGGTAGTCAAGCATACGGGCGACATGAACCTGCCCTTTTAGTTCAACGGTCGTCGGACTCATCGTCAGTCAGCGGATTTCCTTTCCCTTCATCCACCCGGTGGACCCAGCAGAGGGAGGCCCGGCCACTGGCGCAATTTCAGCCGAGGGTCGATATCGACTTAGTTCAGACTACCTGACAAGCCGAGGAAGCTGTTCGTCTGCTAATCCGTTAGTTCATACCTAGCACTGTCCACGTCCTTGCCTACCGGCTTATCTCCGCGCCAACGCTCTGGCAGGGGTAGCATCGACCCATGCTGGGTATCTTTTTCGCACCCAGACCCCTGATCGGTTTGGTCAATTATCGACGAATCACGGATACGACTTGGGGAGAATCATGAGTTGACTGGTCGGGGGGTCGTCAAGCTCGTGACTTAGCACCGGACTTGGTCTTACTAAATAGATTAATGTGCTCTATTCTGCGCCAATGAATCTCAACAGTTTCGAGCAACGTGCTTGTCATTTTGGCCCCAACTTAGTGGGGTGTTCTGCATCCAAGGGGGCCGTCCAAATTGTCACCACCCTCTGTTGATGGTTCCCCTCTCTTAACACGGTCTGGTATTGCTTAAGGTGAGATTCCGAGACTTTCGTGAGCCACACGCGTCGGAAAGCACTTCCGCCAGTCCGGGAACTAAACGAATCGCAGAGCCACGGTGACAATTGGCCATGGGTATAGCTTTATCTATCATGACGTCGGTAATTATCTTCGGACAAATCCCGTTGGATTCATAGCCTGCGTGCAACTCTATGCTTCTGCTTCTGGTCCTCGAGCCGAGTTCTGACCGTTATATTGCTTAGTCGATGCGCCACAAGCATCAGGGGCGGATTCTTCCGCAGGGGCCAAGCTCACGTCGTACGGCAGGGGGTCCGATGGTGTTTGATGACAGACTAGAAGACCAAGAAAGGGGGATGTGGCTGAACGGCACACGGATCGATAAGAGGGATCTGCGACCGTTGGAGTCGATCAGCCGGCGGCATATGAAGCTGGCCGCCATTACGGAGTAGTTAGGATTAAGTTCAACGCTCAGGGATCGATCGACCGTGGGAGGCCTAACGCTGAGATGCAGAGGATGTACCAGAATAAGCAACGTTGGCATTGAGTGGCTGGCTCGGTGTCTCGTTGTTTGCTGGTATCTGTATCTGTCATGGATCTGTAGGACAGTTGATCTCAGCGTGCGCGTGTAGTTCAAAAGGCTGCCTGCCCTGGGACGAGATTTACCAAGACAAGTGTCTGTCCCTGGCAGGGTGCTCCAATCTGGTGTCAAACATATGCCATCGAGGCTGAAGAATGCTGCTGTCACCTGATCGCAGGTGTTCACTTGCGAGGACTTGCTCGGCGGAACTCTCCTCAAATACCCACCCAGTCCCGTTGCTTGAACAGGAGGCTTCAGGCATTGCTACGAAGCAGAAAAGACCTCAGAAAACACGTCAATAGTGACATGCTTCTTTTGAATCTTAGTGCGCTTAGCCAGGGACCGGACTTCCTGAAAGTCCGACTTTCTTTTCTTGCTACTGTCACAGACCCTGGATGCTGTTATCGTTAGGCAGGATTATCTGCTGGTAAGTTCTACTTTGCTCCGCATCTTCTATGGCAGACTAGCGCTGATGGGGATAAAGTGCGTTAGTGACCCTGCTGTCGTGAACTCTACAACCGAACGCACCGCAGTATCCTGGCAGATATGATGACCATCTTCCAAGATTCGACGCTTGTTGCGTTGACAGACGTCTCTAAAGATAGGATCGACTGCATGGATTCGAGGTGAGTGAGCTTACTAGGTAATTCTGTGTCTAATGTTTTGCTCTTTGCAGCAACCGGAAGTATTCGGCTTGTCTCGCGACCATCGAAAGACTTTCTGCCATACAATGCTGCTTCAAGCAGACTGCGATTAAACAGGACCGGCGGTACTTCACGCAACTTGCATTGATCGATGCAGTTACCCTCCGATCTGCCCTCGTACTTTGGGCTCTCATCACCCTCGACAAATTTCACTGTCTCCGGACTAAGCTCCGCACCCCTAACCAAAAAGGGGCGCTAGCGGCTAGAACTTCGCTCATATGTTTACAGCCGAGTAAAGACTGTGCAGCAAGTCAAACCGAGCCATTGCTAGTGAGTACATGCAGCCATAGCTGTATAGCGCCGCGAAGCAGCAGCTGCATCTGCGGTGTTCGAGTCTACGTGTCATGAAATACCATCTTGCAGGACAACTCAGCCCACGCAACGCTAATCCAAGCCATAACCATTTCTGGAAAGACTAACCGGGCCTGTAAAGCACGGTCTTTATACCCTAGTGCGGGGGTACTATATGACCCTGACGATAAGTACAATACACATCTTCCATCATTTCCGACTGGGGCTCTGCATGCTCCAACAATATATTACGCTGCATCCTGGTCCAAAGCTGTTAGCAGATGCATTGTGATAAGCCCACCGGCTTGTGTGTTTGCAGTGGTGCCGTAGGCTGCCACTTTCTGACTCCTCATCTGGAGGCTTCTGGGCCAATCTAGTTCACAGAGGCTCTAGGACCGTGCGCGAGATAAGACTGACTGGTCAACAGCGATCTACACGTGAAAGTCTTAGTCACGCATCTCGACGATCCGTCTTCATGCGATCAGCGGTGTATTCAGTAGTCGGATCACATCATATAGCGTGATATGCAAAGGGTATTCTAATAGCCACCTTTATGCATCAGATCAGACAATAAGCTGGCACGTGTCTGATGCATGACCACGCGGTACTGCAGTAGGGAAACCAACTGTGGAAGCGGAAATTGCATTCATCCCGGCATCTGAATGAGACCTCATACCAGGGCAGCTGCAGAGTTGCCAAATTATAGCGCTGCTTCTTGTACTGAGACAAGGTGGTACTGACATTGTTTATGACCGAAAATAGAACGAGTATGGGGGTGAGCTATTGTATGGGACATATGGGTTCTTGTGCAATTCAATAGACATGTTACGGTGCGTAGCACCTCTCATCAACTAGCCAGCTCTATCCTGACCATGCCCAGCAAGTACAACATCAACAACCAGACGAACTCCCCAACCCAACCCCCTAACACCCCTGAATCCAACTATCCAGAACCAGATTCTTCATGACAGTCGAAAACAGCCTCGAATCACGAAACACACACGCCTCTCTCCTCTCCTCCTCCCCCACGGGACTCTGATCACTACTACTCCCCTTGGGATACTCAATATGAAAAACGGGCTTCCCCGCCTTCCCAAACGCCGTGTAGGCCCCACACTCGGCCAACCTGGCACACTCCTCGTTCACAGACCACTGCATATTCCTCAACACCTGGCGAATCATCCCATTGGCATTCTTCAACCCGATCGCCAACCCGCGAGTGTGCGCCTCCCCCGCCAACCAATTCACATACTCGACCGCATTCTCCTTACTCAACTCAAACCCACTTTCCGCCGCATACCCATCCACATTATCCGGATCCACCCCGTCGCAGCCCATCGCCGCCGCGCGATCCAATCGAGCGCTCATGATCCGACGCACGTTCGCGGACCGGATATCTAGCCATCGCTCGTTGCGCCAGTCGTCGAGCGGGTTGCCCTTGTCCGAGTCGAGGAACTGGTCGCTGTCTGGACGGTTTCGTTCGAAGCTTCCGGCGGAGAGATAGCAGATGGCTTTGTGGTTGAGGGTGTGGAGACGATCGATGGTGGATTTGTTGTTGATGAAGAGGTCGATGTCGTAGACGAGGTAATCGGGCTTGATGGCGTGGGGGGAGAGGGGCTCGGTCAGGATGATTTGCCAGGTTGTCCCCACGGCGGGTTGCCAGATTGCGGTGGTGGAGGTAAGGAGGGAGAAGATGATGAGGAGGAGTGTGAGGGTATACATCTTGTCTTTCTTCTGTCTTGGAGACGTTACCGTAGATGCGCGTGTCAGTGTGATAGATGAGATAGATGAGATGTGTAGAATGAGAACCACCCAACCCAACACCCCAACCCAGAATATATACGAGCCATCCAACCCAATGAATAACCCACCCATCCCGCATATCCCCGTGAATCCAAGGCACACATCCGATGTATTCACGAGGTGGTGCAGTCCAGACCTCACCGACCCATCCCGTTTTCACAGGGTGATGAATCAGTGAAAGAAGGCATTAATCCTGGCACGTCGCATTCTTCAATCCAATCTGGAGTGGTAACTCCCCATTCCCCTGATTTCATCGCAGCTCATTTTATATGAGACGTTTCTGTATCACGTATGCGATCCACGTGGGAGGGGTGGTGATACAGGATACCTTAATTTCCCATACTACCAATTATTTAGAGGTAGGGTGGGGGATAGGTTGATGTGTCTGGTGCTAGTGGTAGGAGGGATTATCCTTTCATCATATCCATGCCATATCATATCCTATGCTATATCTCATGAAACATGAAACATAGATAGATATACTTGTATCAATGCACTTATCACTAAGGTATATGTTGTATGTTACACAATATTGTTGTTTTCAGTCGTGTAATACCCAAGTGATGGTAGTGATGGGTATGAGTATGGTGGAGGATATGTTTGTTTCACTTCTTCTTTCCAAGGGTATATCTCCCGGTATTGGTATTCGACGTATCCATTCCTTTGTAGGTTGATAATCAATGGGATAGACGGTATCGTATAGTATAGATAATACCAGATCGAATCGAATAGCATACCCTGAGATAGGTATAGGTATGTATCTCATCCCATGCCGGATTGGTTCATTGGTGAATGGGATATCATATCCAAGGTATGGAGGTAAAGATGAAGAATACGAAATAACAGCACCCCATCAACCACACCCTCCAGAGTAGATAATCCCGTGAAGTAAACACCTAAATATGGCGTCCTCAATCGTAATGAAAAGACCCATCACAGATATAGAAGAAGTGAGTGAGATACTACTCCGTATGTGATCTGAATGTGAACAAGTATAGCACCACCTATCATTCCAGATATGAGATCATCCCAATATCATAGTTGGATACATCCCAACCAAGTATAGGGAATCTCATCATGAATAGAAAGTAAGGAAACCCGTAGGTTTGTATGAATGGGTTTTGTGTGTGTGTGTGTGTGTGAAGTGGATCCTTCTGTAGACGTATGGAGGGGATATTGTGGTTGAGTGTGTTGAGTCCATTCCTTGGAGGAAATTCCATGAAGGAATTAGAGAGGTATACCTCATCGTATATGGTAGTTGTTTAGTGCGTGTCATAGATGATCTTGATACATCGATTGCCACGGAGATAGGGAATAGAGTATAAAGTAGTATATAGAACACCCTATTCTATTCCATGTTCCAACCATTTGTAGAAGTATAGTATGAACCAATATAAACACCAAGTGAGTGAAATTCACAATGAGGATGAGGGACAATGAAGCTTGACAAGATCCAGAGACAGATAACTTCGTGAAGAGATGCAGAAATAGAAGGCGGTCAGTGGGCAGACAGGCCAATTTATAGGCAGAGAGGATTAGGCTCCAGTCCTTGGGGAAGAGTTTTCATGATGATTCACGAGGAGAGGGGAATGGGGATGGGAGTGACGTGATTTGGAGTGGGTAATGAGGGGATTCACAGCTTGGTGAAAGAATAGAGTTGGGTACTTGAGGTGAAGGAAATGTTCATAGTGAGGTTCCCTCTACTTCGGAGAGATATGAATGAGAAGGTTTGATAGGTAGATGAACTCAGCCACTGTCATCCAGAGTAAATACTCGTAGAACAACAGCCAAACATCCCATCTATACGGGGCATCCCACCCTCACATGTACTTTCACTCCATAGCTACTACAACTCAGCTATCTCCAGTAAACTAGAATCCCAGACCACTTGGCTTAAACCATCCCTTCCAGAGAACAGTGTACTACGAACCTGATTCATACCCCCGAGTCATATGAGGGTCCAATCCTTACCCACATAGTAGACTCTTTTTTCCATATGAAGTAAAGATCTGCAGTGTATCTCCACCCTACACTATACACAGTACACGGAGTAGATAGATACACTGGTCCGATTGCTAAGCAAGGACGATTATCTGTTTTTGGACCTGATTTTTCTCACGTCTTACAGTTGGCGCTGTACGTAACTCCGAGCTGAGCCTCTCAGATACTCAAACTGGAACACGCTGCAACCTGCAAGGGTGCCATGCAGTTCATACGTCCAAGATTTGAAGGTGTGATTATTGATTACAATTTGGACCCAGTGTACGCCATAGCAACTTCCCACAGAGCTAAATTCAACTAAGAGCTAAGTCCCTTAGTGCTTACTGCTGATCCACATCTTCAAAATCTTCTGGGTATCTATCCACTTGCAGACTTCAGACATGACAGCTGCCCCCACAGGTGCGCTAGCCACATTACCACGTACCATACGGGGGTTTCTGGAATATGGCACATACGATACCGGTATGAGTACTAATACTGGGACTGGTATGCTACAAGGGTATAGCTGCTGATCGATTCATGTGTTTCAGTAATTAGCAATACTCCTTCTATATACGGGATCCCTTCCGGACATTCAGCACCATCTCGATATGCTCCCTCGCCAGTGGTACATTATCCTGCTTGGACAACAAACGAGCCGTTTTAACCGTATTCTTGATCTGCCTGCCATTCATCTCAATGGCTGCCAGAGACTCCAAGTCCGCCTCGCTCAGTCGACTATCTAGTTCTCCCATTCGAGTAAAGGTCTTCCATATGTGGAGCCGACTCGCCGCACCCAAAGAGGGGTAATGAATGGTGAGATGAATGCGCGACTCGAATGCCGGGTCAAAATCACTGACGCGGTTACTGGTGAGAAACATCACCCCCCGATAATATTCCAGTTGCCTGAGGAAGACTGGGACGGAGGTATGGACTTTTAGTGGGCTTGACACCTTGACAGGAGCGGAAACAACTTACCGGAGACCAGTCGGTTGCGACGCAGATCCGCAGCGGAACGAGCTTCGAGGAACATGTCGCACTCGTCCAACAGCAAGATAGCATTCCATGTACTGGTCAGCTGGAGTACTTGTTCAAGTGATTCCTCTACTTCCGAAGCGGTCTCTCCGAGTTCGCTCGCACCCATTAAGTACAATGGCTGACGCATCTCCTCGGCAACTGGGGGAAGTTGAGTCAGTAAAAATTTGCGGTTGTTCAAGCTATCCAGTGGGGATAACTGTACCCGATTCCGCTGTCAGTGTCTTTCCAACTCCAGGTTCTCCCGCGAGTAACATGATGAAGCCCAGACCTGTGGTAGTATTATTAGCCACTTTCTGGTGTCACGATCATCCGGCGATTGGGGTATTTATGTTCACCTTTGCCGTAGACAATATCATCAAACTTGTCATCTCGGGCCAGTTGTTCGTGTACAAAGGCGCGGATAATTTCCTTGTAACCATGGGAAAGAACAAGCCGAGAGAAAGCGTCCTTGCTCCAGCGAATGGGACCGACGTTGTCCACGTCGAACTCGGCTAAGAAACGAAAGTTCGGGTTACCAGAGAAACTTGATATTAGAAAAGCAAAAAAATCGCGCTCACCCCATGTTTTGAAAGATAGGCAGTAGCCGCGAACGACGTGGTTGCAGAGCAACCTCAAATTTGGACTCAAGTTTTGATCTGTTGTAGATATGAGGACTGATCCATGGAGCCGTGGGTGGGATGTGTGGTAGGCTTACGAGCACTGGACGGGCTGTCCCTGCTACATCTGATGTGCTTTCCCAAGGCATTCTGGTATTCCTGATACGCATGACTCGTCGCTCTGAAAACAACATTAGGCACGTCAAAGAGCGAGTCATCGACGGCTGAAATTGTGACAGAGTCCGGCTCCGCCTGGATCGACCCGAGGCCAGGCCCCGGTGTGCCATACAGGCTGAACATATGCGGATCAATGATTATGCGACTGTTGTCAACCTAACCGAGCGACGAGATCAGTATTAGCGCCCTGCAACCAGCGCGGGACAGCCCCCTGAGCAACTTACATGGCGCTTGCGGATCTGTCGTGACGACCTGGCCGTGTAAAACCCTGAGTACGACATATGGTGGAAGCCGTTGAGCTGCTCGAACTTCTCACCCCGGGCATGCAGTCGATCGACCAGATCTTTCACGTCGGGATGAAGATGGCTGGGGAATGCGATCAGATCGACGAGTCTCCTGACACCGTCGAATTTGTCAATATCGAGGGAGGTGGAGACGTAGCCGAACCTGGACCCGTCGCAGTCAATATAGCGACAATCCAGTGTGAAGAACTCCCCGCCCATATTGGCCCCATACCGACTCTCGGTCACCTCCATCAGACGGGGTTGCCCATTCAAGTGGGTGAAGATTTCCATTCCGGGACCGAAGATCGTCCACAGGTAGTCAAAGCTCATCACCTTGTTTTTGACCAGGTCCCGCATCGCCTCGATGTACGGCACAATCTCCTCACGAAGAATGGGATACAGGAGGTTGAGATGATGCCCAACTTCCGGGTCCAGCTCCTCCTGACAGAGCTTCTCGAAGCGATGCCATCGATAGTAGAAGGGATGAAATGGCGCCTTGAATACCAGATCTTTCAGCTGAGTGTTCAGACCCTCAAATCCTTGAAACGTCCGTTCCAGTACTTTCTTGATCAGGGGGCTTTGAATGGTAATCGAATGTAGGGCGATCTGGTGGGTGATGAGATGGGGTTCGCGGCGCACAATCACAGCGAATTCCTGGGCCAAGGAGCCGGCTTCGGCTTCAGTCGCAGACGGCTTCGGTACAGACTCGTTCCACACCGATCGGTCGTCCGGTCGGTAGAGCTGCTGGACCTCCGCTCTCATTCCGCGCCCATAATCCGGGGTGTACCCAGGATTGACGCTCATCTCGGACTGTCAATGCGTCAGTGTTCTGCTTCCTGCCTCCTGCCTTTGGACTCAATGAATGACAGTCAAGACATACCAGGTCGCTGCTGGAAGAGGCACCACTCCGGTGGTAAGCAAGAGAACTCCCGCCGTCCGACATGGCGATGATCACGGAGTGAAGGTCGCAGTGTTTCGCGGTTTGCGCTTGGAATCAATCAATCGAGTGGTCAGCAGTAATAGATTCTATCTAGGACGATTCTGCGTCGTAAAGTAAGGGTAAAAGACGAGTGGAGCGTATCGCAACCAGACTTCCAGTGCATGTCTCTCAAGATTCTAGCTTCTAATGTTCCGACGCTTGTCAATCACAAGGCGTGACTGATCTGTGGATACACACAACCGCCTGATCGTCCGGGAAACGATCTACCAAAACCGCCCGCTTTCAACGGAACTGACGGGCGAGTGGGTCGGCCCCCAAATACGACGCTGAAGACGAAATTTTACAACTTCACATGTCAAAAAATACGTCGAACACCTACAAAGATGATACAGCCTTGTGTGAATCCAAGCTAGTCTTGAAACCCTGGGCTGATGAGCTCCCGAAGATTGTATATGAATGATGATGAACAAGCACTATAGTTCTCTTGCTGATACTTGTGTGAATGGGATCGTATTTCTTTCGTAAATAGTGGAAGTCGTTACTATTCCAGGCCCGATGAGACCTCGTTATTGGGATTTCCAGGTTCAAAATGTGATACCCGAGATGTTCTACAGTAGCGCGCACGTTCGGCATAGTGCTTTTGTTTGCATGTCTCAGTTAGCTGTCTTCTAAGACTAGCGCGTACCCGTATAGAAACGCTTCGCGCTTCCTGATTCTCGCAACCTTGGCTGCTTCCACTAGATTCATCTTCCCTGATATCATCAAAGGAACGGCTTCCACAACTACTCAGAACTGGGGGAGCATTTAGTGGGGGACTCTCGACGCCAGGAAGGCTTTGATTTTGGCGACCTCTGCCACTGATTGTTCTTTGGCACGGCCCGTCACAGCCTTCAGCTCGTGCGTCGCTTCCTGGCTGGCAGAGATCGATTTCAGGACCACGACGGCCACCAGTCTGGACGTGAAGACGCCCGTGGAGGGCAAAATGACCATGGATTGCCTCAGTGAGGGCATAGTTGGTTGTGATCGATAGGATTGGTGATCCAAAGCAAGGCCCCGACGCCACGGCCGATGTTGTTGGCCGCGCTGTCGGCCTTCAGGTTCATGTTGGAACAGCACCAGATTGTGCATTCAGAGGGACCATACATATTGTTCAGAGCAATTCTGGGCGCCCAGATTGCCAGATTCTCTTGCACCAGCGCCTCTCCACCCAGGGAGAGGGTCTGGAGCCGAGGCACGTCTTCTGGCCGGAGGATCCGCGCTACGCTAGGGACCAAACAAGCGGAGTTGACTTCCATGCGGACGATCGCGCCTGCAAGATCATTGATTCTTTCCTCTTCCTGAGGGCAGACAGAGACATGCGCCTTGGGCCAGAGTCACGAAGATATCTCCGTAGCTGAGGTCGAACGTAAATGCGGCGAAGTTCAAGTGGCGTGTACTGGAGTCAATGCGCATGGGGGTTGCCAGGTGTTGCGCCGCCGTGCAGAGGGCTCGGTGCTCTACCTGGAAGCCTTTCGGGCTGCCAGTGCTCCCGGATGTAAAGACCACATACGCGAGATTCGAGAAGAAAGCAGACGGCCGCGATGCAACCGTCGCCGGCGTGAGCGGAAGCTCTTCTGCGGATTGAGCGTCGAGCTTCACGACATGTGCCACATCATTCTGGAAGATATGCTCATGAGCGGGATCGGCCACCACGATGGTGGCTTTAGTTGCGAGGAGAATCGCCTGGATCCGACTAGCAGGATAGGATGGATCGATGGCAACAAAGGCACAACCCGCCTTCATAATGCCCAACATAGAAACAATCGCGTAGGCCGACTTGTCGAAGCAAATCAGCACTAGTGTTTCCAGCCCTACACCGAGATCCGCGAGTCGGCGGGCAAGTCGGGTGGATAGTGTGTCAAGCTCACGGTAGGTGAAGTTGCCATCCCGTGAAAAAATCGCCGGACAGTCAGGCATTTGCTGAGCGATGCATTCGAAATACTCGTGAAACGTGGTCTCTACAGACTGCGGAACGTCTTTGTTCCATTCCATGATCTGGTCGTAGTCTCTTTGACTAACAATGTTCAACTCCCCAATCATAGACTCGGGATGCGCGCTCAGAGTTTCCAGCAATGTTTTGGCGAAAGTATGGGCAACATCCGCAGTGCGCACTGCAGAGCAATACGAAGAGCGAGTGCGAACGGATATGGAGAGCGATGCATCATCGTGAATCATGATCTTCGCTACAATATCGAACTATCACCAGATGATGGCATTGTTGGCCATTGCCATTTAGTGCCATCGGCTTCTAACGGGCAGTGAGAGCCTTCCCATACCTGATTCAAGTTCCGTTTGTGCTGTCCTTGCTGCTGAAAATGTAAACCGGAATTGAGAAGCGGCTTGTCCTGTAGCCCGAGAAGCTTCTGAGCCTCTCCAATAGAGTAATTGCTATACGCCTTAGCGTCATTGAGGTGCCTCATCATGCTCCGGATCGTTTCCCCCAGGGGATTCTCCGGGGTGATGTTTGCACGACAGATCAGGGTTTGATTACAATCAGGCATCGCTGAAGATATTCCCTCGTCACCTGTATCATATCCGAAGCAGACATCCTCCACGCCCGCATAGCGGTTGATCAGGATGGCCCACGCTGCCTGGAACACACTGCACAGTGTGAGCTGACGCTGAGAGCAATATTCTTGCACATCCTGATAACTGAACGGTAGCGCTACAGCCGTCTCTTGGAAGCTGGCCGGCTCGTCGTCGGGCCGTGGTTCTTCAAGAGGACTGGGGAAATGGCATGGTCGAAGGTCATGGAGAAACGAATGCTAATAATTCATGGCCGAAGTGTGTGACATAGTCTGGAGAGGCGACATCGTTGTTTTCGCTTTATCGGGCGAATTGCGTCTGGAGTATGTGCTCGGAACGTCAAACAATTCAAGTATACGCAAGGGGCATGGGATGGCTCTCGTGGAGATCACCATTGACCATCGACAGCTCAGAGGAGGATTATTATTATTTTGTATTACCCGCTGTGCTAGTTTATGGCGTACTGGTCAAAGTAGCGAGCTTCCAGCCTTGTGAATAACGTGTCGCCCACTTCGCTGTAATTCGTATTAAAATGGAAGAGCGTATCTCAACTTGCATATAATTCGATACGAGCCATCGAGAATGAACTAGTTAGTAATGCAAAAATCACGACCCTAATCGTCTTACTGTACAGAACGTAAAAGAGCGGTATGCTAATACTGTACGCCTATGGTATAGCTGTCGTAACCTATTTAAACGGGACCGCAACAGTATCGAAATTCAAAACACGTATCCGTACGCAAATTGCGCCGTCGAAGTCGGACTAGCAGTCAGATGTTGATGACAATTCAGGACCGGACTTGGACTTTTGGACAGATGTCGCTCATGACCGAGACGGGCGGCCGTTGGATTGAATAAGTGAGAGATTATAATAGTGAGGTCTCGATGTGGCCCAGTTCAGCACACGTATTCAGCGTACGTGGTAACAACCCGATTTTCCACATCCCTTCGTAGTGCCCCCCCTCGCTAGAACAGGCAGCTGCACTGGAAGGTGTCCATTCACTGAATGAAGAAATAGGTCAAGATCAAATTACTGAAGCGTAGCATGTCTACAGTTGCGGCATTAGTTGTCTGGTGGTAGACCATGCCATGCCAAGTGAGAAAGCCTGTGCGGATCTGACAATACTTAGATTGAGCTTCTCAGTTTCGTAATTCCCATACTAAGTCATTCCTCCATGGGCAGCCCCCGATTCCTGTGCATCACAAGGTACACTACAGTACTGTGAGACGATGCTTCCCAAGCACTCTGCAAGGACGACCCCCTTTCCCGTAGCTCATACCCAGCCATATACGCCCTGACAGGAACTATGCGTGCCGGGCGCCACGTTGGCGAGGTCCAAGCTTTCTCCAGATCCTCCGACGCTGGACGAGGCATTCGACCATTCAAATCGCACACCAATGGTACCCGACATCATCATCAATCTTCGGACTGCTTCTTATGCTCTGTGAGGTTCTCGATCCCCGTCTTTGTCTCCGTATGCTCCGCGCTCATGAACCGCTGTTTGACGAAGGGAGTAGCCAGGAGTCCGATTCCGGCGGCGACGGTGTACATTATGAACATATTACGTAGACTCCAGGCAAATGCGCTCTGCACTACGTGGTGCTGGACCGGATCGTCGATGGTGGCAATCATTTCCACGTTCGCTGCGGCATCGTCGCCGGAAAAGGCATCCAGGTAGGTTGAGTTGAGGCCAGCGGCGACGAGCGATGCATGCTGCACAGTCATGCTATCCTGAAAGACAACCCCACCGAGCACAATCGATAGGGAGGTAGCAATGCTGCGCACGAATCCCAAGGTGGAGGTTGCGACGGCGGCATCGGCCTGCTTGACATTATTTTGGATGGCGAGCATTGGAGTCGAGAGGAGGAGGGACAGGCCGATCCCGCCGATGACCTCAAAGACAATCACCTGAGCGAGCGAAGTCTCAATGCCGAGCATCACATACAGGCCAGTGCCCAGGGTCAAGAGCACGGTCCCAGCCCAGATCAACTCCCGGTAGCGGCCAGTTTTGTGGATGAGGACGCCGACGGACACGTCGCACAGCGACGCGGCGACCATCATCGGCAGCACCAGCACACCGCTTTTGGTCGGAGAGGCGCCCTTGACGCTTTGGAAGTACAAGGGGAGGTAGTACTCCGAGCCTCTCGTGGCCATACTGTGCGACGCTGCCACGAGAATGACTGCGTTGTTGGACCACTCCCGGAACAGCCGCAAGTCCAGCAAGGGAAACCGCGCGAGGCGTTTCTCGGCAAAGAGGAAGAAGCCAAACAACACCGAGCCAAACACGATCATGCAGATGACGGTCGGACTGTCCCAGGGGAAGGTCACCTCACCAAAGTCGAGTCCTAGGAGGAGGAGAAGGATGACCGTCAGGATGGAGACAATGCCGAACCAGTCCACGGCCTTGAGGCCGTCACGAAGCTTGGTCCGCGGGTTGTGCAGGTCCAGGAACAGCACGAGAATAATGAAGGCGAGGCCACAAACGGGGAGATTGATCCAGAAGCACCAGCGCCAGGAGGCATACTGCGCCAACGCGCCTCCAATGACTGGTCCCGTGGTGCCAGCGAGGACCCAGACAAGAGCGGTCGCGCTGATGTACAGCGAGCGATGCCGCATGCTGAAGAGATCCGCAATGATGATATTGACTAGGGAGATAATTCCCCCGCCCGCAAGACCCTGCACGCCGCGCCCAGCGATCAACATGGGCATGTCGATAGCTGCGGCCGCAATTGTGCTCCCGACGGCGAAGATGATGATCGCGCCCAAGACCGCCAGTTTGCGACCCCAGATGTCGCTGATGCGGACCCACATGGGGTTGACTGCACACATGGACAGTAAATACGCCGCACCAATCCAGGTGTAACCGGCTGCGGAGTGCAAGTCCTTTGTCATGGCAGGAATCGCGGTCGCCACGATGGTTTGATCGAGCGCGGAAATAAACATCACAAGCTGGAGGACCCCGTGATCCGTCAATGAGTTATTTTATGAACAGGTGAACCGACGGACCAGGCCACTTACACAAAGCATGAGGACTATCCCAGCATTCCGCCGGGGCGAGCGTTGAACGGACAGAGGGGTCAAATTCTCGGAGATCTGGAGGGGCTCTATGGTCGCTTGGGGATTCTCCGTCGACAAAGTCGCCGCACCCTCGGGCACTCGTTGCGGCCGCTCCATAATAAGATCCGAGTCCAGCGCCGCTGCTATTGTTGACGGAGCTTTGACAGCTGAGATCTCGTCCGCCACCTGATCAGTCATCTTCTCTGACAAGCAAAGCAAGCGTGTGTACGCAGAACGACCAGATGCGAGGGCGTGACCCAAGGTCGGCGAGACAGAGGTTTCAAGACCGAGCTGGTCAGAAAGACATCCAGGGGAAGGAGGGGGGCATCCTCGGGTGAATGCAGCCATAAGGTGTCTAGCCAAAAGCGACCCAGGATCACCTTGTCAGGGCGGACTTGTCAAACAAAGGGCGGACGTACTTTTGTCCTGCCTCACTGAGCGACGAATGGTACGACGGACATAGGGCGAGACGACTGAGGAGGTCGACCCACAGGCCAGAAGCTGAGATAATACCATATTGAGGTGATATCCAGCTTGTCTGGGCCACAAGTGGCCGAGTTCGGCCGTTCAACCCTCGATCGCCTCAGCAAGGCGAAGTAGATGAATTCTGCTATCGAGCATCTCTGTCATGGCGTGATGGCTCGAAACATTCCGTACATGGTACTGGAGCCTGCTTATGCCGTGAAAAGGAGGTCAGCGGGGCTGGGTCTAAGAGACTAGAGAGTGGGTGTACTGTAACAGACTGCAAAACGCAAATCAAAATACAATAATACCGAGAACTCCGAGACATCAGCGGGGTGCTGTATTCCGTACTGACAGCGATGTCCAACACCCTAACCTCAACTTTACATACGATACCGGCGAGAATCTGACAGGCTGCGGCCGGGCTTCACACGGTCCAAACAGGTACATTACGGCCCTGGATTTTTGATGGAATGTATTAGTGCAATTGTGGAAATTCGACCTGACTGGCTTTCCAACAATCATCCTATAAGAATAATGCAGCCAGTCATCCGGCGTGATCTCCGTGTCTTTACCATTGACAAAACAACTCATCACCAAACGCACTGATGTCGAGCATTATCCTCGTTCGTGATACGGAGGAACGCGAAAGTATGTTTCCGTCCTGGCTCCTCTGAATTCTCATTGCCTTCGAGACTGATGAATGGATCCAGTTCAATTCGAATGGACCTGGCACCCTAGTGAAACGATCACCGATGCCTCGGCGAGTACTTCTTGGCAGGCCGTCCATCTACTGTTCAAAGAGATAACACGGTCTGTGGGGTTTCAATGGCCATCGCACCAGGACTCGCGTCTTTTCATCCAGCTATCTTCTCAGGAGCATCATCCAATCCAGCCCCAGCAGTGGGGATCGGAAGAAGCTCTTCGATTGCTCCCCGACTGCCTCTCTGCTGCCACCGACGAACAGGGCACGGCCCTCAGTCTGGTGGTTCCACAATGCCCTGGCTATATCGTACGCCCCGATATAATCCCGTTACGTTTACTCGACTGTCCGCTAGTCGCACGCGTCTCCAGCTTCGCGACACTTCAGCACCGCTTCGAGAGTGAACCGCTGCTCCTGGACCACCCTGCGTCTCTTCCAAGCGTCTTCGCCGTCTCTACTGGCGGCATCATCGTGGAGCGGCCGGGAACCGTTGATCGCCTTCACACCTGGGATGAGCAATTTGCCGCACTCGACCAGGAGATACGCAATCGTTTGTCGTTTCCCTGGCTGTCTGCGCAGAGCCGCCTCCGCAGGACGCTGGCGATTGTCGATGGAGGGATTAGCAGCACCACGCCTTTGTGGCGTCTAGTGCGGCGGAAGGCTGTCACATTGTGCGCGAGCATGGGCTGGCCTCCGTCAATACATTCATCGAGCTAGCAAACGTGCTTCCGTCCAAGCTGCCAGAGGCCGAGCTGACGATGCTGGGAGAGGCCCTCACGAGGAGCCTGCAACGGATGGGCTTTTCGGATGGCTTCTATCACCTCGAAGCCAGGGTAGAGAACTCGCGCATGCACTACGCAGTGGACAGTCGCACCGGCGTTCTCGACCTCACCGAGCGAGATCGCCCGTCCCCGGGCGCCCCGTCAGCCTGGCTGATTGAAGTCAATCCGCGCCCGCCCGGGATCCAGGCCTCGGCGGCGGTCAAGCACACGTACGGCATTGATTACTTTGCGCTAGCGCTGCTGTTCGCGCTGGCTGACAAGGAGAGAGTGCGGCAACTCTCGCATCCCTTTTTGCAGGGTCCGCAGTACTGGTGCGAGATGGTGTTTATCCCTGTTGAGAAAGGCGGGGTGTATGACTCCGGGGATGTGTGCGAGGAGCTACGGGAGAGGCGTCGTAGCGGGGTGCTCAGGCCCGCGCGCTGAACGGCGGGCACGCCGGTGTATTTGGCTTCGAGATCCCAGAGGGCGCAGTCAATAGCATTGCGAGCTGCGCCCGCGGGGAGGATGGTTTGGAGATGAGCGCGAGCTGGCTTGCCCTCAATCAGCGGAGCCACCCGGGCGATCGTCGCCAGCACGCTCTCCACGGATTCCTCATATCGTTCCGAGGGGATCGCTTCACCGCGGCCAGTTGCATCACCGGCGATTAGGGAAACTGTGATCACATTGGCCACGATTTGACTCCCGCGAGCGATGGTCGAGGGGACGCGCAACCGGAAATCTTCCGTCTGGCACTCAAGCTTGACGGTTGGGGGAAGGTGAACAGGGTCTTCTTCGGGGGCGTTCGTGATGAGGTGTGACGTTCGTTTTCCATTCAACTGCTTTTGTTGTTGTGCGTTGACTTCTTTTCTTGGTCAACAAGATTCGACGTAGCTAGAAGCACGCAGTTAATACCCTCACAGTCGATTACTGATCGCAGAGGAAGTCTCAGTCCATTATAATTTGATAGAAACATCTACCTCTATATATATTCCTCCCTCGACTGTCGCATCGGGCTGCGTGTTACCAACCAACATCAGATTACGAGAGGTTTTGTCGCGTAACGTCGTGAGTGTTTTCGGTATTGCAGAACGCAAAAGAACGCAATTAGTCGGAAATCGTCAGGTAATGGTAAGTTACCTGACCGGACTGTAACAGGGGTGGTCCCACTTAAACTTTTGCAACCTCCACGTTTCTTCCCTTTCGGCCAGTCGGAATCTGACAGTCAGTGTGTGGATGACCCCCACTACCTGCAATGTCACCCCGCGTGGGACTTGACCTAGAATCCTGCGGGGATCGCCTTCTTCCCTAACCTGTCTCCTCTCTCTAAGCAACCGAGGCAAAGTACGGGGCTGATTCCAAGTAGATGAGTTGTCGTCCTCCTGATGCAAAGATCTGGAATTGGTGAGATAAGGCGCCGCCATTGTTCCAGAGCCCCTTTAGCCCTGAATTACCCCCGCCTGGTCCTCATCGCGCGATTTTTGAAATGTTGCGGGATGTCCTGGAGGTTCCGCTGGAAGAGATTCGATCAGAGTCTGGTCTGGAGGAATTGGGTGTCGATTCTCTGCTTGCCACCGAACTCTTCTCGGAGGTGAGTAAACGCTTCGGCGTGTCTGTATCTCACGCGGAATTTGCGACAGCCACCAATGTTCGGGACCTGTCTCGACTTATCTCCGGTCCAGAGGATGTCTCGGCGCCTAGTTCTGTCTCACTGGGCACCTCGACACCACGATCTATTCCTGCGCCGATAACCCCGGTGCCTGAACAGCTGCCAGTGCCATACCAACCAGGGCCAGGAGCGACTCAGCCCGTGGTCAAGATAACCGAAATGTTGGCCGACGTCCTCGAAATTCCGATCGAGGAGATCTCATCAAGCTCCAATCTAGAAGAGCTGGGGGGTAGATTCGCTCCTTGCTACCGAGCTCTTTTCCGAGCTGAACAAGCGATTTGGGGTTTTCATCTCACACCCCGATTTTGCTACCATAACGGACGTTCAGGGACTCGCGCGATTGGTCTCCGGGTCCGGGGCATCAGAGGCCATCGCTCTTACTCCCCCACCCCAAGCTCATTCGGCAAAACCGGCGAAAGGGTCAGCCTCCGTCGATATTGAGACAGTTGTATTCGCTGAGCGCGACGGAATCCCGCTTTCCGCTGATCTCTATTATCCCGAGGGGCTCAGGGACTCCCAGAGACCCCTCCCTGTCGGTACGTGAAATCATCAGTCTGTTATTACCTTGATTCGGAGACATTTTGGGCCAGTGATAAGGGAGGAATGAATACTCTTACTTTTGACAACCCGGGGAACCTTCATGATAAGATATGGAAGGCTGATCGTCCCTGCATGGCGATAGCGCTTATGATCCACGGCGGAGGACATGTCATCTCCACTCGGAAGGACATTCGGCACGACCAAACGCAGATCCTCCTGCACGCCGGCTTCTTGCCAGTGAGCATTGACTACCGTTTATGTCCCGAACTGCCTATCCACAAAGGCGCCATGCAAGACGTGCGCGATGCGTTCTACTGGGCCCGCAAGACCCTTCCAACCCTCCCCCTCCGTCGGAGCGATATTCGACCTGATGGAGATCGTGTGGTAACCGTCGGCTGGTCATCTGGTGGCCACCTCGCCAAGACTCTTGGATGGACGGTGTCCCCGCTAGGGATCGCGCCCCCTGAGGCCATCCTCGGCTTTTACTGCCCAACTGATTACGAAGACCCCTTCTGGGCATTGCCGAATCTACCATTTGGCCAGCGACCCATCGAACCGCCCGGTACGGGCTACGACTTTCTCTATGACGGACTTTGCGATAGCCCCATTGTGGGATATACTCCCCAAGCATCACGACGGGCGCTCTTGGGAGGATGGATGTCCCTCGAGGACCCCCGTTCGCGCATCATCTTGCATATGAACTGGGAGGGAAAGAGCTTGCTGGTGCTGATCAACGGGCTTCAGCGACAGGCGGGCACAAGGACGGTCACCAACCCGTCATTTCCGTCGGTTGAGCAGATCCAGGCTATTAGTCCCTTGGCACGGATTCGACAAGGGCAGTACAGCACGCCGACGTTTCTCATTCATGGCACGCGTGATGATCTGGTGCCGTGGCAGTCGTCGAAGAGAACGTTCGAGGGCCCTCCAGGCGGTGGGAGTCGCGACCGGGCTAGTGATATTGGAGGATGCAGTGCATTTATTTGATTTGTACCCGTCGAGTAAGAAGAGTCCGGAAGCTGTGAAGGGGGGTAAAAGAGGGTTACGATTTCCTCAGGGCGCATGTATAACTTTAGGTTTGCGACTACCGTGACGGGCTCGACCAGGATATGTTGAACATAAAATCTCACGATTGCTTATCGCGCTGATAACGCTCAGCTGAGTCCAGAGTGCAGATCTCGTTTACTTGGCATCGATGAGTCCAGCACAACTACATCCTCGATTGCATTACATTACATTACACATAATCCATAAGCTTTACCAGCAAGCATCCCCCTCATCGCACATTAATCCGAAACTTCTGTAAATCGCTCGGCGACGGCAACACAATCACCGGACTATCCGGCACCGAGAACTCGCTCGGTGGATATAATCGACACGGAATGGCGCCCGAGGACCGCGTACTCGCACGTCTGCGATTCGGGCGGAGCGGTTGGATTTGGAGTTTTTCATTCTTCTTGGGGGCTTCGGACATGTTGCGGATGGGTTTGGGGGGGAGGGAGGATCGGGTGGATGTAGCTGGGATAGGTCGCGTCTCGATGTGTAGTTCTTTGTGGAGAGGCGATCGCGGAAGGCGGGCGGTTGGGACTGGGCTGATGATGTTTTTGTGTCGGTCTTTCTGGCAGGATTCGGGGTCGGGCGAGACATGCCGACGTTTAGGGATGGGTTGTCGGGTGAAAAACGTCCCCCAGCTGGTGTTGGGGCCGCGATGGATGCGCAGGATCACAAAGGTGGCAATCAAAGTGATGAAGATCACGGCCGCTGGTAGAGTCAGATTCATACAGTTGGATGATATAGTGGATGTTCAGTGATCAACATACCGAGAATGATAAACACCAGGCCGACCCTCGCGGTGAGGGGAGATGCCTCGCTTTGGCTCGCTGGAGAATACATGAACCCGGCGCATATGGTAAATGCGAGCAAAATACTGAGCAACCAGACCAGCTTGTGAGATCTGTGGAAACCGGCGGGTCAAGTGCCACAGGCCGTTGATATATCCGCGCGGTCCCAAAAAACAGATCTTTCTCCTAAAACCTTGAAAAGCATGTTTGGCATCCCACGCCGTTCGCCGGATCACCGTAACCCTAAACGGGCAATCAAGTCGAGACGCTGGCTTGGAAATCTTGACTTTTGAGCCCCTGACGAGTCTGGCCAGCCGGAGACCGAAATGATCGACTACCGGCGTTGTGAAACAGCGGATCATCGGGGTGACCTCGGCTTCCACCACCACCATCACCACCACCATGCATCAGGGCTGCTCATCCAAAAGCCTGAATGGACAACATGATCAATGTACAAGGCGAAACTCGCTGAAAGCAGTGAGTGCGTACCCTTCCAAGTTCAGCAACCTGAAAGAAACCTGGCTTGGAACGGGCAACTGCCGCGCAGTGGAGCCGTGGATCTTCCCCGGGTCTTGGCCAGATTCTGCAGCAACCCGAGGCTCAGCAAGAGCAAGGAGCAAGGAGCTAAAGGATAAAGGAGATAGTTATAAACTTGTGGCTGACTGATTTAAAGGTTCCATTTTTAGGCCCACTGAAATTCCAGCCACCACATGCATCCGACAACATTCATTCTGATCCGAGGATGCCAACATTCCACGTGCCAGCGTTGTTTGACTGCCACCAACCCCAACCTGTTACAACGGCTTCTAGAAACCCCCCCTCAGTGTTTGGCCTTGGGTTCACGAACCATACAGTAAAGCTGCAACAAAGTTAGCATCTGTTTCATCCTGCAGCGTCCATTCCGGTTTCATCAGCACCAACACCTACCATACAAACATCCTCTCCATCCCGACACTCCATCTCCTTCTTCATCGCAAACCCCATCTTCTCATAGATCTGCACATTCGGCACATTCCTCGAACTCTCCAAATAACACTTGACACCTTCCTGATCCGCTCGATCCGTCACCGCCTCAAAGAGCTTTCGCCCGATCCCCTGGCCCTGGAACCCCGGTCGAACCGCCACAATGTTACAAAAATAATACCCCTTCGGATCATCCCAGATCTGGGCCTGCGCCTCATGCTGTCGGTCCTTCCAGATCCAATACCGATTCGTCTTGAGTCCGCCCCGACCCCAATGCCATACATTGTTCAGCATCTGCCGCCACGACAGCACCCACCCCTGATACCAACTGTACCAGCTTTCCGGCTCCTGCGATGAATGCGGCGGCAGCCAGCACGACACGCCCACGATCCGTGTCGCATCATCGTCAGTGGCGGCGGTGGTGGTGGTGGTGGTGGTGGTCTCTTTCGCAACCTGAAAGATGGCATTGTTGATGCCCCAGAGACATCGCACAGCCAGGGAGTCATGATTCCTTTGCTTATTAAACTAGCCAGATTCAATCCACACGTGATTTCAACGTCGGTCGGAAATACGCGACCGCGTCAACGGGGGAGTCATGGTTAGCGTGCTTGCATACGGAGTACATGAGGCCATATCGAACTCGTGTTCGGTGGCATAAGGCCGATCCAGCCTCGAAGTCTGGACTTACATTGCGAGAGTTGAACACCCATTGGAAATATGGATCTTCTGCGAATGCGGTTTGGATGATTTCGATCGCTTGAGGGATGTCCGCCTCGGTGAGGGAGACCACTTCAATTGCCATTGTGAAATCTGCAGGTGATTAGCTTTTGCCAGCTGAGACGAACAACACAAACGACAGACACCACGGACGACTATGCTAAGCCCGGAGAAATGTGTATAACTCCCAACAAATCACACACTAACCCGTTCCACAACGCAGACTGTAAATCCCTTGCTCACAATGCTGAAATTTAAATCAGCGTCGACAGACACGATGTTCTGTGTGAGGGAGAAAAGGTTGTACAATCATGGAGTCATGGACCAGAGAAAAGTAGACCCGGGCGGAAGGCCCAAAAAGGCAGCTCCATGCGGCCTCCACTCGGCTTATCGACGCCAGCTTCAATTCCGATCATAAACCTCGTGTCTGACGTATTTGTATCACTCCACTGGCTATCGCAGCTGCGATCCTATGGCATCGGTTGGGATACGATCGCATGCAAGGGGGCAGAACGTGATCGATCATCTGGCGTATGGGGTGCAGATACTCCGCTCCGCCATTCCAATCAATGATTTGCTTGAAACTGTTCAAAAGCAATTGATTTTTGAATACGGTACTCCGTAGATAGATGGTAAAGCTTGCCTACCGGCATGATAGTTGGTATCTAGCATATCATGTAACAATGTATATATCACAGTATCCCGCTCAACAATGCCATCCACAATCCCGCGCCATATCCAAAACAGTCCTGGGCGAACCCCGTTGTATCACGAACTCCCATAGATCCTCTAAACGAACAGACCAAACCTCATAAGCGTCGTAAATCTTAGCTCGTGCGGTCGTTTTAAACCGCCGACTCTTCCAGGCGCACCCACTCGCGCGGCACGTCCATGCTGCGGTTCACCCGCCCTCCCGGAGTGAGAGGCACATCAACCCGGCCTCGTCCCCGATCATCATCCGCGTGCTCCTCGTAAAAGGATAGTCGCGAGAAGTAGTCCTGCAGCACCGATTCCCGATCGTTATCGCCCACAATGGAATTATACTCAGGGGGCGGCGTCACGAGCGGGGGCGGTGGTGGAACATCTTCAAAAGCGGGCGGCGCAAACGACGGTGCCCGGAGGAGATGCATGGGCCGCGGTGGCGCGGCCGCCCGATCGTTGGCTTCGTCCGCAAGATGCGCCTGCGGCGGTCGAGTCAACCCGCCAGAACCATTGGTAAAGCTTCTCGAGACCGCGCCGCCGATCGGCGGTTCCTCACGATCGGACGACAAGGACTGCCGACTGGAGCCATTCCGGGAGCCGTTCTGGTGGACCGGAGGCGCCCCAGGGCAGCCACATTCGTACTCTTGCGCCTGCGGCGACGGCTCCGAGTCGGGCGACGTGTAAGCGGGGAGGTAGATGTTGGCCTGGGTGGCCTTGCAAGAGAGTAGGTGGAATGGAGAGTCAATGGAGATCTCAAAATGTCTTCGCTTGCCCGGATCTCTTTCATCAACTTTGGACAGCCGCAAAACAATCTACCAAGATGTTAGACCACAATAACAGTAGAGAAATAGCGTGCACATACCTTAATCCAATGGTTGATTTGAATGTTTTCATACGTCGTATCAAAGTGTAGCCGTTGCGATTCGTCCCGGTTGCGCATCTCTTGACAGCTCGGGAGTTGCACATTGAACTCCATCTCAGTCGGACCAACGCCCGAGTCGCTAGCGAGGTTACCAAGGAGATTGGTCCGGTTCCGGTCAACAATCTCTTCGCCTCTCGCCGCGGCCGCGCGACGGTCCCAGTCGATGCCGCCACCGGCCGTGACGCGCATGGAGCTTCCGGGGTAGGTGCTGGTGCTGGCAGAGTCCGCCCGCTTCTCAAAGAGCAACACTTTCTTCGCCGGCTGGAACCGGTGGACGCTCTTGTCTGCGGTCCAGTGTTGAATGTTCTCGGTCACGTACACCTTGATCCGATGGCACTCGACCTTGGCCAGCGGCGTCAACTTGAACGCAATGGGAACCTGCGAGCCAAGAGGAAATGACTTCCCCGAGATAACAATGTCATAATGTAGTTGATCTTCCCAGTTTCGGGAGATGGCGATCGGCTCGACCTGCTCCAACGAGCCTTCGGCCGGGGTGCGGATCACCGGCACCTCCAACGTCCCCAGCAGATTAGGGCGGAACGCTCCGGCCCGCTCCACGATCGCTTCGAGATCATACCGGACAGACCCCAAATCCGTCTTGATCGTCTCCGGAAGAGAGCCATCGATCGGGAACTCAAAGCTGTACAGATAATCGCCGACCGGGAACAACCGGTAGTTGCGCTGCGTATGAACGGGGGGAGGGGGCAGATCATTCTTGCCAAAACTGCGAGATTGGTTGGATTGTAACGACAGCCGCTTCATCTCCTTAGGGGTGAACTGGCCGTTATGGCTCAACGATGTGGACGATCCAGTCTTGGAGAGCAGTTCCCGGGTACTGGTAGTCGCGCCGTCTTTGCCCGTCACCGAGGTTACCGGTTTGGCGTGCTGATAAAAATGCGCCCCATAGTCGTTTTGCATCAGCGCAGTATCCCCATGGTTGAAGTACATGACACCATGCGTGACGAGGTCTTTCTTATCGTGGAAGTGGACTTTCTTCGGAGGGATTCCTACATGAGGCCAAACAGGTCAGTTACAACGCCACTGAGAGAAAGAATGCAGGGGGGGAACGTACCATCCGGCCAATCGGTCTGAGCGTGTCCGCGGAAGCAGATCGAGATCTTCTTGACCTTGACACTCTTCGTGATCTTGAGATGCAGCTGGCCGCGCAGAATGGCCGATTTCTTCGTGCTGGGATCATTCTGATCGTAGCCCTGGAGGAAGAGGACTGGTTCGGTGAGCGCCACGCCCACGCTGATCCCGCTTCCTGTCGCCACGATCTTCTCGTTGCGCAGAGTCGGAAAAGGCACCGTCGGATCCGTAGCCGGCATCGAAGGAGGCTGAGCCGACACAGTCGACGAAGAATGTGAGCGCAGCCTACCGGCCCTCAAACCCGTGCTGGCGAGCATTTGTGCATCGTTGGGAGACAAAACAATCTCAGACACCGGGCGAGGGCGATGTGTTTCGGGCATTGGCATTGGGTGGGTAGGTGGCGTCAGCGGAGGGTGGATAGGGGTCCCCAAGCGGAGGAGTCGCTTTGCGTTTTCCCGCGGACCCGCCAGCTTTCTTAGTATCGATTCGCGGCGGCGATGGCCTGGCCGGGGTACTTTGCCAACAGCAACACTGTCGCCAACAACCGTCGAGGTTTCTATCGGCCGACGAGAATCGGATCGCAACCCCAAGAGGTTGTGAAAGAGAGGGAGGGATTCGGGTGCCGCGCAGGGAAGTTGAGAGACCGTACTAGTTGTAGTAGTGGTGGTCACGGATCCCGACAAATCCTGTTCGAGATGGGAAATGTGAGTCGTCATCGTGAAGACCACCAATCGAAAAGCATTATTCGCTGAAAGCGATCGAGGCTTTTAAATGAACAGACAAGATTCCCGGATGCTCGGAAAGGCCGTTTTGCAACCACGGGTAAGACGGGTAGTATAGAGAGACAGGGCGGAGGTACAGGAGGTATGGAATTGGGAGGGAGACCACAAAGGGAGACGCAAGGTAAAGGAAAGAAAGAGAGCCCTACTTAACAAAGGAGCCAAGTAGAATTGAAAGGATAAAATAAAGGGAAGAGAAGAAGAATGTCGCCAGACGGAGTAAAAAAAAAATCCAAAGAAGCAAGCACGTTTTGGGGTGAATGAACGACTTACCCAAAGGGAACGATGGTTTCCTACCAGTCGCAGTAGAATTCTGGGCTGGGGAAGTATATTTTCCTGTCCTAGTGAATCTTACGCACAGTCCCAGCTGCAGCGAGTCGTGCGACCAGTGGAAAATTCCTTGGGACGGGGCAAGACGACCTCGTCCTTAATTTCGATTTTCTTTTTTTTCGCTTTGCCTCCTTTCGGGTTTGGGATCCTTTCTGAGTTTGGGAGATGATCGACGGCGCAAGGAGGAGCACGTCCACCGCGGCGCAGCGCGGGCAGAGGCAAGTCGGCAGGTCGCTAGTATCAGCCGGCCAACGCGATGGAAGGGATCACCGGGTTCAGTAACTCCAGGAGTCCAGGGTAGGCCAGATGGGTCGATGATGCGGGGGGAAAGCCAAAAGAACGACCAGATGGGGGATGGGGGGTAGGGCGAAGAGGCAGTAAGTCAAGAGTAAGTACTAGAGCGATCGGAGCGAAAGGGTCATGCGAAGGGCCAGCATTGACATCAATGACAACACAGACACGACAGGAATGAGGCGGTGCGGGTATAGTTCCTTGGGCACAAGATACTTAAATGCACAGGGAGGGGAAAAGAATAACTAGAGACTTGAGCCAGGCCGGCGACCAGAGGGACGATGACGCGGAGGGGAAACCGGTAGGTTCAGTCATATCCGGTGATCCGCAAGTTGCCTTCACCAATCGAGGCGGTTCACTATCGCTGAACCACTCTGGCTATCTTTTTTTCCCACCCGCGATCAGACTTTCCGCTCGAACATGGGCGCCATTGAAGGCACCATGGAGAGTCCGCTGGTGGTCTGCTGGTCCGAACGTCCCGACCTATTTACGATGTGTACCGAACACCAGCTTTGTTTGCTATTGTCCCTCCTCTCGGGGTCTCTCTGTGTGTCCTCCGCAGGCGCGCCATGTGATGGGGGCCGGTTCGCTACTAGATACAGTCCAGGTACGGAAATTCTCTCTCCAGTACTTTGTTTAGTTGAATCCTTAGCGCCAAAAGAGGGGGCTAGGCCTCGACCAGGACCGGAGATCGTGACGTCTGATCTGCTGTGCCCGGGGGCCGAATTTGACTCATTCTGAGGCCTTAGAAGCGGGACGTCCGGCACAGGCTGGGAACCAAACCAGTGCGGGCATCAGATGTCCAGGCTGCTTTCCCCCTTGACTTCATTCCCCCTAGGAGGGTGAGACTAATCCCGGTAGGTACGAAACCTGGAGCGGTCGGATCCATGGGCTCAGTTCGTGACAGCCCCGAAGCGCTGCGAGGCTGCCGACAATCGCTGCAAATCCGTTTTGTTGTCAATGCGGGGGATTCTTGGCTGCTGGTGGTGATATCATCGGGGCGCAACGGGAAGGATTTTGACTAATCCTGAGTAGTCGAGGCTTGGTGGTTCAGGTTGGTGCCTGTCCCGGCTGACCTGGCCTCGCTGGCGATTCTGCTTCTGCTCCTCTGCTAGAGCCTAGGGGACCATCCCACACCATTCCCCAGGTCAATGGGGGGCGAACGACACATAGCCCTCAGGGCTTCCGTCGGATTCGCGACCACTCTCCGACTGAAGAATGGATGCAGAAAGCTAATCAGTAATCCCAGATCCATGGCCTGATCCCGGAGCCGGTTCCACACTCGCCATCGCTGTCGCGTTGTGTGGCCGCCACCGGTAGGCCGAGTCTTGACCGGATTAACGCCTACCAAATGGATTGCTCATCTAGGCGTCTAGACCGTGGAGGCACGGATATGTCGTAGTTATTTCTAGAAACATTATTGCATCAATTGGCATGTTGAAGTGACACCCCGGATAAATTCACCTGCTCTTAGTCAGCTCGAAAATTCGGATGACCGGTGCTCGCTCTCTCTCCAACGGCTTGTGATGTCGCCCTGAGACGATCCCGATCAACAGCGGCATATGATTCTGAGGGAGCTCCCACTCCACACAACCATCACGTCTGCCTCGTGGATTGGGCATCACCTGATGACATCATCATATGGTCACTTTGACCTTACTTTGACTTCAGGCCTTCAGCTTTTGTTTACTACACACGACTGATCTATTAGGAAGATACTCACAGGCCGCATAATCAAGCAGCAAAAACTACGTAATGCTGGGAACCGGCCAATGGGTTCAAGATGTTCACGGCTTACCGATGACCGTTACGTGCAGGGCAGCCATCCACTTGCCTCGAACCGTTCTCCTCGTAGGGTCCCGTTAGTAGTCATCGGTCTGCCGGGCTAGCAGGAAACAGTTAGCTGCAGACGGAGCCAAGACCAGGCGAACGCTTTACACAGTAGAGCTAATCTGGCTTAAAGTTGAAGCGTCTTCACGTCACTTTGGGACTGAGATAAGCTCTGTCGTGCCCCGGTCCGTACATTCCTCCACTCTCCGAGTGCCTTGCGTCATTCCGTAGCCGAGTAGGTACCGATCCCCATCCCCCTTACAGGGTGGATCGTCTGCTTACCGATTGGTGGCTCGGCAATAACGGAGATGGGGATGATTTCTGGTATCGGATTAATTGCATGGCCCGTTTCATAAGAGCGTTTTCATTGTGTCATGCTATTTTCAGGTTTTAACGATCCAATTGGGAAGTTGCGGCTCGACTGCGGAGTAGCCTGTCATGGATTGCTTCTGGTTGGCCGTGTGAGCGTCCGACGGCACCCAACAGACAGCCCATCAAGTGAACCAGCTGTCGTCCAAGTCGTTGATGTTGACTAGTCCATCCCCATCCAGCAAGCCAGCGTCTCCAGGGCCATCCCCTCCGAAATTGTCGTTCTCCATGAAAAGATCATCGAAGCTAGATTCCCCAGGCATGACATCCTCCATGTTACCACCACCTTGTCCATCGAAGGGCTGCTCTCCTGACGTATCCGGTTGGGAAGTGAACGCTGCTGCTTTTTGAAGCTCTAGGTCAAATGCGTCCCCGCCCATGGGTGCGGAACCTGCATTGTTCTCCGTACTAGGCACGGCTGTTGTAGCATCGGTTGGCTGATTGTTTCCTCCGTTATTGCTATTGTTGGTGGCAGCATTGGCGTTGACTAGGTTGGAGCCTGACAAGAAACTGTCATTTCCGACATCGTCATCTCCAAAGTCTAGATTCAGATCGAAATCATTAGTTCCGGCATTATCATTCAGCATGGAGTCAAAGTTGAAGTCCCCTGGTGCAGAAAGTGACTGTGCTCCAGCGACGGCAGAGACACCCTCATCTGGCTTCTCTTCCTTGACAGGCTGATCCCCTGAGATCTGCTTATTATCACTAACATCCGCCTCTGGCTTTGGGGTGGGCACATCATCAGTTGGCTCGGCTTTGGCCTGGGTCGTGTCTGTGTCGGCCACCGGTGGTGCAAGAGGCTGTGGTGCGGCTTCAGGCTCGACCTTTACGTCTGAATCATTCATAACGACATCTTCGGAGGGCTGTAGGGCAGCTTTCCTTGCTTTAACTGCCTCGTAGTCTCTCTCCAGGAAAGCTTTGGCCAGGAACTATATGTCATGAGTACACAATCAATGGATCACTAGAGACAGGTCTTACTATCTGCTCAGAAAGATTATCTAAAGCGCTCTGGAACTGCTCGTGCGAAGTAGGGATAGAACGCTTGAGTTGAGCTCTGGACTGCATGGAGCCCCCAGTTTTGAAAAACCGACCGGTTTCGACAAGCTAGCAGGAGTCAGAACATCCGGTTTGGCTGCAAGGGGGTGTCATGGGAAGAGCATACCGTTTGGTTAACCATGGACGTGAGAACGTCCAGGGATTTCGGATTTGAGAAATTTGTCGCCGCCATAGCTGGCTATGGTAATGGTGGTTTCGGAATGCGGGTGGCTATATGTCAGCGGCTATAGCCAGCTGCTAGTCGTCAGTCTGAAGGTTGGTGACCCCGAAAATCCCCAGTCAGGACCCTTTGCTGAGCACAAGAAATGACCAGAGCCAGTGGTGCACGGATAGACGCGAACGAACGGGATCAGTAGGTCCGTGAGGGGTGCAGGAGCTGGACAGGAGTCCGGGCGAGCCAATTGGAAAACGGACAGACTGGAGGTGGCAAGAAGCGCCGGCAAGCAAGACAAGGCCGTGAGTTAGTACTGGAGCACTGGAGCAACCGAGCAGAGACAGACGGGGTCGATCAGATCAGCCGGGAGGAGCACTGGAGGGGGAGTTTAAGCGCCTTTGCTGGGACAAAGACGAGGCCCGTCAAGGGAGGGCTAACGCAGAGGGGCTAGCGCGCCCCCCACCCGGAGCGGCTCTTGACCATCCAAACTCCTCGTTCTTTTCTCCAGTCAAACTTCCCGTCAAGTCAGATCATCGCAGCTTTTCTTCCCCTGTTTCTTCCCCATTTCCATTCTTCTTCCATCTCCCTCGACAGGCGGTTTCGAGCGTCGACAGCCCCCCCGAGTGCATCTGCGTTCTCTTCCCTTTGTTTTCCTTTCCCTTTCCTATCTCTGCTCTTTTCTTCTTCTTCTTCTGTTCCACATTCTCGTTTGCCTCGAATACGCCCCCCTCTCCCCGTCGGCTGCTGCTGTCCATACCTTAAGCTCTGCTGCTGCCACTCCTCTCTCTTGTTGGGGTCCGTGGTTGAGAAAACCGTGTTTGAGTCGTCTGCTCTCCAGCACCTGTTATCATCAACTCTCCCGACGCATTCCATCGCCATTTCTTACGACGGCGATCGTCTTCTTCAGCTGCCGCCCGTATCGTGGTCCCATTGTATGATCTAGTTTAGCGCTCTGCCCGTTTCCCAGCTCGTCCTGGGTGTTTCGATCCCCGCGTCGTTTTCCGCCTTCGCCTACTCTAATTCTGACTGCGTAACGCCTGCATCGTCCCGTCACCAAAGACTGCATATCATCCTCCGTTACCTCAAACGCTTCCATCGTCCCTTTCCACCTTGCATTTTGCTCGTTTGACCGGTCGGTTCTTCTGTAAATTGCATCTCGTGACCTCTCAACAATGGCCGACAACGTTGCCGCTTCGACCTCCTCGACCCTCCCTCCTCCTCCCCAAAACCCGGCGGCTGCCTCCAACCAGCAGTACGATGCCTCCCAGGGCAATGGTCAAGCTAATCCATCCCACATGCCACCGCCTCCCCGCCCGCCCGTGGTGATTCCTCAGAACACCAACCCCATCCCGACCGCCATTACCTCTCCGATGTCCGGAAACATGATGTCCCCGACCAGCGCCGGTGGCTTCGTACGTCGGGCTGCCCCTGAACCGAATAAGCGGGCTTTGTATGTTGGTGGCCTTGACCCTCGCGTCACTGAGGATATCCTGAAACAAATCTTCGAGACTACTGGCCATGTCGTCAGTGTCAAGATCATTCCGGATAAGAACGTAAGTCAGCCTTCTGATGTGAGCACCCCATGAATCCCCCCTGGCTCCCCGTGCTAATTGTCACAGAAGTTCAACAGTAAGGGGTACAACTACGGCTTCGTGGAGTTCGATGACCCTGGTGCTGCCGAGAGGGCTATGCAGACGCTCAACGGACGCCGCATTCACCAATCGGTATGTGGGAATTTAAGCTTTACAGATCCAGATTCGTCCCATCGGAATCTCTGCTGACGATAGCTGCAGGAAATTCGTGTGAACTGGGCCTACCAGTCCAACAACACAAACAAGGAAGATACTTCCAACCACTTCCACATTTTCGTTGGTGATCTGAGCAACGAAGTCAATGATGAGGTCCTGCTCCAAGCCTTTTCCGCCTTTGGCTCCGTCTCCGAGGCTCGCGTGATGTGGGATATGAAGACTGGCCGCTCCCGTGGCTATGGATTTGTTGCTTTCCGCGAGCGCACTGATGCCGACAAGGCCCTGACTTCTATGGACGGGGAGTGGCTCGGCTCTCGCGCCATTCGCTGCAACTGGGCCAACCAGAAGGGACAGCCGTCCATCTCCCAGCAACAGGCCATGGCCGCAATGGGTATGACGCCCACTACGGCATTCGGCCATCATCACTTCCCTACCCATGGCGTCCAGAGCTACGACATGGTCGTTCAGCAGACCCCACAGTGGCAGACCACGTGCTATGTGGGTAACTTGACCCCTTACACCACGCAGAATGATCTTGTTCCCCTCTTCCAGAACTTCGGCTATGTACTGGAGACTCGTCTGCAGGCCGATCGCGGCTTTGCTTTCATCAAAATGGACTCACACGAAAACGCAGCCATGGCCATCTGCCAGCTCAGCGGTTACAACGTTAACGGTCGCCCTCTGAAGTGCAGCGTATGTTTCCTGAATATCTTTCGTTCGCCTTGAAGGCTTCATTGACTAACAGTCGTAGTGGGGCAAGGATCGCCCTCCCACCGGCCAATTCGACAACTTCTCTGGTCAACAGGGTAACTCGGGTTTCAACTCTAACCCGACCCCGTACTTCCCCCAGTACGGTGGCCCCGGCGCACCCATGACTCCCCAAGGTAGTTGCTTCTGTCTCAATCTTCATCCTCCTCGCTAACTCTGGTCGTAGGTCCGACGCCCAATCAACGCGGATGGGACCAGTCTGGAATGGCTGGCCAAGGTTATGGCCAGGTCCCTGGTAACGCCGGTTATGGCCGTGGTCAGGCCACGCCTACCTCCGGCTGGAACCAGCCTAACAACGCCAACTTCGGAAATGGTTTCAGTGGCTACCAAGCGTAGCCATTGATCATCGATCCACGCGACTGCAGGTCTGTCAGCTTGTAGCACGGCTGCTGGCAACCGCAACGGCGATGAGCGGAGGTTACTCTTTTTCTTCCTTCCCTCCTTTTTTTAATATTCTCACCTGCTGGTTTTCCTACCTTTCCGCCCTATCTCATCTCTTTCATGACTGCCCCCGACTAAGTGGATTTCTAAGCGCATCTCCCATTCTCAAATTCTTCCTTTTGAAATGAAATTTGTGTGTTCTAGTACACCCAATACCCCAAATCCGCTTTGTTGAGTCAACTTTTCCTATGCTCTTTTCTTTGAACGAATGTGCGTGACTTTGATCAGAGGCTAAGCTTCTTGGGCTTCCCGTTCAAGCGTTCTGCGGAATAAACCAAAAGTATTTTCTGTTCTCGTGCCGTTCTTGAGCCTTGTCTTTGGTCTATCGTCCAAATACCGCCTCTCCAGTTTGTATCGTATCTCATTAGTCTGTATGTGTGGCTTGCCGAAGAGCTCCTTGTCTTTTTTCTTTTTCTGCCTATGCACAGGAGCCGGTTGCCCGCGCTCTTTTCATTTCTCCAATGATCGAGAAGTCATATTTCTCTGGGTCTTTGGCCAATTCTTGACAGACAAATATTGATCCTTCATGGATTAGTGTGATGTTTGGCGATTTGTTCGCTTCTTCCCCGTACCCTATCCTCCTCTTTGTGATACCAGATACTGTGAACCTGATCTGCAGTCTCCTTCTCCCCACCCTGCCTCTGGCGTTTCGGATATTATACCTATTTTGTATGAGAACAGCAAGGCCCTGTACCAGGATAGCGCGTGGCCACGACGAGGTAGAACAGAAACCGCCGTTGTGTCAGTAGAATTGGATGATGGCTTGCGGTGACTAGTATGATACCTAATGAGTGCTAAGAAGAATATTTTCCGTGCGAGGTCGGGACCGTCCGAGTTCTATTAATACCCCCGACATGCCGCGGCCACGGATCAATCTCTCCTTCACAAAGTTGGAGGTGGAGAATTGGACCGGGAATTTCTCAAGTGACCGCCTGGACCCTTTCTTGGCCGCGGATGCCCACCCACCACCGCTTATCCCCCCTTCGTCCCTCCCCAGCACCGCCGCGGCTGATGAAAAGCCCCGACGACCCCTCAGGCTTCTGGTTTTTGGATGCGGGCGTGCTAACGGCCAGCTAGTCGCGCCCAGCTTGCGCCAATGGAAGATGCAAGCGACAGCAAAGGCGTGGCACTCTCGCTGGACAATAATGAGCAGCTCTCGGGCCGAGTGCGCTCGGGAAGCGCAAGCAGCGGACACAAGCGCAGCTCCTCAGGCTCGCTGCTGTCGCGTCTTTCCTTTCTCAGAATGATTCAAGCGACCCAGAATACCCCGGAACGAAGCCATTCGGGCATCGAGCCCGATGACGGCGGCGATTTTGGCTCCGGCTTGCGAGGAGGAAGGGCCATGTCGAATGCGATCCAACAACACCGACGAACGCGCAGGAGAAGGGGCTCTCTACGAAAGACCGCTTTGCTAGGCACACGGCTCGATTATCGGGACAAGAAGCAGGCCAGGCTACCAGCAGATGTTCTACGGACCGACCTCAACGGACAACCACAACGACCAGGCCCTTCTCCCCTCCCCTCCGATCCTCAAATACGCCCCTTCGTCGATACAACCTCCCCTGATAGCGAAACCATCACCCAGCAAAGCCCGAACCAACAAGACCGTGGAGGAAACAGTACGTGGACACTCATGGATGCACCACAACGGACCCGGAATGCGGCTGCTTCGCATCGTCAGCAGAATCAATCTAAAGAAAGCATCCTCGGCGATGAGATGATGATCACCGACGATGAAGACCTCATCTCCTTCACTCGCTCCAATAGCCCGAACACTGCCATTGCTGCCGCTGCGACGACCGCCGGGCTCCACCTCCCCACTGCCTCGTCCAGCTCCGATTCGTACTACGCCTTACAGGCCGATTCGACATACCGACCCATCCACCGTGCCAAATCGCCGTTAGCAACACACTCCGTCGACATTGCCAGTACCTCCGAGATCACATGGGACTACTCGGAGACGGAATGGTGGGGCTGGATCATACTGATTGTGACATGGCTGGTTTTCGTGGTCGGGATGGGGAGTTGCTTTGGTGTATGGAGCTGGGCGTGGGATGTCGGTGAGACACCTTACGCGCCTCCGGAGCTCGAAGACGACCCGACGTTACCAATTGTCGGGTACTATCCTGCGTTGATTGTGTTAACGGCCGTGATGTCGTGGGTATGGGTGGTTGTTGCATGGGTTGGGATGAAGTATTTCAAGCATGCTAATATATCCGGGGAAGATATATGAATGCTTTGTTTTTGTTCTTTTCGACGAATCTTCTTTCTCTGTTATGTAGCTGCGCGCTACATATCCCCTTTTTCCTTTGGTTCTGTGTATATATGGTTTAGCGGGTCGGGATGGAGTTTGAGTCTCGATATCGTGGTAATAAATAATTTACTGGCTAGGAAGAAAAAGAGGATTATAATAATAGTATTCCATACAGATGAAGAATGGCTGCAACGAGCCTACTAGTAGTAATAAGTTTATATAGTAGTCATGATGAAATAGTCCCGAAATAGTATGTCCCCGATTTACCACCTGCCCAACTCCGCACCCCAAAAACTCCCGTGTCTAACTACACTGTCAATGTTATCTGGCGCACTAATTTGCGATTTGGATCTGCTGCGGGGCCAGACCGCTATCCAACTTCGACCCACTGTCGTTGATGACACCAGGTTTGGTGTCCACGGTGTCGGCATTCTGCGGTTGCACGGTGGTGCCCGGGGCGGTGCTCACCAGGCCCTTAGACACCGCATAGCAGGAGGAACGATTCTGGTTCAAATCCTCGACGTAGAATTCATCCATGATCGGATGGAGCAGGACGGTCTGTTTGTGAATGGTGACGATGGAGTTGGCAGGGACAGAAACCCAGTTATCTGGGAGGGGGTCAGTGATGACTCACACGCAGCCAGTGAATGCGCACTCACGTCTCTCAAAAGTGATCGGTTCACTAGCCACTAAGACAATATCCGCCCCTTTGTCATGTCGCTCCATCTTGAAGTGTCCTTTATCCTTCCCTTCCACCCACTTGGTCCCAGAGGAGAAGTACAAACTGGCCGGTTCATCCGTCTTACTGCTGATATACCGTGTGCAGATGACGGTGTGGCCATCGGTGGCGGCGAAATTCAACAAACTGCGGGTCTCCACGTTCGAGACATTGTGTCTCTTCGGGATGTCTTTGACGAATCCGTTGATTTTCGCAATCGTCTTGATCATCACTCGGCGCAACAGCGCCTGTCCGAAGCCCTCCGGGCCCGGATCTGAGCTGGGATCCACACCCTCCTTTTCGAGAAGGTCGAGGAAGAGCGCGAATGCCCATTCGCTATCGGTTCCGCCTTTCACGCCGAGGAACCATTTATCGGCGAGGGAGTCGGCCAGTGGCCGCTTGATGTACTGGAATCCACCGATGCCGCCGTTATGCATCCACATCAGCGTGCTGTGCTGGAAGGGGTGGCAGTTGGTGTCGGAGAGAGAGCCCTCTGTAGTTGCGCGCACGTGCGCGAAAATCAAGTTCGAGCAGGTCTTGGAGGCGAGACGCTCGAGGTTCTCGCAGTTCCAGGCGGGGAGCGTGGATGTGAAGATACATGGCTCCGGGCCCAGTTTGGGGTCCGTGTAGAAGCCTACCCCGAAGCCGTCGCCGTTGACCGGACGGCGGTTGTCCTGCATACATAAGTCAGATGGGGTTCTGGGTCGAGGATGCGGGCTGCGTTTGCTGCGCAGGATACCTGGATGCTTGGAATGCTGGACTTACCAGTCGCAGACGGGAATCATATGACTGCGTGAGGATCGAATGGCTGGGTTCAGTGACCAGCTTGCTGAGACGGATCTCATGTCTGCCTTTGTATACCTGGCGACAAGCGGTCAGTGACTTAACTGACGTGGATGGGGCAGATCGGTGCTACATACCAAGAAACGACACATCTTCGGCGAAATTGTTTGGGAGATATGGCCAGTCAAGTGAAGATTTCCCAAAGATTTATTTCTCCGGGAGAAGAAAGAAGCAAACGCAAGGGTTGCTGTGGAGGCTACTTAGTTGTTCTCAGGGCGCAGTGTCACAGCTCGTTCCGACAACGGAGCAGTGCAGTTTCCAGCATTGACCAGCACCAGGCCCAGTCCAATGACACCTGAAAAATCCAAAGCAACTTACCGCACCCGAATACTCTGCGATTCAGCTGGAACAAGGAGTTTAGGGGTTGCTTGTCTGGGTCTATCTGGATGGCGACATCCTTGACCCACGTGACTCACCGAACTTTATACGGGCGGCGAAGCGGCCACTGGCGCAGGTCACGAGACCCGCTCCGGGATTCCCACGGCGGGCCCTCGACGTCGTCGAATGACTGACTGGATTTTGGTTTATCTCCGCCATTCATTCGTGCTCTTCCCCCGAGTTCATCATCCAAGGTCGATCGCCGTGGCTGCTCGCCCGGAAATGCCTGTCCCCTCTGTCTATTTCATCTGAGGTGTATGTGATTTCAGGAACAATGAGCGGGAGGATCCTCTCCCATCGTCTTGTTCCGCTATTGCGGACCGGTCTTTTGGCCCGCCATGTTCATAATGCTGCTGCGAGAACCGGGGGGCTTCTTCGCTCCGATGGCAGCGCTGCTCTTCGAGGACGGGGCTGGCCGATAGGTGCGAATGCGATACATAACAATGTGCCTGCTGTGCGGGCGATCTCTTTTACGCGGATACTCCCTAAACTGGCGCTCAAGCTGGTGAAGCTCCCTGCTATGTTTGGGGGTGCTATGGTAGCAGGTCTAGCTTATTTCCAATATCAAGCTACACGTAAGTGCTCGATGGCCACTCCTATAGCTGCAGATAGTTAATGGTAGTTTGGTTCTCTAGAGGCGGGAAATTATGCTATTGATGTCTTCAAACGTGCGGGGGAAACGGCGAGCGATGCAGCTTCGAGCTTGTTCCAAGAGATCCAGGACATTGCCGGTCAGACACAGCGCGGCTGGGAGAAAACGAAGGAGTCTGTGGAACTTCCAGAATGGTTGCAGAATATTCTACGTCCAAACGAGGACTCGCGGTCTGAGAACGGTGGCCCTGGAGGTGGCAAACCCCCTAAGGAGAGCCGTCTCGGTGCTGCGGCTGCTGGTGCTGCTACTGTCGGAGCTTTCGGTTACGAGGCGTCTGATGAGGAGGATACTCGCTCGGAAAGGAAGATCGCGGAGGATGATCAGATGATGCTTCTCACACGTAAAATGATTGAGATCAGAAACATACTGCAGAGCGTGGGCCAGTCGAATACCCTGACACTTCCGTCGATTGTCGTCATCGGTTCCCAGTCCTCTGGTAAAAGCTCGGTTCTCGAGGCTATTGTTGGACACGAATTCCTTCCCAAGGGTTCGAATATGGTTACCCGGCGGCCGATCGAGCTTACCCTTGTCAACACCCCCAATGCACAAGCTGAATATGGAGAGTTTCCGGCTCTTGGGCTGGGAAAGATCACCGACTTTTCCCAGATCCAGCGGACTTTGACGGATTTGAACCTGGCCGTTCCAGAAAGGGACTGTGTATCTGATGATCCGATCCAGCTCTCTATCTACTCGCCTAATGTTCCGGATCTCTCCCTCATCGACCTTCCTGGCTACATCCAAGTCGCTGGACATGATCAACCCCCGGAGTTGAAGCAGAAGATCTCCGACCTCTGCGACAAGTACATTCAAGCGCCAAATGTCATTCTGGCCATCTCCGCGGCAGACGTGGACTTGGCTAACTCCACTGCCCTCAGAGCCAGCCGCAGGGTCGACCCTCGAGGTGAGAGGACGATCGGAGTCATCACAAAGATGGATCTTGTTGATCCGGAGCGGGGCAATGACATCCTGTCCGACAAGAAGTACCCTCTTCGTCTGGGCTACGTTGGTGTTGTTAGCCGAGTTCCTCAAACGACCGCACTATTTTCCAGGGGCACTGGCAGCAATGTGACCGGTGCCATTCTGAAGAATGAGCACGCCTACTTTTCTGCCCACCCATCGGAGTTCGGGTCGCAATCCGGCGTTTCTGTGGGTGTCTCAACTCTGCGTACAAAACTCATGCATGTCCTCGAGCAGACGATGGCGTCAAGCCTAGCAGGTACTAGGGATGCCATCAGTCAAGAACTCGAGGAGGCTACGTATGAGTTCAAGGTCCAATACAACGACCGTCCTCTCAGCGCAGAATCATATCTCGCGGAGAGCCTGGACAGCTTCAAGCACTCTTTCAAGGCATTTGCCGAGAGCTTTGGCCGTCCTCAGGTGCGCGAAATGCTGAAGAACGAGCTCGATCAACGGGTAATGGACATCCTGGCACAAAGATATTGGAATAAGCCGATCGATGACCTGTCTGCTCCGCTACCGGAATTGGATCCGCTCAGTGACCTTTCCAAAGCTGATCCCGAGTCACTCTACTGGCATCGCAAGCTAGATGCTTCGACATCCTCCCTGACTAAGTTGGGAATTGGTCGACTTGCCACCACCGTCGTCGCAAACGCGATCCAAGCCCATGTGGATCGTTTAATAACCAACTCCACCTTCGCCACACATCCGTACGCCCAAAAGCAGATCGTTGATGCGTGCAACAGCATCTTGAACGACCGATTCTTCAGCACTAGCGACCAGGTTGAAAACTGCATCAAGCCATTCAAATTCGAGATCGAAGTCGAGGACCCCGAATGGACCAAGGGACGTGAGAATGTCAGCAAGACCCTCAAGGATGAACTCAGAGCCTGCGAGGCAGCCTTCAAGCGCCTCGAAGACTCGGTCGGACGACGGAAGCTCAAGGACGTCATGTCGTTTGTTGACAAGGTTCGAAAGGGCGAGGTCTTCCTGGAAGGCGACGGCGCCGGCGGTGCTGGCGGATTCAGCTCCTCCCTGATAGCCCGAGGTATGTTATACCCCCTCTACCCACTTCGATATCACTATCTAACACGAAACAGGCCGCGAGAGCGTCTTCCTCCGTGACCGCGCCGATCTCATCAAAATGCGCCTCCTCGCCGTACGCTCCAAACAATGCTCCTCCAAGAAAAACAAATACTACTGCCCAGAGGTCTTTCTCGACGTCGTCGCCGACAAACTCACCTCCACCGCCGTCCTCTTCCTCAACGTCGAGCTCCTCTCCGAATTCTACTACAACTTCCCCCGCGAACTCGACATGCGTCTCGGCCGCCATCTCTCCGACGCCGAAGTCGAGCGTTTCGCCCGCGAAGACCCGCGCATTCGGAACCACCTCGACGTCATCAAGAAGAAGGAACTCCTCGAACTCGCCCTCCAAAAGATCGAAAGTATCCGTCAACTCGACGGACGCGGAAAGAACAGGGATCCGGACCGTCCAGTGGGTAGTAGGGAACAGAGAAATCGTGGTTGGAATTTATTCTAATCACCCATCCAATCAAAACTTCCTGCCTACTACCAACTTCCGCTACCAGGGCTACTTAATGAAATAGATTTGCCCTTCTCTTTCTTTCCTTCTCCTTCTCCTCATCACCTCCATGTCCCTTCCTTCCTTGTATTTGGCGAAATCATTCGTGTTTCTTTCCTTCTTCCCTTCCCTTCCTCCTCTCCCTCTCCATGTGTGTATCCAACCTCACCTCTACTCTGCTCTATACCTCCCCCCACACCCCCTACTCCCTCCTCAGCGTATACCCTACCCTACCCTTCTCTCCCACACTCTTTATATCTCATTTCCTCCCCTCTTGTATACCAACGTCACACGGGACCGGATCTTGTTCATAGCTGAAGCGTAACTTGACTCTAGGACTGGATAGGATAGGATAGGATAGGATAGGATAGGATAGGCGTTGGCACCAAGTGCTCCTCTCATTCATTATAATAGATTTCTTCTCTTCGAAAAGTTGTGTGTAGATATGAGACTAGTTGATTGATTGTAATTATTTTCTAGATTCTGCAACTGGGAAGGAATGTAGAAATACATTGAGATGAGATAAAGCTTTTGTGAGTAACCCGCCAAATAGCATACAAGACCCAGTATATCCAGAATAAAACCTTTGGAACAAATTATTAGGGAAAGATGAACAAAAGATAGATGAATTGATAAAGACTGAACAAAGAAAAGTATGGCCAATTCTAGCATGTCTAAACAGTAACCCAAACCCGGTCTATCTATTTCGTACAGATAAAAGAAACAAATGCGATGAGGATCAAGGATTCCACACGAGCGACCACTGCATGATCTATGCTCGCTCTTGCGGAATTACCCATTGGACACTGCAGCAAACACAGCAGGGCAGTCTTGATCGTCACTGGTTGCTCACACGAAGCAATTATGACAGACAGAATGGGATAGGCGCCCATTTAGGTCAAGGAAGAAGATGGTCATTCAAACGGCGTCAATGAAGGGGGAATGAGAATAATGAACACGAGTGGAATAGAAAAAGAGGGGTTATCGCTTCGAATTCATGGGCGTAGCATGTCTGCTGATGGTGATACAGTGTCCAAAGTCTTTTGAAGGATGAATTTACTCCCGAGAAACGTCGCGGCCAAACAGCTTGGCCTTGATCCAGTCAACGGCAACCAGGACACGGTTACGAGCTATAATAACGTCAGTATCATAAATTGAACGCAAGTTCGTACAGGGTCACTTACTGCTGAAGCACATGCTCAGGTAAGCACTGCGCCAGAAGAGGTAGGTCATGGTACCACCGCTAGCGATGTTGCCGCTCAGCCAGCTGATGTCTGCAACAGCGCGCTCCTTTCCAATGTAAGCCAGACTACCCTGGTGGGAGTACTGGAAGGGACCAATCTGCTTGGTTCTCCGCAACTGCTTCTGGCGTTCGCGGATCTGGTCAAAGACCTGGTCACGCTCCTCACCCTTGGCCTGGGCCTGGGCATCGGACAGCTGCTTCAAGTCCTTCTCGATCGCTTCGGTCTTGGCCATGGTGTTGAACAGACGGGCAAGGAAGGCACCCTCCTGGCCAGCAACCTGGGCAGTGGGGGCATAGTTGGTGATAGCACAGTCACCGACAGCCCAGACGTTCTCAGTGCCGTTCACAACGAGGTACTCGTTCACGGCGAGACCACGGCGCGAGTCCTTCTGCGCGGGAAGCTGACTCATCAGATCGCGAACCACGGGGCGGACAGCGTTACCGGTAGCCCAGACCAGCAGACCGTAGGGGATACGCTCCAGGGACTTGGAGCCGTCGGGGTTGGTGACCATAGCCTCGATGTACTTGTCGGTGACGTTCTTCACCATGGTCTTGGCGCGGATGCTGATCTTCTCCTCCTTGAAGGTCGATTCGGTGTAGTCGATCAGCTGCTTGGAGAACATGGGGAGCACGTTGGGCAGAGCCTCAACCAGAGTAACCTTGAAGTTCTCCTGGATCTCGGGGATCCACTTCTTCAGGTCATCCTCGAAGAAATCCTGCAGCTCACCGGCGAATTCGACACCAGTTGGGCCACCACCGACCACGACCATGTGCAGAAGACGCTTAACCTCCTCCTCAGTCTGGTCCTTGAACATGGCAGTCTCAACACAGTCCATGATGCGCTTGCGGATCTTCTGAGCATCATCAACCTCCTTCAGGAAGCAAGAGTTCTCCCGCACACCGGGGATGCCTAGTTGTAATTAGAAAGATGACGTCGGCGAGTATGGACATCGAGATACATACCGAAGGTTGCATTCTCAGCACCGACACCAACGACGAGCATGTCAAAGGGCACCTCAGTGTGGGAGATGTCTCCCTTGATCTCGGAGTCATCGCTGATGTACACCACACGCTTCTCGTAGTCGACCTTGGTGGCTTCGGCTTCGTAGAACTTGACGTGGCCGGTCTTCTGGCGGAGAATGTTACGGATGGGCTCCATGATCGAACGGTGCTCGATCAAACCAGTCGTGCAGGAGGGGAGGAGAGGGGTGAAAAGGAAGTAGTTGCGGGGGGAGATGACGACGACATTGTAGTTCTCGGTGTCGAGCTTCTTCAAAAGGGAAACAGTGCCCCATCCGGTACCTGGAGGACGTGGCTCGTGAGTCGATGTTCGGCCGCGATGATGACGCGATAAGCGACACCGGGACGAAGAAACTTACCCAGGATGACCAGGGTCTTCTTCTCCGAGTCAGGGATGACCTGATCCACGGGATGACGCAGCTCGTAGACACTGTAGGCCAGAGCACCAGCCATACCCAGAGTCGAGAGCCAGGTGAGGCGCCAGGTCCAGCGCAAAAACCTGAAGCGCTTCTTGGGCTTGGGGGCCGGGGAAGCCGCAGGAGCGGCATCGGCGTAGGAGCGACGAGCAGCGCGCTGGAACTGCTGCTGTCTCAAGGAACGTGCGGAGCGAAGAACCTGGGGTCGCGTCGAGAGCGACCTGCGCGACAGCGACGACAACTGCATGGCGGCGGAGGGAGAGGCCATCTTGGACCGGATTGCCAGCGTACTTCCAACCAGTGTCGGTGGTGGTCGCACCTAAGCCAAAAGGCAAAGGAAGGGAAGGGGAGGGGGGGAGTGGAGAGGGGTGGGAAGGAGAGAAGAGAGAAGCGATTCAGAGAAATCGATCACTAACAGTAAAGACTGCCAGTGGAAAAATCACCGGCCTTGACAAAGTGAAATAAAAAAATGACTGTGTCAATTAGCTGTTTTGGGCGAATCGGTGTGTCGCTGCAAATCGCAGGGCGGATAATTTTCTCCTTCTGGCACAAGACGCGACTGGCTCGACCGCAAACCAAGTGGGTGCTCGGTCAGCCGGGGTTCCAGTGATTCATTCACTAGGCAGAAAAAGTTTTCAATTCCTGCCTTTTATCAGGCCGGAGGGACCAAAGGCGAGGCTGGTGGTCGAGTTGGAGATGGCAGAAATTGGAGAGGCTCGTGAGGGGGAATTCCTCAGTGGGGAGAAATTCGGCGCGCTCGGGATTGTCTGTGAGGGGAAGCCACTTGCCCGCTCCTGCTGCTGTTGCTGATGATGATGAGGTTCTTTTATTTGATACCAAGTCTTTATCAATTCTAAACAAGGGTGGTGACGATGACGGCGGAACCACACGATGCTCCGTCACCCTCAATACAACTCCGTAGTAGCAACGTGATTGTCCTGTCCGCTCACCCGGATATTGGATGAACCACCGATTATTCCCTACTATCAATTCCCAAGCCTGCATGCCAGCCATGCAATCCCGCGCGCTCCTTCCCGATTCTGTCTCCCACTGGCTTCCTCTCGCGGCCTTTCAGCGATTGGTCTCGCCCGGGCCACCGCTGGCTGACTCAGCTAGTGCCGCCAGCTGGAAACACACGGTCCTTCCCGAGCTTGTCCCCGGCTTCTCCCGCATCTAGAACGACTAGAGAATCCCAGCGTTGACATCTACTCCACCACTTAGTTTTAAACAAAGAGCACGGGGAGAATCCGGGGCAGTCAAGCTCCACTCTTCCTCAATCGCCCGTTTGGCCCCATTATCATCCAGTGACGAGTCCGTTTATTCCCGCAGTTGCCTTTGATCATGCACATCCGCTTGTTGGCAGTGCTGGGGATGTTATCAGGCCGAATCGCCATGTCTTCGCTGCACAGTCGTTGCTCACTTGTCCGAACGTTGTCCCGTCAAAGACGAATCTCGCTGTCATCCGATAGCAGCTGGGCCATCGAGTGTCCTATATCCGTCAACCATCTGAACGAGACACGAGGTCGATGGGCATGTTGTTCCTGTCAGCTACCAGCAATGGTTTCGAACTCGATGCTTCAAACTTATACGGCGGCCTCGGAGGGTCGCTATGGTCGAATAGTCAATGACGTTTGGCATCAACATACTTCACAATCTGTGCCCATGGGAAGATCAACTGTTCGTTGGTGTGCGAACTTGTCACCGTCAGCCATATCCTGAGAGTAAGCCATGCGACATGGCATCATTCAGTGTCCAATGGGAAGGCATACTTGCCCAGTGGGCGTTTTGAAGGTCACCCACTGGCTGCAATCTTCAGACTGTGATTTGAGTCTTCTTGCCCGGCTTCAAGCTAACAATAAGTTGATTAGATAAAGTACGCCCATACTGTAAGGGGCCCACCAATAGAAGCAACTGGCAGGCCCTTGGCGATCTTCGAAAGACCGGCGCTACGAATACAATGTAACGTCCAACGACCGTCCCGAACGACGATGTACGGAGTGTTGGTATTGCATACAAAAGACGGGGTACAAACAAGGCACGGTATGGCAATGCATATCGCACATAACATGTACTTGGACACACCATCTCTTGGTATGCTTACTGCAACCGACGTTGCGCACTCCGTACCGGTCCGAGTATGTAGCACAAATGTCTCAAGTACTACACATTTGACTTGTCAATCGGCGATCCAACCAAGGGCATCTGCAGCTGTATCTGTACGACATCCGCCATTTCAGCAGTCCTTGGGTACACTTGTGAGAACTCACCAGACACAACACGAACCATATCCATAGGTCAGCCATTTTGGGTGGCTTACCTGCATATTTTGGTATGTTGTAGGGGAAGCTGATGTGAGGAAGGTCGTGATGCAAGGAGCATACCCAAATATATTCTATAACACAGGCTGAACAACCGGATATTATGCTTTTCTGGAGTCAGCAGTCGATCTAGACTGCCCCAGACAGCTAGCATCTTCATACCGTGCTTACAGTTCCAGCAATCAGATCAAAGACTATTCCAGGGGTATATGTGCGACATACTACATTTTGATTCTCCATATTGGTCTGATATACCCAACTGAAGACGAGTCATTCACTCCCCTAAACCTATTGAACTCTATGCATGGTCGCTGGGGTCCATGTATCCCTTCGTGATTAGGGATAAGACATGTAGCTGTCTTACGGGGTATTGCTCGTACGTGATAGAAACGAGGCAAACTGTCGTCCAAATTAGGCGGGAAATCATACCCCGTCAGTCATGCTGTCAAGGTTTCAAAAACATGTTCTTGCAATCCGACAGGTCAATTTTGCATCTACAGTTCGATGACGAAACACCAAGAAAGTTCATCGAACAGTATTGTGAAGGGCAGCGATCAATCTACCATCATACGATGTTTAAGCATAACTAGGTCTTAAATACATAGCTATGTTTCTAGCCGGTCAATATCGTATTACCGACTCGTGTAGAATAACATCGTATACCTCTATTCATTACTAAATGTCATTGACATATATCCACAACGATCTACTTCAAGCACGCAAACAAACCTATCAAAAATATAATTCTACCTAATCCCACATACTCTCCTAGTTCTAGAGTCCAGACCTCGAAAATATCCCAAGGCTACCATGAGCCATAAGCAGATACTCGTTAATCCAACCCATAGACATGATTAATAAATGAAGTCTCAACGACGTAAGCCACTACAATAAACAGGAACTAATTACTACCTTTCACTCCAACATTCCCAAACATCAACCAAGAAAACACAATCATAGATTAGTATATATGGGTATACTCCCACTTCATGCATCGTCTACTAAAAGCTCAATTCACCCACCCCCCCCCCTCTCCCCAACTCCTACCATGTAGCTTTACTCGAATGCCATCAACTACTCACAATGGCAATGCAACACGACTCTCCCGGTGTTTTTACACTCTGATATAGAACGAATGCACCTATAACTATGAATGACTTGTCTCAGCATATCAATATATACCTCTCTCTCTTTTCTCTCCCAGGATGTCAATATATATATATATATATATATAGTATAAACTCAGACAACTCATCAGCAAAAACCCTCCATCTACTTGCTTCTCATGAATACATCTTCCATCGGCATACTATCTTATGGTATATACTCTGCGTCTGCATGGCCACCAAGAATAAATAGATGATCTGATTTATCGACATACATAGTACAGGATGGTTCTTTACATGAGCTTCTTCCACCCCTTCCTGCTTGCAGAGGTACTTCTTTGTCTCGATGTGAGGTCATATATCGGGGATATAATATATATATATATACATATATATGTATATATATATTTTTTGTTGAGTTTGCTTTTGGTAAGGAGATTGAGAAGTGCGGAGCGAGTACCTGTCTACTTTGGAGTATTTGTTCTATGGGATGGAGTAACTGTTTGAGATAGGGATGTGGTTGTCGGATTGTTGCGTATCGTGTTACGGGGGCATATAAGTTTGTATATCTATGTGCGTGTAATTGCAAGTACATAGTATCCGTGATTCGAGTATATTCGTTTCGATATTCTTCTTTCCAACACCCGGGGCGAAACGAGGGAATATATATTTATTATCTCGAGTGTTAAACAAGGATATACACTGAATCGTCCAGATACGAATAGGGATAGCAGTCATAGTAGGGAGTATATACGATCAAGTTGGCATACTACCATACTGCTATACCATCTCTACTGAGTACTTACTACCAATCAATACCCATTGCTCAAGTCCAGGGAAAGCCCATGGCAGACCACCCAGATTTTCACAGAAGATGTTGTGATATTGTATCCATCTATATACGACAACCCCATTGAATTACGAAACAGCCACATCAAGATAGATCATCTCAGCGCTGAACCTTTGTTCAAAGTTGAAAGGCTGCCCTAGGATAGCTGGCATACACGTAACTATCGGCGTTCATAGCCACCGAATCATAATCACTGTCATCAACTACAACACATATGTATGTGGGTAAAATGTATCCGGGCATCACCGCTACAATGGAATGTCTTCAACGAGATTGGAAGACATGGCGATAGGTTGTGCCTGAAAGAATGCAGTCATACACACAGACAGTATACTCTGTTCTTAGGAGGACAGACCAACGGTGTCAAGATGACCATGGACAAGTACACGAGACGGCGTGGTAACTCCGGACCCGTGAGGCTGTCAGGCTGCCGAGAATTTCGTGCTTGCTGGGTGGCTTGCTTTTTCGGGGTATGCTCTTTCGCAGGGAAGCAACGTTGCTTTTTCCAAGCTCGTTTTTGAACCCAAAAATGTGTACATCGTACATATGCAAGCGAGATGGTCTCGTTCAGTTAATTTAATCCAAACAGGCCTGGGATGCCCGGCCTTGGAGTGTTTAATCGACCGTCCGTGAGATAGGCTAGACATGTATGTTGTGTATATTCGTCCTCAGTTAGTGTGGGTTAGCTCCGGTGTTATCATGTGGAAATGAGAGGAGGAAAAAGCAAGTATGCGGTGCTCGAGTTCATGTGTACTATCCCAGAATCCTGCTCCGTAGGAGAGGGACAACAAGTTAGTAACCCGAGCCCTGGGTCTAGATCGAACCAGCGGCGACCAAGGCAGGCATCGGTAAGCATGAGCGACCAACTCGACAACGTGTACAGGACTCGAGCTCAAGCCAGCTGATATGTCGAAGTTGGTTCATCTGAGCAGAAAGTGGTGTCCACAGACCCTGTCAGCATCTCAGAGGGACGATCGCAGTCTCTAGTGCACTGGCAGTCTGATCGATTAGGTCATTCACTGATCGAAGTCCAGGCCTTACGTGTCCTCCACAAGTGGGATTGCGATGATAACGTTTGCATGTGGTCATGTATGCGAGATTTCCGGGTTGGGTTAGGGACCAGAATCCTCGGAGGAGTGCAGCGACAGTCGTGGTGGGATCCAGATCATACGGGGACCAGTATATAGGCTCTGCTAGTACTGGCAGGGATGGAAAAGATCGGAAGACAGATGGACCAGGGATAGGAATTCGGTACTTTTACGCTACCTGCCTGGTGCGGAGCCTGCTGCCACTGCCACGATCAAGTGGATGACGAGGACGGCGAGGGACTTGTCCATTTCTTTCCCAGGAAGTAATGGAGGACGGATGTGGCTCAGGTGGATGAAGTCTGATGGTGAGACGGGATTCGTAAAGGGACTCCATCGGTCCCAGGCTGAGAGGAGGAAGGAGAGCAAGTTACGTAGCTCGACTTGCATTGGCGATGCCTCGAGACTGACTTCAAAGTTGGGGGGATAGTGGTACCATACGATACTGAATACCCGGTACAGACTCCATACATCCATAGTACATACCTCCAGGTAAGACACGTCCAGTCACTGCAAGTGACACGCTCATTGGCGACTAATTCTACGACTCGATCTGGTCTGGCGGGGAAGGTAGGTTCCAGTTTCAGGCCAGACAAGTCACCGTGAAGGCACTCCGGAGGAGACTCAAACATTCGAGCCGTTGGAAAAGGGAAAACGGGAGCGAGGCAACAGAAACCTTGAGGGGGCTTCGACCCGGAGTTGAGGTCAGGCTCCAACCACCCCGACGGATGCATCTGATGCAAAAAGCCTCCGTGGGTAATGTTGGCTTCGGGATCGTGATCGTAATCGCGATGATCTGGGGACTTTCCTCTCTGGCCAGAGGCAAAAGGGTGATACCAACTCCTCCTGCGCACCCGCCCGTCGAATGGTCATCGCCGAGCTTATTGCTAATCAATACGGTCGCAGAGTTCGAGGGTTGGTCCAAAACGCGATAAGCCGCGTGCTTCCACGGCCGGGATTCAGCAGCAGCCTCGGCTGGACCAATCCAGTACTCCGTCCCCCATCTGAGGATCTTCATCTTCTTCATCATCATTATCATCGTCATCATCATTATTACGAAATTCGGGACTGCGACTTCGAAGGAAGAAGGGTCGTTTCCAGGCGTTTTGCAAATCAGCCCACCGGATGCGTTCCCCTGGTTCCCCATGGTTGCAAACTACGGAGTAAGCCTTGACATCGACGCGCCCCTGTAATCGGGACGGCTGAATGGCGGCATTGGAACCCTTTCCATGGTAGATGTGCCGTGGTCGTGAGCAAGGATCGATAGCCTCGTCTCATGTTGAACCGACGCAACTGCTGCCTGTTTAACCGCGCTCAAGGGAGGACGAAGGGGGGTCGAGTCTCGACTACGTAGCAGTTGGTCGGCCGCAGTAAGCTTGCACACACGCCTGGCTTCAGATGAAAGCTTAAGCTGCAGTATCATATCGCACAAAGGGTGCGATGTATCATGCTTATCCTCCACACGAGGATTGTTTGTTTACCCTCGAATAAGCTGGCTGCTTCGACAGCATCGAGCCGCAAGGATTAGAAACTGCAAGGAGCCTGGAAAGGCAGCAAGGTGGGAAGGACGGGCAAGAATGCTCATCTTCAGGGGAGAGAGAGAGAGGAAAGCTCCCGGAGCGTAGGACCGGTCCTTGCGTACGCCCTTCGATTCGGACCCCGTCTGGTGATGCGATCACTCGTGGGTGGACTGAAGGTGCAAAATGATGGGGGGGGAAGCTGGGGATGGGGATGGGGATGACAACCCACGGGCAGCGAGAGCGGCACCTTCAGGCTGGTTGCGTGATAAGAGAGAAAATCTCCGAGGAGTCGTTACCCGTTTTGGTCCACATAGTGATAGGCCCGGCCAGTTCATGCAATATGGGTCGAGTCGAGTCATGGATGAAGACTTGATGATTTGATCAGTCCCGCCGACCAGAGTAATCAGGGCTTAGCCGTAGTAGAGTCTGGTTTGGAGGACTGGATCTCATGCAATCAATTTCCAGCCGGGTCCGCGCGGTACGAGAACGAGTATTACATAGATAGTAGTACTTACTATGTAGGAGATAGTATCGACGCTGCCGATCTGCTTATTCCCAGGGCCACCCCATTGTTTCCGACCTTGGAGACAACACACCGCGAGATGCCTAGTCAAAGCTATTCACCCAATGACTGTGCCAGGGAGGGGATCCCGAAAAAGTTAAGACACCGGGGCTGGAGGTGGTTATCCACCTCCATCACCAGTCACCACAGAATCACCGCATAGTCACCCCCGGCGGGTAAAGAGGATCACCTCGGATGGCCAGGGTGAGTTGATCGGATGCATCGTTGCTGGGCTCTGGTGGAATTCCATTATATTAGGCTGCACCTTGTGTAATAAGTATGACCACTTAGGGCCGTCATCACCCTCGTCATGGATGACCAGAAACCTACTCGATCAGGAAGGCCGATAATTTCCCAGGCGGTTCAGGATCGAAGGAATTTTGTTGCGGCCCCTGCGCGAATGAAAGCAAATAGCCTGTCGGTAAACGGAACCAGAGGCCAGGGGAGGTACAGTGGTACTATGGACATCGTAGTACGGAGTACATCGTGATGACTAGAATAGTTAGTCCGTAGGCACTAGGTCATCACGATAATGATGATATTAATAAGAGGGGGACGATTTTGATCAGTGGCGGCAGTTGCTAAGCGGTTAATTTCAGCGTGAAGTACGTAGTGAAGGCGTACTCCGTACCGAGTACCTGATGCCTGCCTACGGGGGACCAGGGAGGTTACTTGGCAGTTTAGTGTCTCTGGTGCAGAAGACCCGAGTACTGGCGGTGACCCTCTTGGCCTCGGCCAGTCCACTGCACCCGGACATTTCTGGGCTGTTGTCACTTGTCGCGGCTAAGTATACTACTCCTGTGTCGGTAGTACCATAGTAGTAGTACTATGTAAGTAGGTGGGTGGATATGTGCTGTGGCAAGCATGCCTTTATTCGTTAAACATCAACCAGTAGTCACCAACTATGAGAACGGCGGTCCATACGTAGCACTAATGAGCAGAGACCTGCAAGCTTCAATTCCTGCGCTCTTCTCGCCTCGCCCTGAGTCGGCAGATGACGGCAATGAAAGGCATGTCATTAGTGCGTATATCTGGTTGCGATGGCAGTTGGGCCCAATGACACGATCCGTCTTGCTCTGCCCCTCTGAGAAGGCGAAGATTCAATTTCATTGAACCCAAATGCGCAGAGCCAGAAGGGCTAATTGCCCGGGGCAAAACCGACAGGCGCCAAGGCAAAGATAGGAAAGAAATAATACTAATGAAACCAAAAAGTTAAAAAGAATGCAAAAGAAAGGGAAAAAAAAATAGTCTTTCGAAAACGAGAAAAGCTTAAGCTGGTAGCCATCGTTGGGGAGCTCGACCTACTACGAAGTAGATAGGTAGATACGACGGAGGAATAGATACCTGCTGCTGGTCTGAACAGCAGCTCCATATCTATTCTAGGAAGGTTAGTGGATGAAAGCCAACCGGCGTCTAAGGATACCAGACCCCCAAAGCAGCAGACATTCACCGAAAATGGCCTCGTATGAGCTTCGATCGCCGCGTCAACTCGCCATTGTTCGTTCTAGCAACATCAACTAGCATCGTTGCCTGTGCCCGCCGCTGCGCCCGAGTGCTCGGGTGACAAACGACCCAAGGATGCCCACCAGCCCCAGTTTTTCAATCTGGATGGAGCTCGAAGGTTTGAGAATAGTTCACTCACAACGGGGGGGACGGAGTCATCACCTATGCTATGAATTGGTTATGGTTTCGGTCGGGGTTGACGGACTCGTCTCCGTGATGATGATGAACTGGATGACCGATCGTGGCTATTTCTGAGCTGGGAAAGAAGTGGCACGCACGCTCCACTTGGATTTCTCCCTCTCAGTGCCGGAAGTTCTGGAACATCTCCAACCCACCCTGTCTATTTGTTACACTTACTACTTACTCCGTACACCGTATCGCTCTGAGTCGTGATGACCCAGAGGCCAGGCTGCAAAAATAAAGGAACGGTCCAAGAGTGTCTCCTCTCTGACGCCTCTGATTCGATGGACTCCCCCCCTCATTAAGTGCCCGCGACTATCCAGACTTTCAGCTAGTGGCTGTGATACCAATTGGAATGCGGAGCGGCAGACTCCATATGCAAGTGCAAAAAAGGGCGTCGACGTAGCTTTCGAGGTTTCCTATGGGGCTGCGGTGATTTCTCACGGCCATGCGGACTTAACCGATTCTTGTCGGAAAGAAGGTTGAAGAAGGAACCTAGAAATCCCACCTTTGAAGCGTAAAAGGGGAAGGACCAGGGGCCAACGCTACGACTAGCCAGTAGCCACTATGCCGAGCTCCATCCAATTCGTACTCCGTTGATACTACCACTACCACATAGTAGGTCCTAGATAGCTCCAGGGAAATGGTCGAGAGCCCTAGCGACCCGACGTTATCAGTTTTCTTTATTGGCACTAAGTGGCGTGCAGTTTCCATCGTTTCTTTTTCACCTGCGCTGGGTTGGTTGGGCCATCACCTGATTCCGGCTGTAAAATCATCTGCGGTCGATCCCCAGTTGTTGCTGCGGTTATTGTTCTTATTGTTGGCGACGACAACAACAGGAATGATGATGAGAATGATGTTATTCGGACAAGTCATCTCTCCAGGGTGCAGGTGCCAATCAGTATCTAGTATCTACGAGTCGACCAAAGTATCCATCGTCTCCCGACCCGTCCAGATGGAGCGGCTGTCAAAGTCTCACTCGTTTTTATTCTTGGAAATGGGTGCAAGGCTGATATGATTCGGTAAACCTGAAGCCACAAGCATGGACGAGCTCCGCAACAATGCCAATCAATAAAGGACCCAGACGGATTTCGCCCGACCCAGCGCTGCCATTGCCTGAGTTTCATCATGCGGTCGTTCCAATCATTACGCCCGAATCCTTTGCAAGTCATGTCAAGCCCACCTGCAGAGTACATCTTATGGTACGAAGTAGTCCATGGCCGCCACACGCCGGGAATAATAATAATTATTAACATATGAACGATGATCAAGAAGTCCAACCAAGAGATCAAGGTTCCTCCATCTCGACAGGGTTCATTTACATAATGAAAAGACAGCCGAGGCGAAGGAGGCCTATCGAATCAAATGATAGGAAGGACTCCGTACTCGATGCTAACCACTCCTTTTTTTTTGGGGTCACGTTCGTGGGATAAAATTGTCATAGGACTCGGAACACGTTCGGTATTGCCTCAATAATCTCGGATGAACAACTCCTCAACCAGCCTTCGCAGGGGGGGCGGCGGGGGTTGATCGGTAGCCGCACTTTGAAAGGGCCTGACGAATAACAACGAGAGTTCTTGGGTGCATCGCATCCATCACTTACTCAATTGATCTGCTCCAGTGGTCTTGCACTGTCATAACGCCATGCCTGAACTATCAAATTGGGATTGGGATTTGGATTTGGATTCCCCCCTGAACTTAGTCAGTGGTACGTGCATGGGGGGGGCAAGGGCACTACGACGGCAGTCTAGGGTCAGGGAGGGAAGTTCTCCGACGGCGATGCACCTGCTAACGAACTAACCACCAGCCTACATCCCAGGCGAGGTGCGACTTGGTACAGGCACAGGAAGCGATCGTTACGCTAGCGACCACAGGAGTGGCTATCTCCAACCTTTCGGGTTCGAGGTTGAGAAAAGGAAAGCCTCCGGGACACTGATAATCGTCGCGTTCAGGGCTAGCCAAAGTTCAAGCGCCATCGGTCGACAATCAGACCCCGAAGTCAGCTCGTCGCCCCGAACGCAGAAACAAGACGCGTCCGGAAGTGGTCCAAGATGAGACACAGATTAATCCTCAGCCGCCAACTATTATTGATCACCGGCCGGTACGAGGTATATGAAATCATAATCAATGCCAATAATATCAATAATAATAATCATCCTCAAGCGCGTGCCGGCCAGGATCGATTCGAAGCAATGGCGCGTTTCCGCGGTCCATGGCCAACAGGACGGACGGCGTACGAGCTGCTCTCCCTGAGCTCTGGCCACCAATAGTAGGCCCATCATCATTCCATGATTGTCCCCATGAACCAGACACAGAGATGTATATCCCGTTCGCGCGCCGAACATTCAGTATACTCCGTACTATTCGCGGAACATAATTGATTGACTTGAAGCATGCCCACTCGCCCGTCTCCCCCAAAGGGTATTATGAAGTGCGACCAGCCGGTATTACAAAGGGTACTTTCTGCTGCGTTCTCTTTCCTGGTTTGGCTCACGGTGATCGTACTTCTGGTTGTATACTCATCCGTAGGGATTGATTACTTTTTCGACCGTGTACGCTGTATACTCCGTACTGTCCCCGTCACCTGGACGTAGTGCCTTCACCCATGCTAGGGACCCTGGAGTGGTGAGGAGGTGGGTGTGAATGACTGACTGTTGTATTGGATCCAGCAGTGCCCCCCTCCCTCTCTCCATTGTTAGTTTCAGGACTACTGCCGCGGATATGTGCGCGATGTGGGTGATATCAAACCATGGAAAGTCAGGTTCCTTCTTTCGGCCAAGTCAATGACAATAATGAAGGACGCGGACGTACACGAGCAGCTGACAGGATGCACAGGAAAAACCCAAATCAACAACAGCCGCCCTGCGCCTTCATGGGTCGGGTCCTTGGCTGGGGTGGGTTCTCCCTTTTTCGCCTGCCGGGAATGACCAGCGGCGGCGCCCTCTTCCCTCGAGACCGAGTCACCGCAGTGGCTGCAAAACCGGTGGCGGAAACAACGAATGGGCCAGATCGAATTTCCGTCCGTCGCTCGAATGCTACTAAGGCAAGTCGGGTCCTGCTGGGAGCCTGGGCGGGCGTCGTAGAAGGGCACCGAAACGGTGCGCCCATTTTTCATGGTTCGGGCCATACACGGAAGATTACGACCGGGCGGAGTATGACGGCAGAGAAGGAAGAGAGGAACCTGGAAAGGCGCAGGCGCAGGCGACGAGAGTTGGGGAGTTGGGTGGTGTGGTCGCGCGGATTGGCTGGCGGGCCTGCCTGGGTTGAGGTGTGGATAACTTCCCATACCACCTCAGAACCATCTGGTAATCTCCATCTCCCCGGGCGGTGGATAAGGGTATGGTATCATGGGTATGTTATGTAGCACTTGTACACAGCAAGCGAGTCGCAGGAGCCCGGTCGGCCCCGCGACCATCCATTATTCATTATCCATGACTATTCATACTGCTAGTAGCGAGCACTAGACGACTAGGTCTGCTGGTGATGGGCACTAGAGAGGCAGGCCGACCGTCACAGTCACAAGGGGCGCCTACCTCGATATGATTATGATGATGATGGTGGTGGTGGTGGCCGGTGGTGCTGCTGAGCCCAACTTAGCGGTACCTAGTGAGTGGTCCCCTCTTAGTCCTTCGTAGTCTCAGCTGCCTCCGGCTCCTCTGCCTAAGGTACGGGGTCGTCCTTCGCACCACCCATCGCCCTCCTCCAAGGCTCAAACCATCTCGAGTGGAAGGCCCACGCTCACAGCGATTGGCTGGTGTTTTCAGATCGATGGAGTCGGCCATTTGCTTCCCGCCTGGTGATTGGTCTCTCATCTCATTACGCCTCTCTGGGTCGTTGTGTGCAGCTTATCCATCCAATTCTCGGACTCACACATGCCTTACATGCCTACATGATGGATACGCAGCATCCTGCCTTGGCCCCCCTCATTACACAGCGGGTGGATAACGGCCAGGCGAGCACCTCGTCGTATGCGACGCCGTAAAGTTTCCCGAATCGCTTGGAGAGGTCGTCATGACGGGCGTGTGCCCAGGCCGGAGAAACACTATATCGGTATTACCGTTACTTGGGCGCACCTCTTACCTGTCCAGGACATGGGTCCTAATCCACTTCGAGTTAGTTGCCCGCAGGCTGTCCAACCGCCCAGTTTGTTCCCATACCTCCCAACCTATCCGGACCCGTTCCATACCTGACGCGGTTGGTGCTGTGGTGTGAGGGAGATACATTTGGTCGCCGGGCCATACAGAATTCCTTTCCCCATGACAACCCGAGCCACCCAAAGCTGAGCCCGGTACCCTTGCCATCATCTACCACCAATATTTGCCGACAAGTGATTGATTGACTTTGGATTTGCCTGGCGCCTTACTAAGGCCGTGACCAGTGACCAGTGACTCGTAGTTGACCAGCCTCTACTACTAGTACCAACCACGGACTAGATCCGTTTTAGCCACCATGACCCTCATACAGCTGCCGTACGCAGCGATCCATAATTCCCATGCTTTCCCCCCCCCGCCTCTTTTCCCTCCCCTCCCTTTCTGCCCGTCCCCAGTCGCTGCGCACTTTAATGCGTGCGGCCCTAACGCCTTTTGGGAAGGATGCCGTAAGAATTGTTTGATTATTACGCAGTGACCAAAGGCAGTGTACTTTTCCGTACCGAGAGTTTTTCATTCCTTTGCCTTCCGCCGGGTTGAACTAGAACTGGCGATCAACCACATCCGAGTGCACAAACCTCCCTTCGTCCACTCTCTCCCGTGCCTCCCGGGGGCTGCTGAGCAATGCCCACCCCTTCTCCCTTGGTGTAAGATATCTTTGCCTTTTCCTGTTTCGTTCCTTTTTTTTTTTTTTTTTTTTTTTTTTTTTTCTCTTTCGTTCCGTTTAATTTATTTTTGGCGGGGTTCATCGTTTATTATTTCACCCATTGCTTTTGGGGTTGTAGTACTTGGTTGTGAGGAGGATCTTTGCCTTTTAGATGATTACTGCATGTCTTTCCACTTTAGTACCGAGGAGTGAGAATCAGAAGAGTAACTGCAACAACGGAACAGATGCAGCAGTATGTACTTCAGTCCAGTCACCAAAAGGAAAAAAATAATAAAATGCGAAAATAAGAAAAGAAAAATCCCAATCCAATCTGGGCGGCACACCACGACGGTTGCAATGCGACGCTAAACCCGACTTATTATTGGATCTGATATGGGTCCTACGGAGTTAGCAGGCACGTATTATTCCAAGACCGCGCGAGGTTCTTGTCCGAACTTCCACCCCTCTTCCTTTTCCCTCCCCTCTCCAAAAAAGCCCCCTTCCCTGGACCAGTAAAGTGACCTACAGGCGCTAGAACCTAACACTGGATCTGGTCTAGGGCTGCTGACATTGTTACCCTTCCACTACTCCGTAGCATGCATCCACTTTGTTCCCCCCCCCCCTCCCCGTGGCTCTGACATCAACCGGTATTTCATTCTCTTCAAGACAAAGCAGAGACAATCAAACCCGGGCAGCCAAACCGGAACCGACCCAAACGAGGCCAGAAAGGAGGATCAACCCTCTGGACCTGCGTCCGGGTCAAACTTTGTCTATCCTGTATGGGCACAGCACTTTCTCCGGACGAGAACTAGCCTACCCTGGCTCCTCTAGCGGAGTTGCTGTGAAGATGATTAGCTATTTGCTGGATGGAGGATGAGGTCTTGACCTCATCCTTCATTATTAGTACCTTTCTTTTACTTTTTTTTCTCATTTCCTGAATTTTTATTATTTTTATTTTTATTATTCGGCCTTATTCAATTTGAATCCGTTCTCCTATATGGGTTCACATCCATCGAACATCGTTTTTTGATTTATTTTATTTTACCTTTTTTTTCTCTCTTTTGCTCTAAATTAACTCCCTTGACTTTCCTTTATGATCGTCTCATGGCCCTTTTAAATTACCTGGGATATAATACTTTTTTATAACTGGTTGTACTTGCAACCGAACTTGGTGCAATCTATATCCAGAACTTCACCTTCCATTCTCCTGTCACTGCTACTTGACTTTCTATAACTACTGCGACCTGGCTACCCTTGAGACCATTAGTATACCTACTATGTGAAATTCGCCTTTCTTGGTCCCGGCTTCCATTGCTCCCACCCCCTTAAGTGCCTTCATTCCATCTGGGAAGGCAACATTCACCGGCTCCGCTACTGTTGCTATCCTACCAACTACTTCCCCCCGCCGCCAATTTGATATTCCCTAGGAACCAACCCACCTTTCGGCGATTTCCTTATTCGATTGCGAGTGTTCTGACCATTGTCTCGACCTGTCGCTACAAGCCTTCGCATACCACAGCAACATTGAGGGCCTAGGAAGCTAGCGGTGGTGAATAACACTCGACACGGCGAAACACAGCTTGGTTCAGGACAATTCCAATGCGAGTTCTTTGACAAGGGTGTTACTTCCAATCCCTCTGTCTCCTTCGATTTGACACCTCTCCACGCTCCACGTCGGCTGCAAATACCTCCATATGTCTCTCCCGATCCTATCAACGCAACCATACCTCCCCGCCCTCCATCCGATCACTCCCACCATAGCTCCCTACTCCAGGACCCAAGGTTCGACGAGTGCAAGGAAACGAAACTTTGACGCAGTTGCGGAGGTCTCTGAATACGCCTGGACTGCTCCCTTCCGGGACGGTCTTCCAACACCCCCCGGCGACATGAATGGCGTCACCGCTTGCAGCACTCTTCCGGCCTCTTCCTACGGGGGGAAGCTGGATGGGCTCCCGCTCCCGCCATATGCTAAAGTCTCGGATTATGCGCGCTTGGTCTCTGATGGGCCAAGTGCAATGGGTCCCTCATCTCAGTATCCAGCGCCAGTCAAGGATACTATAACTGAGCGGGAGTCTCAGAAGAAAAGCAGCTCCAATGCTGTTACTTCGTATCTCCAGATCCCTTCATCTATCAGCAACAGCAAAGGAAGCTTGGCTGAATTTGCGGCACAGGTGAGTTGCTTTGATACCTCGTTTGGACTCGAATGCTGATCTCGGAGTAGATGACATGTCTGTTCTGGTTCGAAAGTACAGCGAAACTCCAGGCCGTGGAGGATAGCCTCGGCTCGGCCACGGCTCTTGCTCCAGAAGCCATTCCTACTGTTGCGTTTCAGAAGTGGGTGAGCAACATTCTGTCCACCACCCAGGTTAGCCAGAATGTCATTTTATTGGCATTGTTGTTCATCTACCGGTTGAAGAAGTTCAACCCTGGCGTCCGAGGAAAGAAGGGCAGTGAGTATCGGTTGATGACCATTGCCCTGATGCTGGGCAACAAATGTATGCAGTTCCCTGTCTAAAAGTTGTCTAAGCAGAAGCTGACCGTGGTACAGTCCTTGACGATAATACGTACACCAATAAGACCTGGGCCGAGGTCTCCGGGATTACGGTTCATGAAATCCATATCATGGAAGTGGAGTTTCTCAGCAACATTCGCTATAACCTCTTTGTGTCGAAAGAAGAATGGTCGAAGTGGCACACGAAACTGGGCCTTTTCATCGACTTCTTCAACAATGCGCCTCGAGCCCCTGAACCGAATGAGAAACACCCTACGCCTCCCGTGCTCCGGGTTTCTCCCAACTTGGGACCGTCGCCTCGGGCACAGTTGTCCCCCTCGACCAAGCTGCCATCACCTCCCGCCTCCGACTCCCTGCGGCCGCAGACCTGGGCTTTGCCTATGAATGCCGTGCCGTTCAGTGGCGTCCCTCAGCTCCCGAGCGACATGCCACCTGCCAGCAATCCTCGGAAGCGGTCTCGCGAGGAGCCCGTCGAGGAGCACCCCGTGAAGAGGGTGGCCACGCAAAACAGCCTCCTCACATCGATGCCGACACTGCCACCGTCTTCCGCTCTCACTAGCATGGCGTCCTTGCCTCCACCTGTTCTGGCGCCCTCGGCTGCTCCCCCTCATCTTCCGACCATGCCGGAGCCTGTCTCACGTCTCCCCCGTCCCAACTTCCCATCCCACGGCCTGCCTTCTACCATGCCGGCGTCCTTGTCTCAATTACCTTCCACCGGTCGAGTCATGCCCCCGGTCTACAACCCTGCCGCCAACTGGGTTCCACAGATGCCACTTGCAACGACGGTTCCTTCGACTGCCGTTGCACCTCTGACCAACGGTCTGTACAACTCGTCCATCTCACTGCCCGACCCCAGCAGACATCACAACAGTCCGTTCGCGGTGACATCGGCGACGATCTCACCTGCGGTTTCTGCCTATTCCGTTCACACCCCTCAAAACCACCTCTCTCCTTCTTTCTTCCTGGCGAATCGCAACTCGCCTTACCGACCGGTTCGGAGTGTCAATACGTTGTTGATCCCGCCTCCGTCGACGTCACTCCAGCAGCAGCGCAGTATCCCGTTTGATCACATGCACTACCAGCCGCTGGGGAAGACTGCCGCGGAACGCAAGACGGGGCTGCTGCCTTATCTGCACCATGAAGCTTGGCCGCAGCCATTCCCGCAACCGATCTTCCACACCACTCCGAACTATTAGATGCCCTCCGCGTTACGACTAGATTTACGATACATACGAGAAGAAGTTTGCATTCTTTTCTCTCTTACCTTTGACTTCTGTCGCCCTGTTGACCCTTGTATCCTGTACAAAATTTTACTTTGTGATGACCTAGCATTATTGGCGTTTGCATTTATAGATGGCTTGTACGGGCGGATTTGTTTGCATACTGGTTATGGAGGAAATCTGTTTATGTACTGCATGATGGGATGTACGTTACTAGCATGACACTGCGAGTGTCAGAGGCTGAGCCCGAATATTATACTTAAATTATACTTGAATTATACTATACTTGTCATTCTCCATATGTAGTGCTGTGTTCACCGCTTTGATTACTGCCGACAAATCGAGCGGTGAGGACACAACTGATTATTCAAAAGCAGAGAAAAGACCACGAAGTAAATTTATAACAAACAGAATAAAGTACACTACCTACATAATAACCCTCTAATAACTCTCCAAAAAGCACAAAGTTCGTACCATTCCACCAAACCACCCCAACACCAACCCACCAACCTACCCCCAGTACCAACCCCGGCCCGACATTCCTCCGTCACGCCTGAGGCCCCAACCCCAAACGAAAGATCTTGTCCGCGGACCTCCATACACACCTCCAGCACCAAACCACCACCACCACACCCCCAAACACAGGCATCATGCCCCCCCGACTCCAACTCCTGCCTTTCCAATGGCAGCGCCCCAGTACCCTCAGCACGATCCTGACCTCCTTCCTCCACCCGCAAAGCCGCAACGCCCACATCCTCGCCTCGCTCTCCGACACGCCAGGCGCCTACAACAAACGTATCCGGCGCGGTCGCGGTCCGGCCTCCGGAAAAGGTAAAACCTCGGGTCGTGGTCATAAGGGTCAGAAACAGCATGGAAAGGTCCCCGCCGGGTTTAATGGTGGGCAGACGCCGGATATTGTGGTTCATGGGGAGAGGGGGGGGGTTAATGTGTATGTCATCCTTCTATCCCCTATAATTATAAATTGTGTTGGGTTGGGTGGATAGAGAGAATAAGAATGGGATAAGGCTAATATATTTGAAATGGGAATTAGTCACGCCACCGACCTTGCCCCCATCAACCTCGACCGAATCCAATCCTGGATCGACCAAGGCCGCATCGACGCAACCCGCCCCATCACCGTCCGCGAACTGACCCAATCACGCTGCATCCACCAACCCAAAGAAGGCGTGAAACTTCTGGGCCGGGGAGTCGAAAAAGACGACCACGAGATCCCCATCTCCAGCGTGCTCAAACAACCCATCCACCTCGTGGTATCTCGGGCATCCAGCGCCGCCATCGCGGCCGTCGAAGCGGCGGGGGGATCCGTGACGACGCGATTCTACACCAAGTCGGCGATTGCGCGGATCATGAGACGCGAGATGCATCCGTTTGTGTCGATGCAGTGGAATAAGGAGAGTGCGAGTGCGGGGTTGTTGGGGACGGAGACGGGGGAGCAGGGCGCGTTGACGGAGGCGATGGTCATGCGGGAAATGGGGTTTAAGTATCGCTTGCCTGATCCGACCAAGAGACGCGATATTGAGTATTATCGTGATCCGGCGCATAGGGGGTATTTGAGTCATTTGTTGAAGCCCTTGGAGGGACCCAGTTTGTTCTTTAGGTCGCCGGTGGAGAGGAAGTCCGCGGCGGGTGTTAAGAAGGAGAAGATTTTGCCGGAGAATAGACTGTGGTAGGTTGCTTTTGGGTATGGAGGGTTTGGGGGTGATGGAGGGAGTGGATTTGGTTTCGTTTGTTGAGGTATCTCTTGTATAAATATATTGTATGTTATGTTGCTTCGGATATGTTTATTGGATTACTCGTCACTTCTTACTATGGTATAGACCAGTTAGATAGCCCGAGCAGATAATTTCAGCCCTCGTGTTCACTATCCATATTCATTACCATAGCAGATCCATCAGAACCTCAGCAAGAAGACCATCCGGATATTGGTACGTAATACAGGTGAATGGAGAAGACGATTTTGATCCCACCGCGAACGCCATGCCTGCAAGCGATTGTCTCAAGTACCAAAGCCAAACCCAGACGCTTGCACAAGGAAGCCCCACCGAAACAAAAACAGAGAGAAGGTACACCGAAATGCGCTAAATCAAAAGCTCCGAGCTAAAATCAAAGCTCCTATATCAGAACGCTGCCAACAAAAAGAGGGTATCATAGATGATCAACATTCCCGAACACCAGCGCTTGTCGGTTCATAGAGCGCCAGTCATGATCATCGCTCAATCGTAATAACGTATAACATCCAGCCCGCACGGCAAACGAATATACTGAAGGGAGGGTATATGTCGAGTACTGCATCGCAGTTCAAAGCGAAGCCTTATAGCTTCCACACCGACTCGGTAGGGCTGTCCTCGGCGCTTTCATTAAACTCCCGCAGCCAGCGAGAGCAGAGCACATCGCGGATCGTCCACCGTTTATTAACGTTCATATGTAAGCATCCCATTATCAACTCCAAAGCATCTTCTTTATCCTGGCGAAGCCGGGCATCCGCTTCTTCGCCGAGCACAGCGTGTCGATTCCAGTTTCCACTGAGGATGTTCGATTGGATCCGCGGAGCGAAAGGATCCTGGAATGGCCGGGACCCGACGATGACGGTAAACACGATGACACCAAAGGCCCACATGTCCACCGAAGGACTGATGACTCCATTGGTGGAGAGAAGGAGCTCGGGGGAAGCGTATTCGAGGCTTCCCGCCACGCTGGTGCTGGAACCAGCTGGGCCGATGGTCTTCGGCGGCGGACGGTCCGCCGCGTTATCGTAGGGATCAGGGGAAGCATCGTCGTTGTCCGTGTTCATCCATTCCGCCATCCCAAAGTCACAGAGGACGAGGTTAGATGTCTCTGTTCCATCGGAGGCTTCGGTAGGATCTAACAAGCAATTCTCCAGCTTGATGTCCCTGTGGACCACTCGAGCATCCTCGTGAAGGTACCTCAGGGCGCATGCCAGCTGATACGAGTATTTCTTGGCCAGCCGCATGTCCAACCCACGGCGGTTCTGTCGAACGAGGTCAAAGAGAGTGCCACCGATAGCCAGCTTCGTGAAGCAGAATGTGGCGTAATCGGTTTCGTAGACCGCATCCAGTGTCAGTACGTTTGGATGGCTGAGATATCGCCAGACTCGGACTTCGTGGTCAAACTCAGCTTGCACTTCGTCGTTTTCTTTCTCGCTCCGTCCAGAGATTTGTTTCTTGACAATCTTGACGGCTAGGTTTTTCGTTCTGCCGCTCTCCTCGACCTTATAGGCCTCTTTCACGGTACTGAACCCCCCAAATCCGATCTGCTTCCCCAGGACATATTCAGTCCCCACCATTTGACCCTCGTCATCGGGTTGCGGGGCAGGCTCTTCACCGCCAGCACTCCACATAGAGAGAAACATACTCGCCGGAGATTTGCTGCTCGAGGCGGTAGACCTGCGAGACCGCTGGCGCGTAGAGACCCGAAGGCCTCGGGCTTTGCTTCCAAAGGGCGTCATGACGCTGCCGGACCAGGAGCTGCGATCATCGAGCGAGGCGAAGGTCTGTGCAGGCGAAGCCACACAGATCGGAGATGCCAAGATCCCCCGAGACTCTTCTGGGGGTGTTCGCAACTCCTCGGTGACGGGAGAGGCGGTAGAAACAGAAGTTAGAGAGGTAGGATGTTCAATATCAGGTGCGATCGCGCCATTCTCTTCGGGGAAGCTGTCGCGAGAAGTCCCGGTAGGGAAGGCTCGTCGGTCTCGCTGTCTCCTAAGGCTAGAGCTGAGTCCCATCTGTCTTCCATCGTTGTCAGCATCGTCTTCTTGAGGCAGAGAGTTCCTCAAGCTCGAACTCTTGGCCTGGAACCTTTGAGACCGGTTCCGGGCGTCTCCTCTCGACAAAGGATCCTCTAGCGGCCGACGTCGGCCAGAGTCGAGGACAGCGGTGGAGTCGAAGCTGATGGAAGGGCGGCGCTCTTGAAGAAAGCTGTCAAGCGGAGAGGATGCTTGCACGTCCTCGGGCTTGTGAGGAAAGCTGACGTTTTGCTTGGGATAGTCATCATGACGGGGTACCGAGATGGGAGGTGTCGCTGAGTGCAGACCACTCAAAGCACTGTTGTCTTCATCAGTACCGCAACGGGGCGCGTGATAATCGTGAAAGATGTTTGTACGATCGCCCTCGATACCATCTCGCTCATCCGACGCTCCCCTGCCTCCATCGTCACCCCGCCACCGAGGTCGAGGTGTATGCTGAAAGGATGTCTCAAGCTTCAACCCAGCCAACCCGTTGTTTCTCACAGTCTGAGCCATGCCCTCGGAGAGAGCCGCGTAGTATCCACAATGTGAATTTGCAGACCGCCACGATCTAGATCTAGTGGTGTTTGCGGATGACGGGACACTGGTACATGAAAGGAAGGAGGAGGAGGAAGTAGTGGGCGGGAGAGGCCCGTTTGTATCTTATCGACTCCGTAATACTTATCGGAGGGTCCCGATATGGAGCTAAACCCAAACGGACAGTGAGTCAAGGCAAACTAAAATAGAATCACGGACTAGTGGTGTGTAGAGTGGGCAAGATCGGAAGCACGAAGGAATTAGGCAGACGAAATACTACACAGCAGACACTAGGCAGGTGTGGATGGGAAGAAAGAGAAGAAATCGTCAGACTAGGGGACGAAAATGGCCAACGACGGGCATATCGGGTGATGACGGAACCCGATTTCAGTGGTTCCATTGAAGGGTCGGAGCAGCAGCGGGGGGGAGAGCGGTGGGGGCGGCCTGGGACCTATCGCCGCTGCATGTGAGGTAGCACACGGCGTCGGTCATGACGGAGAGATCGACCGATCACCGCCAGTCAGAGGCCGTGGTGAGTCAACCACCCAGTCATCGTGCTGCCTTTTTACGCCAGCACGCCCCATCACCTGATACATCGACCCTGACCCTATGCCCTGAGCCCTACCGGAAAGGTCTTACCTCAGCCATTCCAGACCGTTTCGGGTTAGTGGCATGGACAGTCAGCTGCAGGTCCAGGCACGGGCCTTGCCCGGCTTTAATTGGTAAGGTGTGGACAAGCGCGCGCAAGGGGCGCTTGTTTGGAGGAACGGCTTGGAGACCTCCTTTTTTCGGGTGTGTCTCAAAAGTCCGGGGAACTCGCTGGGCCTTGGTTCACTGACACGGTTCTGGGCACCAGCTTCTCTTCTTCCAAAACATCGGCGTTTTTGGCTATCTTTTTCCTTGCTTCGCTTTTGCTTTCTTTGAAACGCTCTGGCAGTCTTTCTTTCGTCCGCGTTGCCCGAACCATCCTCGCCTGGGCGGACGTCAAGTACCCACCCCGCCGGTGCTGTTCGTGACGCTTCCTTCGCTCGTTCGCGTCTATACATCCATCGCAGGTTGAATTTCTGCGGACTTCACTCATTTCGCCTCCCCATCCCTTCCACTCCTTACCGTTCCCACCCGGACGTCGGGCAGCGGCGAGTTGCGTTTACCACGTGGTACCAATGCCCGTGGTTCCATGAGTCGTTCCTTCGTGCAGAAAATTGAGCAACGTTCCTTCGATTCATAGTTCTGATAGCTTAAATCGTAGCAATCATGACGAGGCCACGGATTGTGCGGGCTGGTATGTATCATCTCGGCGGATGGTGGCGGAATCCTTATAGCTTTGCTGCCCTGGCTGACCTGAGTTCCAATGTGATAGATACCCTTGACCTCCAAGATCACAACGCTCCTTCGGCCAAAGACCACTCACGGCAGCCTACCAGCTCGACCGGTGTTGCCCCTCACCAGGAGCAAACTCTTCGCCATGTGAACAAAGATTCCAAGTCGGAGCTCATGCACGGCCCTGGTGCCGATGAAGGCCGCCCGGATGCGGAGTACGGCGACGGTATCGATATATACGATGACGACGACGATATCGAGGATGTCGATGAATTGGGCCACGATCAACACAGGGGGGACTTAGGGGGCTCGGAAGAAGGTGACCTTGCGGATGGGGAAAGTGATGATATGATGGATGATGATATGATGGACAAGATCTCCAGCTCACCATCTATCGACGACGGTGCGTCAGCCTCTTCTACCTCCCACTGGGGAGACTCATCCCCATGTGACACAAGCCGTCTGATTCGAAAGCTCTCATTTGCCTCGCGTCGAGCTTGGACCACTGGCTGACCCGGACTAGAAGATATTGATTTCGAATTCGTTTATGCCCTTCATAATTTTGTCGCGACCGTTGACGGACAGGCCAATGCGGCGAAGGGCGATACTATGGTTCTGCTGGACGATAGCAACAGCTACTGGTGGCTTGTTAGGATCGTGAAAGATGGCAGTATTGGTAGGATCTTGGAGGTTCCGTGGAAGTTACACAGCATGGGCTAATTTGGGCAGGATACTTGCCAGCCGAGCACATTGAGACGCCCACGGAGAGGCTGGCCCGATTGAATAAACACAGGAACGTGGATGTAGGTGTTGTCATCCTAATCTATGGTGCCTGCTAACGGAATCAGTTGTCTGCGACTATGCTGGGAGACAATTCTGAAAAATCCAAGAATCCGCTGAAGAAAGCTATGCGCCGCAGAAATGCCAAGACCGTTACTTTCACCAGCCCGACCTATATCGAAGCATCGGATATTGATTTCTCGACCGACGAGGAACTGGATGACGATGCTTCGTTCAATGACGAAGATGTTTCCCGTGGGGACGCAGATAACCTACACGATGGTGAAAATGATGACATTGTCGTCGAGCCTCTGAGACCCAAGTCGAAGGGGGTCGATGAAGACAGCATTCAGGAAGCGCAAGAACCCGACAGCGCCAGTTCCGACAGGCAGCGGTCCAGTCAGGAGATGTTTGAAACTGAAGGTGAGTATACTATCTGGTCGAATTGTGAGGATGCTAACCCTTGTAGTCGACAATATGGTCAGCAGATCCAGAAATGGCACTGTGCGGAATACAGACTCCTTTTTCAAGGATGATACTGTGGAGACTAAAAAGATCTCTCTGACACCGAACCTCCTTCGCGATGAGGTAGGCAGCGGTAGCGGTGTTTCATCCAGCGAGGCGAAAGAAGTAAGCATGTTGAGCGAATCATCACGTTCCTGGGACTAATTAGTTAGCAGGGCCGTGGCAGCATGGAAGCAATCGACAAAGCGCTTAGTGCTATTGACAAGAGCAAGGATGATAAGAAGCGCAAAGACAAAAAGCCCGGCATGCTTAGTGGTCTGTTCAAGAGAAAGGACAAAAAGACCAGGTCGAACGACGACGACACCGATGAAGCGGAAAAGACTTCGGCAGAGCTGTCTCGGACATCTCCCCAACCAAAGACATCGTCGGATTCATTGTCTTCCCCCGAGTCGGCGCGGTCGCCTAAGCCTTTGGTGGTGCAGAGGCAGACCAAGTTGCAGAAGCAACCACCAGTGGTCATGTCTCCAGCTGGACAGAATATACTTCAAGGACCTGCTAATCAGAGTCCGGTTCAGAAAGAGGAGCCAAAGCCAGTCATGAGCCCGAAGCTGGATCAGACCATCCGACAAGTGACTTCTGAAGAGGCAGACGATATCCCGTCGTCTCCTTCCGAAGGGCCTTTTGACGACAGCCAGGAAATTATCTCGTCTGTCCGAGGATTAAGTCCTTCGAAGAAACCGACGCCAGCTCCACTTGAACCTCAAGAAGAACAGTTGACCTCGCCTGTTGAGCCTCCGAATGATTGGCAAGATGTGTCGGAGAACATGTATTCTCAGCGTTCGGTGGCATCTCCACCCCAGCGATTCCAACCAAAGCCACTGAACTACCAGCATCAGCGGCTAGACTCGCCACTTGGTGTGTCTCCGCAGGAAGCCCCCGTATCGCCTCTTACGCCAGGATTAATGGGAGGCCTTCCATCGCCTGGCCGGCATTCCGCCTCATCGGTATCCCCGCCTTTGTCTCCTGTTGGTGGTGCTGGCGACCACAGGAGCCTCGACGCCACCCCGGCGTTGTTCGAGACGGCGTCCGCGGGAACGCCAACGTGGAGCGATGCCAGCTTGCGGTCCTACTTGGATGACGAGAATGACATCCGTGATCTATTTATCATTGTCCATGACAACTCCAACATCCCCCCTGCCGGGCCTGATCACCCGATTACTGGCTGCCTCTTCAAGGAAGAGAGCAAGAGGCTGAGAGAGATGACTAGCCAGCTGGATAGCATGCTGGCTGATTGGGTGGGCCGGAGGACGCGGAATGCGGCGAGCAAATGAGCAGGTCTTAGGTCTCGGGTACTTGGTGTACACTGGACTGGTCACATCTGCACTCCGGCTTGTCGCGGGAATTGAAGGACTGGTCCCTCCATTGGCCGGGGCTAACAATGTGCTGGACGCATGAACTCGGTTGGCCCGTCTGTTTATCCCTCTTTCAATCTGTCTCTCGTTTGGGATCAACCGAGTGCCCGGCTCTGTCAGCGTTATAATTCTGAACTCAACATGGGTCGGGATAGATCAGGTCTTGATAGTGTTTGATTTACTTTGTTCGTTTTGTTGCAAGCTATCTCCTTCTTGCTTGTTGTTCTGCTTTGCTTTGAAGCACACTTTCTACAGTTGCTGGGATACCCCAAACCACCTTGACTACCCCGTACTCTTCCCTCGACTTTTCATGAAGTGATGTTAGATTAAATGTTCGCAATACATTCCTCGATCGATTACTACATCCATACACATTCCTCCAACTAGTCAGCCTACATGATCTAGATCCGCAAGACCGGTACACGCGCCCCTGGCGCCAAGTCCAGGTCATCAGTTGATGTGCCTGCGAGGCTGTCGCGCGGCGAGGTCACCTGCACCAACCCGTCACCAGCTGCAAGGCCGGCTGATCAGCTTACGATCAAACATAGCATGAATAAATGTTCCCCTCACCAGCCCTCACCAGCCGTGCCTATCCATCATCCACCACCACCATCGATCCATCCATTGATCCAAAATGTCCGACCCCTACCCCCGACACCCGTCCTACCCTCCTGCCTCTGCCTCTGCCTCTGCCCCTGGCACCAGCAACGAGGCAACCAGCCCCTACTACTCACCCCCCGACGGAGTCTACCAACATCCTCCCTACGACTACGACCCACAGCAATTCTACAACCAGCATCATGTCCCTCCTAACCAAGACCCCGCCTATAGCTCCCAGTACGACGTGAGCCAGATCCCGCGCTCCTATCCGGCACAATGGGTCCAGCCCGATGCGCCTCTCCAGCAGCCATATGATGCCGATCGTCTGGCTCCGCAGTATGAACCCCCGGTTCGGAGGGGAAGTAATGCGGATTATTAGTCTGAGCCCTCCCTCCCTTTTCTTTAGTTGATCTGGTGGATTGGATAGGATCTAATGCTTCTGTCTGGATAGTAATCAGTCTGCAGTCGACCTGGCCCAGGTCGCAGAACCCACAAACGAACAAGACCCTAATGCTCCCAAAGGAGAAGGCGAAGACGAAGGTGAACGCAGTCTCGGCGGCGCGGTCCTAGGCGGCGCAACGGGGTATTACCTCGGCCATAAGAAAGAGCATGGGTTGTTAGGTGCGGTGGGGGGTGCGCTATTGGGGAACTTTATCGGGGATAAGTTGAAGGATCGAAAAGAAAAAGAGAGTGATGATGAGGTGGAGGTGGAGGATGATGATCGGGAGACAGAGTATAGTTATCATAGTCGGAGGACGAGGACGTCGAGTAGTCATAGTCATGGGCATGGGCATGGGCATCATCATCACCATCATCACCATCATCATGGACATCATCATGAACATGGGCATAGGAGTCGGTCGAGGCATAGTGGGTTTGAGGAGGAGTATTAGGGGTCATAGTTTAAGGTGAGGGGGGGAGATAGAGATGGAGATGGAGATTGGGGTTGGCGATTTCGGGGTATGTTCTTGATGACTTGTGTGATGATTTTCGACATGATGTTATGATACGTGATGATTGTAGATACCCTTTGTTTGCTAGTTAGGTAGTTAGATTAGAATTAAATCATCTCCTCTATGCATACTCTATTCACATGTAAGAATAATACTTATAATACCAACCCATGGCCTAATTCTCAATCCATCTAACCCACCCAGCTCAACACCGAGTATTCATATCAAGTCATCTAATCTCTCCTTAGGCTAATCCAACCTATCACCACCCCCACATCTAATCCCCTCTTATCTTACATCTTAGACTAAAAATCCTCCTGATTCTCCCATCAACCCAGGAACCAATCATACCCCTAGCCTATCCCGGATGTCAAAGGAATCGCGAAAGTCCACTACCGTTACATGACCAATGAAAGAGATGCTTGAAGACGCGTTGGACGCGATGGTGGGGGATAAAAGAAGAGGAATCTGGATGGGGTTGCAGTAAGGGAGTGAGTAAATGGGCAGGGATTGAATAGCTTGGTGTCCCGGAGATATGTCATGGTTGTTGTTCAGAATGGAGTCATACTCCATATTCTCAGAATGACGAATGATGGTGTAACCTGATGTCATTGTGCGAGGGCTTACACAGTACACTTCTCGGGTTGTCTTCTCCCTCTGGCGTAAGCCGATGGGGCTGGGTATAAGAGGCGCATTATAGACTTCACCTAACAGTACTCATTCTTAATACCTGCAGACTATCATACTATGTAGAAAGCTATGACGAAAACTACACTAATAAGCCAATGAAACCTGTTAATTTGCTGATGAAATCAGAACGATCCATTCCTCACGATTGAAAATCCAAAGCACCGATGACGCCAGTTCAGGGTCCTATCACCACAGACATCCGTCCCCCCCTGTACCTGCATGTGTTAGTGTCATCACAGATCCTGGTTACGCGCCTCGATCGTGAGATCTAGAATAGGCGGTGAGATTTTTTCTTTTTGGGCAATTGAGTAAGTGATCGCGTGTGCTTTTATCAGAGAGATGGTGAAATTTTGGCGGTTACCACTTTGATTGTCTTACTGATACTGTGGATGGGTTTAAGTAGTAGTTGTTAGGTGCTTGTAGATTAAGTGCAAACTCATAGAGATAGCGTTCTGGAAATCAGTTGAGATAAGCGTTTAACAAGTTATCAAGGGACAATTGATATTTTTCTACGGAGCGATTATCAGGATTTTCTATGTTCCTATAGTTCTCTGTCTTTATCTTACTGATAAAGATACTGATAACGGTCTACTGACAGTGGAGGTACTTATCGTAGAATGTAGACAGTCCTAAACGGAATAGTCTCCTGATCTCTCAACGAAGCATGACGCAACCAGATAGACAGATACCCCCCGATCACTGACCTAGCTATGGACCATGTACCATCTCCAGGCTCCAGCAAAGGGGCTTGTGAGCCTGGATAGGGTTGCGGCCGAGATGCTCTGTGCTGGCCTAATTTTAACCTTGATCCCTCCCGGAGTGGGTCAGGACTCCGGGGAACCGTGAGTGTCCGTGGGAATCCACGGGCTGACCTGGGTAATGCCGTCTTTGCCTTGCAAAGACTTCGTCCCAACCCATGGATGGAGGGCGATTATGATTCGAAAAAAGTTTAACCAGGGCCAACACGATCATCCGGTATCGTCCGTGCTACCCCAGGCGCACTCAGACGGATCTCGTATCTCGGGGGGTTTGGAGATGAATGCGGCGGGAATGTGAGCAGCCGACCGAAGCGCAGGAAAGGAGATACAGGAGAATCCCGGGGACAGACGGACAGACGGATAGGAGGGTCAGTCTGCCAGAAGGAGAAGAGGGAGACAGTGGAGCAGGGCATCCATTCTGCATGAGACCCAAGCCCGGCTGAAGATCAGCAACGAACATCCCATCTGGAGCCCCGAGGATTATTGATTGGAGTTAGTCAAAGACTTCCGAACGGAGTCCGCTCCATTCCGAGTCCCTTTGCCCCCGTCGCGGTCCAATCAGCTGGGCCCGATAGGGAGTGGATGGGCTATCATCCTCTCTGCCTCCGTCACGCGTGACCCGATCTCGAGGCTGCCAGTGTGACTCCTTCATCCTCCTCCATTCTCTCTCTCTCTCCCCCCTTCCCTTTCATTCATTCATCCATTCATTCTCTCTGCTCTCCCATCCCTCTCCCCTCCCGTCTCTCATCGTGCCATCCAGTAGTCACCCTCCTGCTGGCTCATCCGTCTCAAACAACTATATCCTCTCCGTCCCGCCCTTTGTCTCCTTATCGCCGTGTCTTATCCGGGGTCCCCTTCCCACCGCTACGAGAGTCTCTATACTCCATTCGAGAAAGATTCAAGCTTCACTACATCACAGTCACATAGTGTCCGGCACAGCCAACGAGAATGCCTCCCCCGATTTTACACCATATCCAGGCGGTGCTCCCGCAACACTGCGAACCGACAACACCCTTCCTCGCGGCCGTATCCTCATACCTCCACATCTGTCTCCCCACACCGTTAGCGTTGATCTCCTCCGTGCTGGGCACTCTCAGTATCGTGTCGTGGCTATTCGCTCAGCTTCCACAAATCTACAAGAATTTCCAAATACAGTCGACAGCCGGCTTGTCACTGTTCTTCCTCGTGGAGTGGTGTTTGGGTGATACCAGCAACCTTATCGGTGCCCTGCTGACCCGGCAAGCCGGCTGGCAGGTCATCGTGGCTGGCTATTATGTGTGTGTCGACGTGACTCTTGTCTTCCAGTACTTCTGGTACACACACTACAAGAGGCGGTACGACGGCTACGGCGCCCTCTCTCATACCGACTACGACCATGCACCGGGAAGTGTCTTGGAAGGGGTCTCCTTCTCCGAGAATGACTCGTTCGGCCAGGCCCCACGCTCTACAGAGTTTCCCACTCCGTCGAATCCCAAGGATATGAAGGATATCAAGGAGCCTGCGGTGACGACCTCAAACGGTCAATCACCATCCTACTCCAATGAGAAACTGAGCTCCTCCAAGCGCTCAATTACCCGATCCGGCAGTGGCCCTAGTCTCCCAATGGGTTCCCCACGCACGCTGTTGCTGGCATCTATGCTCTGCGCTGTCGTGGCCAATGCCGCCCCGACAGAGCAGCAAGCAGCCTCAGACTCCTCACAACAGACCCTCGAAATCCTCGGCCGGATCATCTCCTGGATGTCGACATTCCTCTACCTTGGCTCCCGGCCCCCCCAACTCTACAAGAACTACTGCCGGAAGAGCACCTCCGGCCTCTCCCCCTTGCTCTTCATGGCTGCCTTTTGCGGAAACCTCTTCTACTCCGCCTCCCTTCTGACCAACCCCAACGCCTGGTACGACTTCCCTCCCTATGGAGGCGGCGGCTGGGCCGATGCAGGCGGCAACAACCGCATCGAATGGGTGACCCTAGCCACTCCTTTCTTCCTGGGAGCCTTCGGTGTGCTAGCCTTTGACGGTATGATGGGCGTGCAGTTTCTCATGTACGGGTCGCGCGACGACGAGTCCATCATGCAGGTCGAAGACCCCAAAGACGGACGTGGTCGTTGGACTCGCGTCCGGGGCTGGATGAGGGGCTGGATCCCTTCTGTGTCCCCCGAGCGAGGATTCCCCTCCGACGCCACTGTCCCTCCCCAGGAGAACCAATCTCTCCTGCAGAACGAGCGTGAGAGATATGGTACAGTTTGATTTTGTCTCATGCTGTCTTACTATACCCCTTTTCGCTATTTTTGTTTTCTGCATATCGGTACTGCATCCCAAGGCAGGTATCTGCATACAACAGGCGAACATGATCATTCACGACGTTATGGCTATCCAACCTATCTCCTTATCACAGGAATAGACTTTATTGCTTTTGGCTCTCGATATTTCCCTGCTTTCTGCATTATCACTTTATTTCTTGGAGTTCTCCTCATCCGAGGAAGGGTGGGTGACTAGGTACCTAGAATGTCTTCATACCGAAGACTCGGGGCATACATAGCATTGCTTTCAGATCTAATTGGCGCTTTTGGTTGGGTTTTTCTCGGTCTTGCTTGGGTATCTGATACAGTGGACTTTTATTCCATTCTCTAGTCCATACTAGATGAATACATACGGCAACAGATTATGTGAATTGCTTGCTCGAGATGCAGAGCTAGCTCGCTTTATGATCTTCTATTTCTATCATTGTTTTCCTGGCTTAGTATCTATACATTGGCTAGACTGGACTGCATTCAACACCAGTAGATTACAAGATAACCAATAACAACAAAGAAATTGACAGGCCCTCGCCTAATCCTACCAGAATGAACACAGTAAATGCGAAGTAGATTCAATTTTCATGGAAAGAATATTAACAGTCATCTAATTATAATCGCTAAGTGGCGGCGCGCCGCAACCGCAAATCGCCGGGTCCAGTCCGTCCGTCCATTCGTTCCCACCCTCTCATCAGTTTCATTATGTAGGTACAGTTGCATAGCCCCATGTTTAAACAATAAGCGGCTCTCTCTGGTCCCAGCCCTCCAGCACTTGGTGAGGGGAACCGAGTCAGCAGTAATATCTATAGGGTAACAATGAAAGAAGGGGCAAGAAGAAAAAAGGGCGCAGGAAGAGGAAGAATGTGAAGGAGAAAAAGAAATCAAATAAAGACAAACGCACGCAAGTCGTGGCCAATTGGTTGTTGAACAGCTGGGTGATGTGACTGGCGGGCTTAAACAATGTGCATCACAGAAGAAAAGCCACCAAGCATTCACCTGGCATCAGGGGTTCATGATCCTTTCAGGTTTTTCGTTGGGGTACGTGTAAGACAAAGTCAACATAAGCGGGACGACCGGCGGGCCGTCTAATGATACACAGGAAGCGGGTGGAATGCCACGAATCGACCAGCGACGCGGCATGACTGGCATCGGCACAAACGAGTCCAGTTAATGTGCTGAGGAACTCCGAACATATATGCAACAGCATCGTCACGGCGTCATCAGACAGGGCTCAGTGAGGGCAATAAGCGACGGACAATCTAGTACAGAGGTGATTTGACGTCCTGAACGCCTCGTCTGATAACATCCTCGATCTGCCACCTGGGAGGAACGATCTTGGTGTTTCGCTTGCGGCGCCACTCCTTCTCCATCTCCGGAGGGGGGGTTGCATCCTCACTCGTAGGCAAGGCACCACCCGCGATGCCCGTGGAAAACTTGAGCTGCAAGACATTGCCAATTTCATCACAAGCAGTCAGAATACGGTCAAGATCCTCCTTGGTGTGTGAGGCAGAGACGCAGAACCGGGCGCGGGAAGACACCAGCGGCGTAGCAGGGTAACCCACGACGACAACGGAGATCTTCCGTTTCAGCATCTCGTGAGAAAACGCCGGCATCTTCGCAGGGTTGAAGAGGAGAACAGGGATAATCGGCGAATCGTCGTGACCGTACACTATAAAGCCAAGACGCTTCAACCCCAGGCGGAGGTACCGAGAGTTGAAGGCCAAACGCTGCAGTCGCTCTTCGCCCTGGCCCGGAACAAGTTCGCCGTTAATGATCCGCAATGCCGACATAATTTGCGCCAAAACAGCGGGAGCGGGAGCCTCGCCATAGACGACACCGGAGTTGGTAGCTCGAAGTTTATCAATCATTTCCTTGTCTGCGGCGACATAACCACCATTGGCACCGAAGGATTTTGTCAGCGTTCCCATGAGGATGTCGACTTCGTTCGTATCAATTCCAAAGTAGTCACAGACACCACGCCCCCTAGGACCCACAGCACCGACAGAATGGGCTTCATCGATGAACAGGTGGAACTTGTAGCGCCTCTTCAGCATGATCAATCCGGGGAGGTTGCACATGGAGCCCTCCATGGAGTAGAGTCCTTCAACGACAACCAGGATCTTCTTCCAGGGTCGGTGAGTACGGGGCTGGCCTTGGCTGATAGCTTCGCGGAGTTTTGCCTCCAGGTCCCGCATGTCATTGTGCTTAAACATGGCAATAGACGCCCCAGAGAGACGCGCACCGAAACGAATCGAGGCATGGTTCAGTTCATCGGAGATAATCAGACAGCCCTTGTTGACCAAAGCCGGGAAGATGTTTGCGTTGGTACCAAAGCCCATAGAGAAAACCATCGAAGCTTCTTTACCCACAAACTTGGCAACCAAATCTTCCACCTCTACATGGAGATCCTGCGATCCAACCTCGGCGCGAGTACTCGCGGAAGTAATGCCATACTTCCTGATGGTTTCCTCAGAGATGTCTGCGCAAGGACCTTCAGACTGAGCGAACCCAAGGTAATTATACGAACTCAAGTTCAGGGTATCGGTGGTCGTTCCGGTGAGGTAGAAGTGCTTGTTGTGATCATCCGTGGCCCGGTCGATCAATGTGATGTAACGACCAGGGACTCCAGTCACAGGGCGTTCAAAGCAGTCGTTAATACGCAACTTGAGGCGACGCACGTAAAAGTTATCGAAGTCGCTGTTCAGGGCGCCGTATCCATTTTGAGGCTTCAAGTGCCGATAGTTCTCCTCGCGGAAGCGTTTCCCGAAGAAGTCTCGTACATGACCAAAGGCGATCAGGATAAGGTAACTGATATATGTTGTGAGGAGATAATAATACGGCGGTTCGTCCATCACAGGCTCCGGAAATGGGCCGCCGGGGTGTCGACTGGTATACCGGTGGCTATGGTGACCGATGGGGCCAAACTGGGCATGTTGCTTAGCCAGGCGACGAGCCTCTTCGGGCGAAGGCGGCTGAAAGAGTGTGGTCGGCGGTTCGTCCATGTTTGGGTTACCTGCAGTGGCAGTGGAGAGAGAGATCGTAGGAAGCGACAGAGAGGCCGAACTGATCGGTGGGGTGGCAGTGCTAGAGTTCAAAATCCCACTGGCCGATTGGACAGCGGCCTGCGCAGTCTGAGGTTCGGCCTTGGACTTAGGAGAGGTCGAAAAGAACTGGCTTAGGCGGTTAGGTATAACGGCGGGCGCCTTAATGGCAATACCACCCTTGGCGGAGGCGGGTGAGGAAGAGGGCGCGTTGGAGGGGTCGTTGGCGGAAGAACTGGCAGCGCGACGAGGCATCGCAAGGAAACAGCCAGAGAGCAACAAGCAAGATTGTGCAGCACCGAGAGAATGAAGGAACTTCTACCGCGGTTCTCAAACGGTTGAGTACGGCAAGTACCACCTAATAGGCAGCAGGCGGACCGGACTGTAGGAAGCGTGCTCCTTTGATCTGACCTCCTTTATACTTCTCTCCGAACCGACAGGGAGTGACACTCGATCAATGTCACCTGGATGAGGACAGAGCCACAGTCAGTCACCATCACACAAAACCGGGGGGAACGAAAACAGGATGGCTAAGCGACCGACGAATTGCGCGTCGCGGGCAAAGAGAAGAGCCCAAGTGATGAGAAAAAGAAGCGAGGAGGGGTTTAAGGGGAAAGGAGAGAGGCGTTTTGTCGAGAGACTCCGGAGAATCCGGCTTGATCAGTCACGTACCTTCGCACGTGGAGGAACAGTACTAGTAGAGGGCACGGAGCCCTTCGACGGCGGGATCTGTCGGATCCCTAAGCCAAAGGGAATCAATCAGCAGGATTGACCGTTTGGAGAGACAGGGCGTGGCACTGGAGACGGCGAGCAATGGGAGTAGGTCGGTGCTGGACGAGGTCGAAAGGGAAGACGAAGAAGAGGACGACTGGACGGACTGGGCCCTCAACACAAGTTCGAGCAACGGGAAGAAGACAGATTGGGTGAATAATCGGCTTTGTGACACGAATAAAAAAAACCCAAAGAGATTATGAATAATGAGAGTAATGGGAATAAACAAGGTACGAGGCTAGAACCCACTAGCCTTCCGTACTCGTACTGTGTACGCCGTAAGGGTATGGAGTAGGGTTTGGTTGGGGGAGCGAAAAGCGCATTTTTCGCTGGCGAGATTGCAAATGACGATGGGGTTACGGGTGGAAACCAGACCCATCTGGGCGTCACAGGGCGGTATCGTTGCCTGCCCGTGCGCCATCCGAGTACCTGGCCGGCCGGTAATCTGACGGTAACCATACCCGCCGCCCCTGGACCCTTCCAAGTCCCACGATTTCATCCGTTGCGTTGCGCATTTTGAGTTTCCACCGAAAGAAAGGGGCAATGCAAGGTGATGGCCCCCGGGAGGCACCCTGAAACTGCCATCCATTCCTTGTAGTTTGTTTGACAGCTAGCTGTAAATTCACCGCTACTCCCCCAGTGTGTCTGCTACAAATTGGCATGAATCTCGCTGCAGTTGCATACCACAGGATGCAGATTGCACCCTGCAGCCAGAGTCCTTGTTGCTGCCTCAGGCCAGTGGTCGGGTCCGGCTTGGGGTTCCGAACCGACGGCGATGACTCGAAGTACGTGGCGGGGGGCAGTTGAATGACTTGGTCGATTTGATGATTCTCTTCGTCTTATCAGCAAATGGGTTCTGGAAGAGCGCGGAACGATGCCTAAAAGACCTTACACTACAGTATACTCCAGGCTCCAGCCGGTTGTCTGCTCATCGCGGAAATCCCCTTGCGTATTCCGTCCTTCGACTAGATTCCGCCCCGAGGTACGGAGTAGACTCGCTCGCTCATCCTGGTACAACGTAAACGGCCTTGATTGCAATCAATTCCTCCTAGGTCAAGACCAGGGCCCGTCTACAACCAAATCAGGGTCGTGTGGCTAACAGGTCTCGAATATTGGACGAACGACGAGCCACAAAGGCTTGAACTCTATCAGGGCGGAAGGAAGGTCCTCGGCTCAGTTGAATGCGCCATCTATCACTCCGTACTACTTTCTACTGCACCTACAGCTAAACCGACACGGCTGCAACAGTCCTTTTCTTGTGATTGGAGAATCAGAAATCTTTTATGATGACCAGATCCACCAGCGAAGCCAGTTCCAAGGAACTATGGCGACACTCGAGCCCTCACACCACCCAGATATTTGACTTCATTCAAACGTCCAATGCCAAGCATGGTCTGTCTATGACCACTTACAATGACCTCTGGCAGTGGAGTGTGTCCGAACCTGCCAAGTTCTGGGAAGATGTCTGGGATTATACCTCCATTCGAGCTCACAGGCCATATGACCGGGTGAGTAGACTTGTTGCTTGATTCCATTTGCATATGGCTGCCATCGGCGTCTTTCTTCTCTGTGAACGAGATCGCTGACCATTTATAGGTTCTGAGTTCAGACCAGCTTCTTTTCCCCCGACCCAACTTTTTCGAGGGAACTAAGCTCAATTTTGCTGAGAATCTTCTCTATCCAGCCACGTCCCCGGACGAGAACGCAATCGCGATGATAGCTGCTACGGAAGCGGATCGGGAGTTCGTATCATGGAAGGAACTGCGGGATCGAGTTCGTAGATGTGCCAACTCACTGAAAGACTCGGGTCTGCGGGCAGGGGATCGGGTTGCAGGATTCCTAGGCAATCATACCAACACGGTTGTGGCGATGCTGGCAACGACATCAATCGGTGCCTTCTGGACAGGCGTGTCGCCTGATACCGGTGTGCATGCCGTGCTAGAACGTCTCCAGCAAATAGGACCGAAGATCTTGTTCGCCGATAATGCATCCCTATACAATGGAAAGGTACACGGCGCAGATGCTAAATTGCGTCAAATTGTCCCAGGGCTGCCGAACCTGGAGCTTTTGGTCATATTCGACACAATCCGATCTTATGGATTCGACCTTCAAGAAGTGATGCCACATCGTGGAAAGGTTTTTTCTTACAAGTCCTTTCTTTCTACAGCCAACAATCCCTCTGCCGCTCTTGAATTTGCAAGCCTGGGGCCCGAACATCCTGTCTACATATTATATTCCTCTGGCACTACAGGGGCACCAAAGCCGATTGTTCATGGCGCGCTGGGAACGCTGCTGCAGCATAAAAAGGAACATGTGCTTCATTGTGACCTCCGCCCCGGCGACCGCCTGTTCTATTTCACAACAACTACATGGATGATGTGGCACTGGCTCGTCTCCGGGCTTGCCAGCGGCGCTACCATTGTGCTCTACGATGGCTCTCCTTTCCGACCATTTGACCCGGAAGGTGGAAATGGGGAAATGGCAATGCCACGTCTGATCGATGAACTGCAGATAACACACTTTGGAACCTCTGCCAAGTATTTGTCCATCTTGGAACAGGCTTCGCTACATCCTACAAGTCACCCAAATCGGCCAGCAAACCTGAAGACTTTGAAGGCCATCTTTAGCACGGGCTCTCCGTTGGCACCATCTACGTTCGAGTATGTGTACTCGTCCATCAAAGCGGACATTATGCTGGGCTCTATTACCGGTGGAACCGATATTTTGTCGCTCTTCTGCGGCAGCTGTCCAATCCTGCCCGTCTACAAGGGGGAGATTCAGTGCCGCTGTTTGGGAATGGCTGTCTCTGCTTACGACTATGCCGGCAACGACGTTTCGGTTTCCGGCGAACCCGGCGATCTGGTGTGTACCAAGCCTTTTCCTGCGCAGCCCGTTATGTTCTGGCCTCCCGGTGCAGCTGGGGCAGAGAAGTACCGCAAAAGCTACTTTGATGTCTTCGGACCGACAATTTGGCATCATGGTGATTTCGTGCGCCTGGATCCTCATACTGGGGGCGTGGTCATGTTGGGCCGCAGTGACGGTGTCCTGAAGCCAGCTGGGGTTCGGTTCGGCAGCGCAGAGATATACAACATTCTTCTGAAACACTTTGCGGATGAAGTTGAGGATTCCCTGTGCATTGGGCGGCGACGGGATGGGATCGATACGGATGAAACAGTGGTTCTCTTTGTGAAGTTGGCAGGGGGTGCGCCCACAGTCATACCCCCCGGTCTTGCATCTCGTATCCAGGCGACGATTCGCAAAGAACTCAGCCCTCGTCATGTCCCCGGCATTGTGGACGTCTGTCCGGAAATACCAGTGACGTCCAACGGAAAGAAGGTCGAAAATGCTGTGAAGCAGATCCTGTGCGGTCTGAACATCAAGATTGGGGCAAGTGTGGCCAACGCCTCGTGCCTTGACTGGTATCGCGCCTGGGCCACTGCGCACCCATAGTTTCCCAGCATGGCGTTTTTCGATAGGCCGGTCAGTCACGTAAAAGTTCAAGGATTGGAGTTGGGTGCATGGTATATAATGCCGTCCGCTTGTTGCCTGCCAATTGGAAGGATAGAATGCTTATTCGTCGCACGAGAATGCCATGGCAACTTTCTGCTGCATTACTCAACTGGGAATCTAGAACTTATATTACTAACCATCTCAAAGGACTCAAAAAGCCTTTTTGATATTGAACCGTGACTAGGCTCTGGTAGAACCTAGAAAGTGGATCCCCAGTCGTAAATATAAAACCACTTTATCGATCTGGATCAAGAAGGAGACGTTGACCCCCATAGTGCTCAAATCCAAGATATTCTGCCTGCCTGAACTCTGACGTACGCGGAGTGCCTGGGTGATTAGATAAGCGATCTGAATCCAAATCCTTGCGGCGCCGGCGTGACGACGACATCTCCGGAACGCAGCTTTCACGCCGTCCGGGAAGTGAGCAGTCCGAATTTGAGTTCTCTCGGCCATTTGACCACCAATATATTTCAATATGCGCCGCTCTGTTCTGCGGGCCGTTGAGTCCGCAAAGCCTCTCGCTCGCGTGCCTCGCTCAGCATCGAGAAGCTTCGCTACCGTCAATGACGGCTCCAAGGTAAGGAACCCGGTGCATGATCCCCGGGTTGGGGTTTTGTTTGAACTCTTGATTAATATTTTCGTTTGTCTCAACATTATAGGACCCCGCCGAGCTAGAACAAATCACAACTCTGCCAAACGGTATCCGTGTCGCTACTGAATCCCTGCCCGGGCCCTTTTCTGGTGTCGGAGTTTACGTCGATGCCGGTTCTCGCTATGAAGATGAGAGTCTACGGGGTGTGAGCCACATTATGGATCGACTGGCTTTCAAATCAACCAAAAACCGTTCCAGCGATGAAATGCTCGAGGTTTTGGAGAGCCTGGGAGGAAACATCCAGTGTGCTTCTTCCCGTGAGTCCTTGATGTACCAGTCCGCCAGTTTTAACTCGGCTGTCCCGACGACCCTGGGGCTGTTGGCGGAAACTATCCGGGATCCGCTTATCACCGAGGAGGAGGTTCTGCAGCAGTTGGCGACAGCCGAATATGAGATTGGGGAGATCTGGTCCAAGCCGGAGCTCATCTTGCCCGAGCTGGTCCATACGGCGGCTTACAAGGATAACACATTGGGAAACCCTCTGCTTTGCCCTCGAGAGAGACTAGGGGAAATCAACAAAGCCGTTGTTGACAAATACCGCGAGGTCTTATTCAATCCGGAGCGCATGGTTGTTGCCTTTGCCGGTGTGCCGCACAACGTGGCAGTTAAGCTTACAGAGCAGTACTTTGGTGACATGCGGACACACAAGCAGACAGGTGGCCCTGCTCTTTCCGGTGCGGGAATTGAGACTACTCTATCTCACTCGGAGTCGGCCGCTGAGGAAGGCCAGGTGCCAACCATTCCCCAGTTCACGCCCTCGTCAACGGTATCCACCACAGCATCCTCTCCCAAGTCAGGGTTCCTTTCGAAATTACCTTTCTTGAAGAAGCTTTCTACTGGATCGCAGGGTGACTCCGTGTCGCCACTTGACCCATCTTTGGTGCAGTCGTCGAGTTTGGACCTCACCCGGGCCTCCCACTACACTGGTGGTTTCCTGTCTCTTCCCCCGATTCCTCCCCCGGCAAACCCCATGCTGCCTCGACTAAGCCATATCCACCTTGCCTTCGAGGCACTTCCGATCTCGAACCCTGATATCTACGCCTTGGCTACCCTCCAGACCCTGCTCGGAGGTGGCGGTTCCTTCTCGGCAGGCGGTCCCGGTAAGGGCATGTATTCGCGCCTCTACACCAACGTTCTGAACCAGCACGGTTGGGTTGAGAGCTGCATCGCATTCAACCACAGCTACACGGATAGCGGAATCTTCGGAATCTCCGCTTCTTGCAGCCCGACGCGGACGGCCGAGATGTTGGAGGTCATGTGCCGCGAGTTCCAGGCTCTCACTCTCGATACAGGATACCAAGCCCTGCAGCCACAGGAGGTCAACCGTGCGAAGAACCAGCTTCGTTCATCGCTCCTGATGAACCTGGAGTCTCGTATGGTCGAATTGGAGGATCTTGGACGTCAAGTTCAGGTCCACGGCCGCAAGGTTGGTGTGAAGGAGATGTGCGCGCACATTGAGGCTTTGACTGTGGAGGACCTGCGTCGGGTCGCCAGGCAGGTCTTTGGTGGTCTTGTCGAGAACAAGGGACAAGGCACCGGCAAGCCCACCGTTGTGCTGCAGGAAGGCGAGCTAGAAGGCTACAGGCTCCGCCCCTTCCCCTGGGAGGAGATCCAAGAACGGATCGCCAGATGGAAGCTGGGAAGGAGATAATTTGCTAGACGATTGATGCAGATATGATAGGGGTCCTGCAAAGCAGGTATGCCCCGACAGCGTCCGATCGGTGCTGTCCAGCGTTCTATATGTATCGGATAGAGAGGGATGTATCGGGTTCCGTTTTTCTTCACTCCATGTAATTAGAGATAGCCATGTATACACTTATGTACAATATATATCACCCCGAGTTGCGCTATCTCACCAAAGAATAATGAATGACCGTATGAGGGACAGGTTGTCGCGAGGATGCATCGGCTGAAGAGGTCGAAGCTCCTTACCGCATTGAGTTCGTTCGTTTCCGCCCGGGAAAAAAGTTGGAACGGAAGGTCGAATCCGCCGGCCTCCATCAATCTCCGTCCGTCCTCAACACTTTCCATCACCTCGAACTTCGCCCGTGCTCCTCACGAACCACTCCTCCGCCTATCTATCCTTTTATCTCTCTTCACCTCACCACCGTCACAATGGTCAAGCTTACCGAAGTCGAGGATGAGCACTTCTCCCAGGAGAAGCCTCAGCCCAGCAAGCACAACGTCCTTCTTACCTCGGACGACGAGGATGAGGACGACTACACTGACACCGGTTAGTATCTTGACATTCTCAATGAAGAGCAGAGATCCAATGCAGCATCCAATACACGCGAGCAATCGCACCCCTACCTCCATCCTCCGCGCAACAACATCCGCCCGTCTCATCCATCCATACCGGAGTGATCTATCCATCTATCGGCGCAGCCATCCAAGACGCATAAAATCCATCTTCTAACATGCCATTCACACAGAATCTGAAATCTCTGTTGAGTCCGACCTTGAGCTCGACACCGAGACCTTCTACGACCGTCTCTATGCCTTGAAGGACATGGTTCCTCCCTCCACCCGCCGCCAGTTCACCAGCACTGTCGACGCCGTCACCTCCTTTACAAAGTCCAGCGTTCTGTTTAGCGGTAAGGCGCTGTGGATCATCAGCACCAGCGCCTTCCTCCTCGGTGTCCCATGGGCTCTGGCCTACGCCGAAGAGGAGCAGTACATTCAGATGGAGCGCGAGCAGGGTATGATCAAGGGTGCTAACGAGGTATGTAATCAACACGTTCTTATCGTTCTTGATTTCGATCGACCCAAAATTTTGTCGCCTGGCTGGCGCTGGGTTTTGTGTTGCTATGCTGTCGCGTCCGGGGCAGTCGGCGATGACGTGAAAACTCTTTTCCGCTGTTATTCAGTGCCAAGAAAGGACAGACAGACGTCATCAAGATCGTTCATGCGTGTTTTGGTACTTTTGAACGATCTCAGAGCAACGGCTAACCAGATTACTTTGCAACAGATGCTTACGCCCGGCCTCCCGGCTGCTGAAGAGAAGCCTGCTCAACCCTCCCTGTAAATGAATCTCGCCGCCAAAGATGAAGATCGCAACAGGTGGAAATAGATGATACGCCATGGCCTGTCGAACCGCCCTAACACCGTTCTAAAGCCTGTCCGAAGCCGCCTGTTGTTGTTAGACCTACGATTTATTAAGAGTTGCATCGATCTGCCTGTGGCGGAATGTCGATGACAAAATTACCCTGGACGAAATCTGTCGATTTACATCTTTCACAAGCGAGTCGGAGCATACTGATTCAGCAATGCATGATCCCGTATTTGTTGGGTTAAAAGCAATTGTACAAAATCGGGGATACGGAACAATCTGAGGGACCACAGGCAAAACTTCAACCTGCTCACTCACGAATACATCCTATTCTTTTTAATCGTTGATCTGGGCTAGCGCGGCAAAAAGCAAACAAGGGATGGCGTGGTTCCCATCTGGACATGGATTATCTTGCTCACCTGTTACTGTTCGGAGTCTCTGGCTTTACCCTTTTTCTCCTCTCTCAACCTTTGATTCCAGAACTCCTGGTTTGGGCGACGTGTGTATTTCTATACTGGTTTATTTTCCCATTTTCTTTGTTCGTTTCGCTTATGTCTATTTTCACTATTTTGGACTCATGTTTCTAGAGATGAAATGTGAATGATCTTCAGACTGATTGGTTCTGACCTTAAGACTAATGCACGGGCCAACTTGATACCTTTCTGTCATAAGAAAAAATAAAGGGAAAGAGGGATCAAGAGGAACAGTGGAAAGGAGTAGGGTATCATAGCATCACAGAAACATCCCCTTGAATGGCAAGAATCAATATGAACAATAGAAATGGTGTAAAGGCGCTTGCGGTGAAGTAACAAGGCTAAAGCACAGCGGGCTGTTCAAGAATCCGTAGAATATGTGCAACTAACATGTACAAGCAAAGTACTGGAACCACTACCCAAGGGTCTATAACGAAATCAGCGGATGTCCACCTAAACAATCACCTCAACGATCAAACATACCGTGGTTTCTCTGGCAGTCCGTAAGTTGATGTGGAAGTCACGCCAGAGCTTCTTTACTTCGCCGGTTTGGACCATCGAATTGAAGACTCTGACAGCATTCTTGATCTGCCGCTTTTGGCTCCAGTTGTTGCGTCGAACGACTGCCGTATCGGATAAATGGCCCTGGTGTTCGAGGTAGCCTGTGACCCATTCGTTGAGGTGGAATCGCCAGTGGGTTAGTGTGTGGGCTAATGTGGCTTTGTTCTTGCAGTGGCTGGTTCAAGAGAATGAGTTGTCAGTTATACGATGTCTGGAGTTGATGAAAAGGAGCAGAGTTCTTACCGTCCGAGGAAGAAGCGGGTGTTCTCGTCTGGTAGAATATGACCATCTCGATCTCTTTCCTGATCATCGTCGTCCTCGTCACGTTCCTCGTCGCTGTCGTCGGAGGAAAAGGGTTCGAGTGTCTCTAATGAGTAAGCTCGTCCGTACAGTTTGATGTCAAACGAAGCCGGATGTTTTGAACGGTTGCAGGCATCACATGGGTGGTCCTCAATCGTTGGGAATGTCGTGATCTCAATCTGGGGTCGGGCTAAGAGAGCTCTCCGGAAGTTGGCGTTCCAGACCGATGAGACGAGCTGCGATCCCGTACGACCCTTTACTTCGTCTTCAAGTTTGTTGAAGGCCACTTCGTAGACAGGGTCGGAACGAGGAAAAGCTGGGTTGAGCTGATTGTGCACCATCCATTCGACCGCATCTTGGAAATAATCCTTGAGTTGCTTGTAAGCGTGTCTGGAGAACTCTATGGGGATGTCTTCTAGTCCTGTAGGCGCCCCCAGGGTGTCATCGTCGTCTTCTAGCACGAAGTCGTCCTCGTAACGGTCCAGGTCATCGTTGCTTGCGATCGCCGATTCAACATCGCTGTCTTCTAACCGCTCACGCAACCGAGGTTGCGGGTCGGGTGTCCCCTCTTCGCTTTCGGCTTCACCCTCATCCTCACTCTCACTTTCGCTCGACCCTGGTGCTTCAGAGTCATCCTTAGATTGTTCTGTATCCGATCCCGTCTTTCCTGCCCTCCGGCGACGTAGGGCTTCCAGGTGTTGTTGCCTTTGGGCCCGTGCTGAGTTCGCGAGTCGACCTCGAGTTCGGGTATCCTTGACCACTATAGCGAGGCCTGTCAGTGACAAGAACAAATGAGGGCTGTCTGTAATGTCGGCTATGCGATCATACCTGAGTCCTGTAGATCCTCAAGATCCTCCTCTATATCTAGTTCGTCCTGGCCTAGTTTCCGACGCGGAGTTTGGGGAACATCAGAGCTCACATTGCGTCTCCTGCGTTTGATGGGAGAAGAGAGAACCGGCTCTTCTTCCGACCCATCATCGTCAACCACAATAGCAGGCTGGGGAGCCATACCACGTCTCAGCTTTCGCCGAGACATGGGGACAACCTCATCTGCATCGCTCTCTTCAGCAACAGCGGCATTCTGGGGTGTCGGGGAAGGAGAGTCGGAACTAGGAATGTCCTTTCTCTTGCGCTTCAGGGATCCTCTCTGCGGAGTTTTGCGCACACTGCGAACGATCTCTATATCGCTTTCACTGTCCTCGGCCGGTTTTGAACGCTTTTCCGGGGTAGGTTTCGGCGAGGGTTTTTCTGACCATGTCCCACTACGTTAGCATCGTGATTATCATGCGGAGCGTTTGGTAAAACTCACTGTTAGGCTGGGATCGACCTCGCCGGAGGACTGGCATGGAAGGATGCGCATATCGCAAGTTCGCCCGACGATCCGTCTCACCATCTGAGTCTTGCTCACTTTTCGGTGGCGGGGAGCCTACCGGAGCAAAGGCAAGCCGCGTCTGCTTTTTCTTGCCATATGTGCGGGGCATCGGTGGTGGCGTAAGGATCTGCGATGCGTAGACTTAGAAATGTGGTAATGAACAGAATTAAGTATGCTGCTTCCGTATGAGATACAGGCGATAAAATCAAGATGAGTGGCTGCAATAGAGACTGTTATGGTTAATTTGAATATGAGATCTGGTGTCTTCAATGACCGCGACAGAGTCGCGTCGGAGTGTCACGAGAGCACGTGATGGTGACTGCTAGTAATCATCGCCCAAAGAGGTCAATGACGCTCGCATTCAGTGACTGGTAGAAGTCGCATGATATGCATACAGTGAAAGTTGAGGTATACTAAAATTATAACAGAGCTACTATCGAGTGCTGGATTCTCATTCTAGCTGTGTGTTCAATTCCCTTAGAGTCTTCTATATTTTCAGCACTTTTCGCTTTGCAAGTTCCCGAATCATGAAACGAATTGGATTCAGAAAGAGAATTAAAGCATTAATGTCCGAATTCCACTCCGCTCTCCGCAAGTGTGAAGTGTAGGAGCAAGCCTGAGGTTTCTATCATGGAATGTAGGCGAAGAAAAGGATAAGCGGATTCCGTCGAATCAACACAACAGGCTTCTATTCTCTCCTATATAGAGCATTTTACCTACTCTTGCGTGAAGATTTCCCTAATGGGTTGCGGCTTCCTCAATGATTAGGGCCTCCCCAGGGCGTGGCTTCCTCTCCGTTCACTGGAGCCCCGCGCATACTCTCATTCTTTCCAACTTAAAACCTCATCAACAGCATTTTAGCCAGACCTTTCTCGCATCTAATTCCATCCTACTTTGCGGTTCTATATTTCTTCCGATGTATTGTCAACAGCGCCTTGTTGCATTTCTCTATGCGGTGTTAGGGGCTATCTCCAATACTACCCAAGAAAGCCCACCTGAAACCCCATACAACGCAACAAGTGGCCATGCTTATCTAGCTTCGTGCTCCAGTATCTTGACCGATACTTCAGAACACTTGTCGATAAACCCAACCCACGGCCCGGAGGGGCCAGGCTGTGCGGTATCATTGTCTTCTTCCGTGTGCTGGAAAGCAATACCAGGGGCCTACACACAGAGAGAAAACAGGACTAACCATGCTCATGATACTCATACAGCTAAGCCGACTTTCAGACTCAGCTTGACTATTGCAAGTTCTGGAGAAGGGCCAATAGATCTACATCAATGCGAGACTATGATGGAACAGCTCATCTTCGAAAGCCCAAAGTATAGCATTCATAATTCGATTGCCAATGCCCGCTTTTTGGTGCCTCCTCAACTTGAGGAAGCTGCCCTCCAAGTATACCGCATGAGAAGGAGACTGTGGCAAAGGAAGCCACAAAGCGAGAATGATAAAGTTGAAGCTGAGAAGGTCCCGCAAGAAAATCCTCCGACGCAAGGATACCGTGGGATTTTGGAATATATCATCTCGAAAATGGGGCATGGCATGAGTCGACTCAAAAGGAGCGAGCAGAATACGTCCAGCGCTCTGCTTCCTCTGGCCCCGAGTAAGAGACAGCTGCCTGTCCAACGGGACCTGTACAGCCTTGGGCCTACTTGCGAGGATAAAATCTGCGAGGAGAATGATTGGGAGAATATATGTATCCCAGGTGCTATTCCAGCAACTAAGAAGGACCAGTGTCTTATGTGTTACCCGCGAAAGCATATGGCGCTTGTACAGGACTATTGTCAACAGCAAAAGTATAGAGAGCTCGACATATTCTATAAGACATGCGCACTCTTGGGTGCATCGATAATGGGGGCTACACTACTATACCTGCTCCGTGAGATATACAGGCGGCTTCGAATGCGATACCAATTTCTTCAGAGCATGTGTCGTCGCAGCCAACTATCGGGGAGCACTACCACGAAACCCGGGCTTTCATCTTTGATCCCTGGGGTCCCCAAAGCGTGGAGAGAACCACGACATGTATCAAATGGCACTGCTGACAACACTGGAAGCTTTGCAGCTAGCGATACGATTATCCAGCAGAGGTTTAGGAGACTTGGTCCATTCACAAAAGAAACTCGCAAGAGGGTCCAGGACATCTTTGACCTGGAATCATTTGAGGGATATCAGCATGAGCCAGAATTGGGAACTAAGATACCAGTGCTACCGCGAGCTCGTAATGCCAGTCTACGGAAGCATGCCACGGGCTCAAGATCACGCACGAATCTTTACTCCGATGGAAATGGCGGGCCCGGGGGTAATGGGGTGGAGGACACTAGGACTTTCTCAAAGCCTACACCTCAACAGAGTTATTTTGGGTGTGGCTAGTGGACACTTTATCTGATTATGATCCAAATTGTTATCGAGAAATGTATGTGCTAGTCGCTATGACAGTATACAAATACCAGATCAGTCGCAAGATGTGTATTACGCACTGATGGCTGCTCTAGCCCTACGCAGGAGCATGGCGCTTCGGGACGGCCACGCAAGTTCACGCCCAACAGCCAAAGGGCGCTAGTTCTCGTTCAAAAGTACCAGCGGCACTTGCGCTTAGACCAAGTCCATTTCCTTTTGCAGTCCGCGCATCCTGTCAGTCGAGAGGCATTGATTTCAAGCGCGGTGTTTCTCTGGTATGCTATGTCTGCCACGACTGTGGGATACGGGGAGGACAAGAAGGGCCGTGAATCACAAGCGTGCGGATGGAAGGAGAAATGGCATGAATACGAGAGCTGGCTGGAGATCAGTTGGGGGGATTAATTTCAGGGGGATCAGGGCTCTGTCTCGTGACCGAGCCCGTTGCCATCGCCAGGCCAGCCCGCTCCATTTCCCCGTTCCTCCTCTCCACTCCTGCGACTTTCCCAATTCCTCCTCGCCTCCATGTGACAGTTCCAAGATATTAAGCACTAAGCCTATCAATCCCCTCATTTTCTTCCATTGGTGGACCCTCTTCGACGCCCTTCCCAGTCTTCTGGCTGCTGATTCGTGGAAAGCCCCCTCAATCTCTGCCGCGTCTGGCTCAGAAATTCCTCGAATCTCATCCCCGGATTTCTCCACATTACGACCACCCCAACATCCGATGTCTGGGGGAAGCAGCCAGCAGCTCCCCCGTTTGGCCCACCCCCCACATACCCCGCCACCGACAAAATCCTGGAGTCGAATGGTCGAATGTTGTGCCCTACCCACCGCTTGATCCAGGATGCTAGGGCCCCGGAGCCCAGCTCCCCAGGAATGTCTCTGCGTTAGCGTGCATCCGAATCCTGGATCCAGTATTATAGCGCCTTATGGCTTGGTATAGCGCTTGCCACCTGGCTGCTGGCACGCGGCATGGCAGCTTATCTAGCTGCATGCCCGGTGCACCTCCGCCGCCTGGGATATATATACCCAGGGCCGTAGTTCGCAGCCGCTCTTCACCTTTTTTCCCAATACACACTGTCGCCAGCCTTATTGAGCAGTCTTTGTTGGCTAGCCCAAGCAGCTGTCAGGACCGTTGAACATCTAGTAGACATCTCGGTCTGCTCTTGGGGCGCACTCACCTCGCTACGCAGTCTTCACTGCCGCCATGGTGGCCTTCAATCTATTCCGCTCAAAAAGAGCGTACAATTGGTTCGCATACCTCGTCCTTTATTAGCTGACAGTACAGTGTGCTAACGTCTGTTCAGGTTCATCTCCCTCGTCGCAGCAGCATGCATGGTCCTTTATGGCTACGATGCGTCCGTCTATAACTCTGTCCAAGGCTCAGACAACTGGGTTGCCTACTTCAATAACCCTGGGGAGAACATGATTGGTGGTGTCAACACGGCCTACACTGTGGGTGCGATCGTTGGTGGTTTCTTCCTGGGTGGTCCCATTGCCGACTTCCTGGGTCGCAAGATCGGGATGGCAATCGGTTGTGTCCTGGTCATTGCGGCCACCTTCATGCAGTGCTGGGCGCCTCGTGGTGACATTGCATGTTTCCTTGCCGGGCGATGCATCATTGGTATCGGCCAGGGTATTGCACTGAGTAAGTTGGGTCGTCCATTCGCGTGAAAGAAGCCCTCGCTGACTTCATATCGCACAGCTGCGGGTCCCATCTACATTGGTGAATTAGCACCCTCAGAAATCCGCGGAAAGATCATGACCATGTGGCAAATGTTCTACTCTGTTGGTTCGTTCATCTGCTTCTGGGTGAACTACGGATGCACGGAACACTCCAAGCACCTGGGAGAGTGGGACTGGAAATTGGTTGTCGTCTTTCAGCTTCTAGTACCCGTGATCATTCTCGCCATCTTGCCTACTATCCCCGGTTCGCCTAGATGGTAAGTTTTCGCCATGCATCACACACTGCATCAAGTATAATAACAGCGCTAGGTTCATTCAACGCGGCAACAACATTGAAAAGGCCCGGGCGGCTCTCCGCAGAGTCCGAGAAACCGAGGACGAGGTCGAAGACGAGCTGCTCCGGATCCGTGAGGCCATCGAGTACGAGAAGGAAGCCATCTCCGGCAGTTACGCCGCTCTCTGGAAAGACAAGTCCCTCCGCAAGCGCATGGTCTTGGCTCTGATCATCAACGCCGGACAACAAGTCAGCGGACAGGGCACACTAAACACTTACTCCACGAAGATCTACGAGAAGGTGTTCAAGAGCGCCAGTCAGATCGCACTCATCAACGCTCTCAACGCCACCTTCGGTATTCTCTTCACGCTAAACGCCGTCTGGATCATCGACCGATTCGGACGCAAGTTCCTTCTCATCGTCGGTGGCATCGGCATGGGTATCTGCATGATCATCGTTGCAGCCGTCGAGACTGAAACTCCCTCTCCAGGAGGAGCAAAAACCGAACCCGTCGGCATATCAATCGTCTTCCTATTCTTCCTCTTCATTTTCTTCTGTAAGCCCCCCTCCCAACCTTCCCTCACCCAACCCCCACTAACCCAATCTACCTACAGACAAACCCTCCTGGGGCGCCACCATCTGGATCTGGACGTCCGAAGTCTTCTCGATGAACGTCCGCGCCCAAGCCGTCGGCATGGCCTCCCAGACCCAAAACGTCGCCAACGCCATCGTCCAACAATTCTTCCCCACCTTCATCAACAACTGCGGCTTCTACGCCTTCTACATGTTCGCAGGTATCTGCTTCCTCCTCGCTCTGTTCGTGTATTTCTTCATCCCGGAGACGAAGCAGGTCCCGCTCGAGGAGATCGATGCGCTCTTCGGTGGTGCCAACCATGTCACTCAGGGTGAGGATCTGCTGTCTTCGGAGAAGCAGATGCGTGTGTTGCAGGAGGATGCGGGGGTGGAGAAGCCCAGTGCGGTTACGGTTGAGGATGCACGGCGTTAATTAATGAGTTGTCTTTGTTTTGTTATGTAGTTTATATAGCCTATGGATGATGGATGACATGGTGGATTATGTGAATGAGGAATCCAACTTAGGGCTTCTTTCTTCTACTGGTACTAATATTTATGTATTAGCTAACCAAAATCTTTCTCATCACATCTACAACAACCCACACCGGTAGTAGATCGATACATAGATAGATACCATGACACACCCACTAACTCACCGGGTATACACCGTCCTACTAACCACCACACCACCACCACCACCCCCCACCCTCTCCCTCAACAAACACACCCACTCCACAACCGACACCCCCTCCAAAACAAAAACATATTCATACCGCGGCTCAAACGCCCTCTCCCTCTGAATCGGTATTCCCCCCGCCGTCGCACGAACCACATACCTCCCCATCCCCACCTCCGCCTTCTCGTCTTTTTCCTCCGCCAATCCAACAATCACACCATGCGAGAACGACCCCGCATGATAAGGATCCATATCCACGTTCCAGATCAAGATCTGGCCGTTCGTTTTTGACCAGGTCCCTTCTACGAGACGGTAGATGGATCGGGTTTTGGATTTGAGGGATTCGGTGGGGATTTCGTCGTAGACGTATTCCTTTTCGTAGCCGGGGCTGGAGGTGCGGCGGGGGTGGAAGGTTGCGTGGCCGGTGGTGGTGGTGGTGGAGGAGGGGGATGTGGGGTGAGGGGTGGTGGGGAAGATGGAGGTGGTAGAGGAGGAGGACATGGTCGTGGTGGTGATGGTGCGGGTGTATTTCCATGCGCCGTGGAGGGCTCGGAAGATGGTATTGCCCATGCCTAGGTTGTAGTTGCTCGGGCCCGGGATGATGGTGTTTTGGAGGGATTGGAGGGTGGAGGTGCGTTGGCGGTCGACGAGGGTGGAGAGGCGGTCTTCGGGGTTGTGGGTGAGGAAGGGGGAGGGGATGTAGCGGGAGGGGATGACGGGGCTGGGGTTGGGGTTGGAGTCGGGGTCGTTGGTTGATATTGGGGCTCGGGGGATGTTTAGGTCCCGGGCGAGGGATTCCATGAGGCCGATGTAGTCGCCCATGGGGAATTGGCTGCGGTGGGAGCCCTGGTTGTTTGATCGGAGGGAGCGGAGGAAGTCTCGTTCGGTGGATCTTTGGAGGAGTTGTTCGTGGGAGAAGTAGGGGCCGGAGTCTCTGGCCCATGTGCTGGCTAGGCTGCGGGCTTGCATTTCCATCGCGCCCCAGTAGGGTCCGCGGTAGAAGCCGACGAAGCCGAGGTCGGGGATGTCGGCGTGTGAGGTGCCTTTTCCGTCGAGGATGAGGGGGAGGAAGGGGTCTTTGGTGGAGTATTCGAGGGTTGAGAGGACGGAGGGTGAGAGGAAGCTGAGGGCGGAGAAGGGTGTATAGCCGGTGGCTGTTATGATGGCGGTGATGTCGGATATGGTCTGTTGTTCGCTGTTGGGGAGAGTGATGGTGAGTGTTGATGAGCTGTCAATGCTGGAGACTCGGCCTATGGTAACTTTGATGAAGCCAGAGCGGACGTACTCTGCGTAGTCGTCGCCTATGGCTATCCAAGGTGGCTGTGGATCGTCGTTCTCATTGCTATCAATCCCGAAACTGCCAATTTTCGCATAGTCGTCTCCAAGAAGGGAACGGAAATATGCATTCGATTTGCGTATCTGTTGTGTGGAGAGTGGTGTGAGATTATATTCGACTGGGCCAGGAGGACGTCGAGCTAGGTCGTAGAACACGAAGTCCAGGGGCAGAAATTGCGTAATTTGTGAATCTTTGGTATCCTGGAAGCCTGTATGAGGAAGATAGGTAGGCACCGTCCAGAAGGGTCGTGAGCAGATATGGTGTACTTCGAACTCTCTTCCGGATTGAACCACAGGTGGTCTGAAGTCCATCGTGGACAGGTTGAGCGCTACTGTCGAAGCAGCTTCCACACCCGACATACTCCCCCCAATGACCACCACCTTGCCTCCCTTGGACCCCGTCCTCTCCAGCAGCTGTTGCACACCGTTCGTAGTCTGCACTTCGGAGCTATGAACGACCTTATCAGCAACACTCGCCAGACCAGGTATATCCGGGAAGTGTGCTTTGGCGAAGTAACCCGACGTGACGACGAGATAGTCAAACTGTTCCGATTCCACCTCGGAACCCTCACACAGCACCCCATCACCATCAACCCTATAAACCAAATCAGCCCCTACCCCCCAGCAAGTACACACCCACATACCAACCTCTTCGAAACCCACTGCACCGTCCACCTCCCCCCCACCCCATCCACCTCCCTCACCGTCCGCACAACCTCCTTCCCCAACCTCAACACCCCCTTCGGAATATACAACCCCGCATATTTCTCCAAATACATACCCACCTGTCTCGCCTGCGGAAACATCGACAATTCCTCCTCCCCCACCACCGACTCCCACGCCAGATCGGAAAACGCAACCGTGAACCGACTCAGATTCGTCCGGATCCATGGGTTGATCTGTGGCTGGTCTCCTCCGTGACTGCTGATGCCGGCGGGCCAGAGCCCGCCGATGCGGTGGTTCTTTTCGAATACGCTTGGGATGAATGTTCCTTCGGGGAAGCTGTGCAGGAGCGTTTTGGCGGTTACGAGGCCGGAGGGGCCGGCGCCTTGGGGGGATTGTTAGTTAGGGCGGTAGTGGGAGGGGGGTTATTGTTGGAGTTGGGGTACGGACCTATGATTGCGACCTTCTTGGGTGGGACCATTATATATGTATAATAGTTGACTTGGTCCGGTGAAGGTTGATGGAATGGATGGGTGGGGGAATGGTTGTTGATGGGGCGGTTGGCAGAGAGATTATGTTCCCCTCAGCTGCGAGTTCATTACCCCTCATCGCTGTGCCGCTAGGGAACGCCTTGTCACACCAGGTTGGGGCTATGCAGGGGCATCGAAGCAGGCACAACTGCGGTTACTTGCTGCATCGCTGCTTTTGCTGTGTGGTAGTGGCTGGTGTTAAGAATTGGCGGGAATATATCAATATATTTCGGTGCCTGACAACTGACATGGTTCTAAATGTGTTAAGCTACTCAACCTTAACTGTCTGGTATCATGTCAGGCAAGAGTCCGTCAACAAAAGTCATGTAATTAGCTAATCAATCTGAAGCAACAAGTCGATAGAAATCTAGACAGAAAGCCCCTCTAAACCCAGAATGTCCCAGCACCTCGCTAAAAGACCCAGCTAACTACCAATATCCATCCCTCATTACATTATGGATTAATTGTATCGGGATTCGAGTCACCATAGGTGTTGATAAGAAATATCACAAATGCTCTGAATATCAGGCAAACAGGGAAGATTGATCTTGACAATCATGACAAAAGAAATCCATCATCAAAGAGAGGAAGGAAGTAAGTAGGAAGGAGGAAGGAGAGGGAAGGCGATCGGACTGGATGACGATGCAGTCAATATAGAAAGAAAAAAGGCAAAAAAGAACGGCCCGAGCCGCGGATCGAACGCGGGACCTCTCGCAGATATGCTTGGGTTTGTAGGCGAGATGCCTTCCCTAAGCGAGAATCATACCACTAGACCACCCGGGCGTAATTGTTGAAGACCTTATTACTTTCTTGCATCATAAGAAGGGCAAAAGATGGTATTCCCATTTCAGCAACGCCTCGCGTCTGGCGTCGACACCTGCATACTTGGCGGCAGCGTGCAGTGCATGACGTTGATGCCAAGGAAGGGGCCCCACGGCGAGTCAACGACACCAGTCCAGTTCCTATACGCTTGATGATAGGATCCGACCGGCCCGCGCGCTGCGACGTCGACAAAACCCGCCGATCAGCGAGCCTAATTTCCCTTCCAAGCCGTTGCCGAGCGTCTTGGTTCAAAGGTGGTGGGGGGGATGTACGTGGGCGAAGAATGAAAGTCGGTCTCTTCCCAAAAAATATCTCCGCGGGGTGAAGTAAGGATGGTGCGTATCAGTAGGACAGTCGCTCCAACCATGCAGAGATCTGCAACTCTCGGCTGTGTTTGCCCGGATAGCAAGCGTCGGTGAACCGCTGCTCCGTGAGAAGCGCGTCGACATTCCGCTCGGTCAAGGGGATCTTGTAGCGATTCTTTTGCTTGAGAAGTTCCTTTTCCGCACGTGCCGAGGATGATAATTTCTGAAGGGTATTGCGTATGCGTCGGATTCCTCGGCCTGGGAAATGGGGGATGCGGGGTGGTCCGAAGGGCGTGTCGACCTTCCAGGGGTCCTCGGAGGCGATGGATCGGGCGTTCTTCTTGCGCTGTTGGGAACGGAATTTGTTGGACATGGTGAGGTCTCGCCAGGGTCGAGAGGTGATACGGTAGGGGCCATAGAATGAAGGGTGGTGGATGGAAGGGGTGCGGATGGGGGAGATGGCTGTGGTGTGAAGGGAATATATAGTTTGCTATGCTGTGTATCTGCTATCTACCACCGTCCACGAACCACGATATACTTCAAGGAGGCCCACGGGAAAGGGTCACCGGGGCAGACGTGGATAACACGGCAGGGCAGTGCGGGGCCACTAACCAACGCAAACCCACACTAGCCTGAGCCTGTCTGAACGTGAAGGAGGGCTTCGACGACATGGGGGGGGGGGGGGGGGTCTGAAAAATTCCGCAAGCATCACTGCATCGATCTGCATGCCAGTCTGATCGCAAACGAGGCAAGTAGATTTCCCACTGCCGTGGTACAGCCTCCCCTCTACACGCAAGCAGCTGCAGGGAGAAAGAAAGGAAAATCAGAGTTTACAGGACAACGTCATTGGAGACTTGGCTAGTTTCTGTCCGAAGTGCGAACCAGACCCTAAGCTAGTGGATCGACCTCCCACTTGTAGATCTTATCCCACATCGTCTTTGAAGTTTGAACCCAATCCGTCGTTTACAGAGCCAAGGCTTAGGGTAGCTTCATTCTGCCTTGGCAATCGATGCCGTGCGAGCATTGTGTGTTAGGCGCAAAAGCAATATCGGCCCAGACGATGCCAAACTCTAGTAGCCACCTTTCTATCCAGTCTCATAAGCTGCACCTTAACACTATGCACACCCTCCGCTGTCATTGAATGCTTATCTTGTTGCCTTCAATTGGGACGGGGATTGCCTGTTCGCACTTGAACCAACCCCTACCCTGCATCTGGGATCCTGAAGGATTCATGCATGTCTGGGGCTTGGCAGAAAAGTATGGGTGAACTACCATCCAGGTGGAGGTACCACCTAGTGAGACACGGAGGAGTCTTCTGCCACGAGAAAATTTGAACAATCTGAGGCGAGCAGATAGAACTGGTCACTGGGACACCACGGGTGAAAAGTGATGCGGGCCTTCAAGACTAGAACGACACCAACCAACTCCAGCCAAGGACAAAAGCAACAGCCCTTACCTCCCGATCACTCCCTCCCACAAGTGATCCGCTATATCCCAATCGCTCACAGGATCCCCAAGTATGTATGGAAGGGCTCAAGAATCTCGACCAAGTGCGGGGTAAGGGACCAACAGCCGCATCTAGACAACTCCTCCTCCCACAACCCTCCACCTTGGAGAAAGCCGAGAACCGCAGGTTCGCCGATCCCTGTTGGATATCGGAAGCCCGGCAAGTTTTCTGACTGGCTCGTGGCTTCTCATCTCGGAGGCCGCACGGAGTCAAGTGATTGTTGCTGACATGAGGGGCGCGGACGGGCTGTCACCGTCTTCCAGAACCTGGGATCGTCGCGCTTGGGTTGGTCGTACGGCTCGTCTACCGTGGGAATCGTCCGGCTGAAAAGGTACGACCTGGTTGCTTGGCCGCGCTTGGCTTGACTACTGTCGTGACCATGGATTTGGTGGTGGTTGTCGTAAGCAGAGGACTATTCTTGGGAAGTTTATTAAACCTTATTAGAACACCGTCATCAAATTCAAATGGGAGGGGTGGTTGGCAACAAGGGATAGCCTCTCGCTGCTACCTCATATAAGCACCATCGCCCTCTCCGTCGGGATCAGATGATTTGGGCGGAGGTGTCATTTGCTTGCTCTCGTTGGGACGGGGAGAAGTCTTAGGTATCCCGGAAAGGGAGGTAACGACAATCTTTGTGAGACGATCACCTTCTAGTCTCAATTAATATGGCAGGTTTGTCATCGTGACAGTTGAGAATTCTTTCAGAATATGTTGCTCGAAAACCTGACATGTTTAAAGGCAGGACCTCATCACGAGAGCCATATTTGAACATAACATTATTTGCATTGGACCAGCCTGCATACCTAGGACAAACACCTCGAAAACAAAGCAAGAACGCCGGCCCAACCGTTCGTTACCCATCCATGTGAAAGTTACCCTGCACGCCAATTCATACCGATGACTCGCTATTGGACATCATGAAAACTTGAGAGATAAGGGAAAGCCAACCCGACAATGAAAACGGAGAGGTCCACTAGGAGATAAGCAGATCCTTGACACTCATCCCGATCTTCCTTTGTGGGTCCTGGGGGTGGGGTTTTCCAAGCTCCCGCAACCGGGAAAGGGAATCGGCGGGCACGTCATGAGCCGAGCCTACGGATCCCCGGCAGTCTCGATTCAGCATCAGCAGGGCAGCGGACGCTTCATGATCAACGTCAGCCGAAGACGCGATGGAGTACCGGGGTTGGATCACTGGGGAGGCGCTGGAGGAAGACACAGCCCATGTGCACTGCCCCGAATGGGTTGGATTTTGAGATGGGTGGGTTGGGCCCAGTGCAGGGCTCGGCGTGATTGATGATGCAAAGTCGGTTACTGTCCCGGTAGGCCCACGACTTCGAGGAGAAAAGAGGGGGGAAATTGCGTCCGTTGTGGCATCAGTCGGAGGCAGTTCTGGGGACACAGAGGGCGAGGATGAAAGACCCGATTCTTCTGCCAGAGCTTCAGGTGATGTTGGCGAAGGAGGAGCCGGCGGCATTCTTGGAGAGACCTGTGTATGTCGATTGCCGGCAGTTTTGAGATCAGATATACACTGCTCTAGATAGTTGACGTAGTCAATGCTTGCCTGGAGCATGAGATACGATTAGCAAGTCATTCATGGCTAAGAGGGTCCCGAAGAAAAGGTCGACTAACCTGTAAGATCGCGAGTTTGTGCATGTCTTGTCCTTTGCAAGCCGGGATCATGTCCTTCAGGGTAGCGAATTCCTCATTCATCTTCGACCTCCGCCGCCGTTCAATCAAGCTATGAGCCGTCTTCCTGGCAATCTTTCGGCCAGCTGCACTAGTTGCGCTGGGTTGCTTCTTTTTGGAGTTGGCCGAGGCGGCATTGTTGGACGGAGTCTTGTTGTCCTTCGCGGAGGCTTTGTTGGCCGTTGCGGTCGGCTTGGGTGGGGCTTGAGTTTTGGGTTTCATCTGGATGATTTTGCGAGTGCGTGTGGGGGGTGGTGGGAGATCAAAGTCCTCGAGGGGTCTCTTGACACCGGTTTGACGAGGGGAGTTTGCCATGATGCCCAGTGCAAGATCCGGTGATGCTGGAGATGCTGGGAAGCAAGCGGACGATCGCCTGCTAGCACTTTCCATCTTAGACGGACTGATAGCAGCCGGAGGCAATGTGAATGAGTCGGAGGCATCCACCGATGCATTGTCTTTGATGATGAACTCCCCCGACATGGCAGGGGTCGGCGGCAGGCGTGTGCGTGACATGATCTATTCGGGAGTGAAACAACGTTTTGATGTCAACCTAGATTATTTTCCCATCCGACGGGCTAATGGAAATGCGTTGGCCAAGATAAAAGTAAAACCGGACCAATGGTCGAGCAATATTGGCTGACAACCCGTTGAGCGTCGTACAGTCGGTGCGGTAGAAGAGGTAGGAGATGAGAGGGATTGGATCGGTGGAGAGGGGGAGCTGAAGAAAGACCGCGGACGGCAAGGACAGCAACAGCTATTATGTTGAAGAAGAAAAGAGAAAAAAGCAATATGATCAGACGAGAGAAGAAGCACTGCAGTGTCCCGAAGGATGGTACCTAGGCCGGTAGTTTATATGAGAGAGGGGGAAGGATGGTACGGAGTAGAAGGAGGCAATTGTCCACGGGGGTACTAAAGTAGGCCGAGGGGGAGGGATTGCGATAAGAACAGGTACCTAGACTACGGTGTACATGGCTGCTCCTAAATTCTAATCGGGATGATCGACGGGGGGGGGCGTGGATGAATTCTGGATTTCGGGAAGCTTGCTGTCTGTACGGAGTAGTCTGGGCAGCAGGACTGGGGATGATGCTACACTATACCGTGGACGGGCCGGGGACTGGCCAGCGGCGGGCTGGCCAGTCCCTTCCCTAAGCGGCGGGCGATTCCAGTGTCGCGTGCTTGGGGAAGCCCACGCGGTAGCTTGCAGGCCCGTCATTGGCCGAACGGCACTACCGGGAGGGGGCACGAGACCGGTTGCCTGGGGCCAAATCGCCGACGCTTTTGGGGCTCGTGCTTCGGTCGAGTGTTCTTATGGGTTGTACGAGCTCCCGGCTCACGTCCCTTACTTTCGAGTCCGCTCTCCCAGCACCTCCTAAATCCTAATACCCACGACAACCGCTACAACATGCCTAGGACGACGGATGGTGTCCTCATCACGAACTCGGAAAAACCCACAACCCTCGGGTCCCGGAGTGACACCTACCAAATACGTCTTGACCTCCAAAGATGGGGTTCAGATCCTCTACTCCTTTGAGCCGGACTGCCACCTAGATAAAATTGCGGAATGGACCACGCCCATCCAAATAGGACGCTAATTGGTGCTGTTTAACAACGCAGAGGCTTGTCTTGCCACCAGAACGACCCCCGGATCCTTTTCGCGATTGATATGAGTCGGCGTGACGGCCAGATTCTTCGGTCTCATAACTACCCGAAGTATCCTCACGTCCTTCACCTGCCTCGTGCTCCTAAGCAGACGATGCGACAGGCCGGGTGAGGGAAATATCAGGACCGAATCGTGAATCCCCCTGAGCATTGCTGTCTTCAGGGATCGAAGACGTAAAACAGAGTGGATCCGTCTAATATCCCAGGCCGTCAGACTGAGTAGTCGCGTCGGACCTCCAGTGGTCATGATCTCACCCCGGCCTATTCTTGAAAGCTGGCGACGTTCTCGTCCAGACGTGGCATCGGAGCACGTGCATGGCCTCTTCCCAACCAGTGGACCCTCTGGCCACGGGTCGCATGTGCAAGTCCCTTCTTGGGTACTCCCTCCATACCCGAGCAGGCAGGTCTCTTCTGCTGCCCGGGTACTCCGTACTCTCCGCATCATTCTCGTCACCCTTTGCGGAGCCAGGCGTCCGAGGCACGCCCCTCGCCAATCGTTGACTTTTCGATTATGTACCGGCGTCAGCTCTACGGCCATTGCCGTTATTTTGCATCATTCTATCGGCCTGCTGGGAGTCTTCGTAGCGGGGCAAAGCCACCACACGCAATTACCTGCCCCGCAATGCACTTATGGTCTGTGCCCGGAGTGTCGCTCGTCACGACAGGTTGTTCCTTCGGGCTATTTGACTGGGAACCGCTAATGGTACTGGGCATGGTGATCTTGGCTGGAATCCTGGACCCAGCGTATGTAACTCTGCCCTTCGCGTTGCTTATCAATACCCCACCCGTTGCTCTCCTGCAGCTTTGAATCCAAGAGTGATGAATTCGAAGAGGCTTCGTAAGGTTAGATGACTACCTTGTCTCGCAGCAATGACAACAATCCACCACACGATTATTTCTCTCGGCTAGACGCTGGTACATGTGGACATCCCCTAAAGCACTTGTTCAATCATAGGCGCAGGTGAGTCGGAATCCGTCTATCTAGTAAATTTCCTTCGCTCATCTTCAAACAACTATTCTGAGAGAGTTGAATGTTACATGTAGAATTCATTCCCGCGTTACTTACACCATCAGCATCTGTCTATTTGGGTTCGACCCCAAGGCCTATATACTGTATCGCTCAGTCAAGACATGCTTGCGACTGCGCTTTGCTACTCTTCTAAAGCACCTCACGTGAACAACTTCTGGAGGAGCACCTCGCCAAAGGTGTCTTCCCCTGGGGAGCTATCCATTCTCCAGACGCGGTTCCCAGCCGACCGACTCAACCATAAGCCATGATCGTTTGCGCTTTCCACATCGGCGTCAATACGGTGTCGGTTTCGTCGGTCGATAACGCACAGACCCCGCGTCCATTGGCCAGTAGTTTCAATCCGAATGTCCTCTGGCGACGTCGCTGAAGGTTGCCAGCCGTCATGGTCAGCGGTCATAGCATACCAGACACACACAGGGTCGTGCAGACTAAGTTCCGCAGCGTCACCCACGTGTCCTGGATGCAGTCTTTCTAGGGTGCGGAATGTGTGAGCCATGAAAGCAGAAACCCATTCAGCTAGTGGCGATCCGGCCTCTAGGAGCGGTGTAATTGTTTTCCGGAACTGGCCCTGCGTCACATTGTGTCTCAAGGTAATGTCCAGGGGAAAGATACGAAGAGTGAGCTGTTTGCTAAGCTTCGGGGGATAGTCTGGCAGACTCGTCCCCGGCGGCAGTGTACTCCTGGGAGAAGGAGACGTCAGGGCATAAACTCGGGCAGCAGCGACTGCGTCTGCGTATGCATTGAACTCTGCAGCTGGAGTGACCTAGTGATTGTCAGCATGCTATGACTCTACCAGGACCTGGGTGATATAGGGCCCGAAGCTCACATTTCCAGGTTGGTTAATTGCCCCTCCCATTACTACAACCTCTTTAACCCGGAGGAAGGTCTCTGGGTCGGCAGAAGATGCCAGTGCAAGGTTAGTGAGAGGGCCAACTGCCACGAGCGTGACAGTATCAGGATCATTCTCCCTTAGGACACGGAGAATCTCTTCGTACGCGGGACGCTTCGAAGGAATGAATGAGCGATGGGCTGGATCACCCGTTGGGACGGGCTCAACCACGTTGGGATCGGACGAAGGGTCAAAGAGATGCTCCCAAGTCTCTTTTGGAGTTAGGTGGGGATGCTGGAAGTTCGGACGTTAGCGGTCTTGTAAGTCTTGTAGTTTGAAGGCTGATGCGCTTCACGTACACTGGCATGGATGCCTCCCAGACCGTCCGTGCCATCTACAAAGGGTCAGTATGATGCGTTGATCAAGGCGAGGCTATGATTCTGGAAACCCACGAAAGTAATCTGCCAGCATCTTTTGGTCCTCCAAGGGATCCTCTGCTCCTACGGCGACAACCGGGGGAGAAGCGCGGAGAGTGCCAAATCCTTCCGGCCGGCCCTGCTCTCGACGCCATTGCATCTCCCGCTCAAGGATGTGGAACATGGACACGACATTTCGCAGGCAGCTATCCGAGTCAGAAGGGGCCGTTCGTCGAGCAATGGAAACCGGCGACTCACCTCTTAACCTCGATATTGCCGAAGGTGAGGGAGATCAGTAGAATCTCAACATCTTCGGGCTTGGCAGACAGTGCCAGAAGAATGGCAAGGATGTCATCAATGCCCTATTTAGGTATCAGCGTAGGTCCTAGCAAACCGTTCGCAGGCAATGCGAAGCTGGGAGGGAATGGCTGAATAGGGAATTCATCATACGGGATCGGTATCAATGATAATCTTTCTAGGGGCCATTTCCGATGCTTTTTATGTGTGGTTTGAGCTTGAGGTTACCCGAGGAATGTTCTATGTTGAGTGGTACAAAAGTGAGTCGGCCCTTACAGAGAAATCTGCGATGATGCGGATTGCGGGCGATGGAGGGGAAGTGGGATGTCTTGGCTGGCGTTATCATGGGTTCTCCACTATCTCTATGCCCGGGCAGAATCACCGACGGATATGGCATTAGTCATGGTGGCCTATCGTGAGACTTGAGAGCTGTAGATACTTCCTATCTACATAGTACTGGATATTGAACATCATGTCTCAGGGCCAGCGCATTCCCCATGTTTAAAATACATCGTTTGATGAGCATGGATCGGAATCCCCAACAATTTCCAGAGAGAGCGTTGTGGCGGACTCAATATGTCGGCAAGGCTTCACATCGAATAAACTCCTCCATATTTGGGGTGTACTTCGGTATTATTATAATAAGACCTACAGCGTCTAGCAGTGTCAAGCCCTGTAAGCTCTCCTGAGCGAGCGCCTTGGGGCGTAAATCCTGGAATTGACCCCGAGGAGTCTGTCATTGATCCGAGACCGTTTGCTTCCCCTCCTTTCCTGTCAGCAGGTACAATCTTTGTATCACAATGTAAGAGCAAAGCCCGAGGATGACAGCCTATCAACTCCCATTCAATCGGATGGCTTTGTTTGGGTTACATTTCTGTTGGGCCTCGTGGTTACTCTGCAAGGGGTCTGGACCGGCCATCTTTATGTCATGCATTGTATGCTTCTCCTGCTCTGATAGGGTGGCAAGCCTTCCGACCAGATGAAAACCGGGAGAGGAGAGTATTCTTTCCCAGATCTTGGATCAAGATGAGAGTGTATACTCCGTACGGGGTTCTAAAATGCCTGCTGGTGGACACGGAGGGGCCTGAGCGATCTCGAGACGTGGCCTGTTCGGGAGCAGGTAATACCCCCCCGTAATTTACTGCGTGGTAAGCGCGTTACTGTGCCTGTCATGGTGTAACTGCCGATTCTCCGGGAGTCTTGCATTTCTAGTACTATTCTAGCGATTGCCTGCTACGTGGTGGACTATTTACAAACCTATCAGCTACTACTGCTGGGCTAGTAGCAGGGGTCCTGGAATCTTCATTCGAGGACGGAATCTTCCGTCGACTCGTCTAGACGCCCATCGACAGGGGCGACATGACATTGCAGCGTGGGATGGTCGAACCAGCGTCAAGGTGTGGAAGATCTTTCCCCGCGCAATCTCCCTGTTGGATGGTGTCCTCCACACCATTTAATATTAATGACCCCCCTATGGTGACTTTAATCACCGTTAGACCATCAATCAGAACCTCTGCTGTCAACGAGCGTTGGCTGGGGCTGTTTGGTATTGTAGGTCATGGAGGTCAGTACAACTAATCCCGAATACAGTCAGGTACGAGCAAATGGTACCAAGTAGTAGTAGATCTTAAAATGCGCCACAAGCATGTCGGCCCCTGACCCGATTTGAATCGCGAAACGACCATCATGGTAAAGATGCACTCTTTCTGAGGCTGTCTGCGGATTGAACCGATCCAGAATGACCGATTGACTGCCATCGTGATGTTTATCTCCAGTGGAGCGCTCTGTTCATGAGCCCGGCCGCCAATATTACCGATACAGTACCACCACCACCACTGTCAGTGTCTCCTCCTCCGGGCGTAATTTATTATTCACGGACGGACACTAAGAAGGTAGTTCATGACAACCCCTTCATCTCTCCAGACCGTGTCCTCTTCCACTTCCACTTCCGCCCTCCTCCTTTCTCTTTTCCCCCAACCCTCTTCTTTCTCCCCTTCGTCCTCTTTCCTCCCTTGTCCTTTTTGCCACCCATTGTCACCAACCCCCAAGCTTTTGGTTGACGGGTGCCTCGATGTCCACTCGGTGATTCTAGGTATCCGTTTTCCTTACCTCATCCCGATCCTCGCTACCAGTACCTTTATTTACCGCAAAGCGCAGTCGGAACCTTGAACCACTCTCCGACTCTGAGGTCATAAGCAACACACTCAATCCTCTGAGAGCTGTCAGCTGGACTTCCGAAAATCTGTTCCCTTTGCCTTCTGCCTTCGCCCCGATCAGCGTTGCAGCTTCAGCGGTTCAGCAATCGAGGCCCACGAGGCAATCTGGCCTTTCTGCGCGACTGGCCTGCCCTCTCCCCTTGTCCTCCAACCACCTTGCCATCGGTCACGGATTGATGAATAGAGGTTGAAAAGGATCTGCGAAAGCTTACCCTATACTTAATCCTTCTTCGTTTCTGGACTGCTTCATTGGATCTCATCCTTTTTTTCTCTTTCCCGCCGAGTGTCGAACGCGCGCCTGGCTATTTGACAGCTTCCAGACAGACGTTCAATCATTGATTGAGGTCGTCTCTTATATTTTATTACGATTTCTGCTACGCCTGTAAAGTTTTATCTGAATGTACGTCGTTGGCTCCCCATCTCTCCCCTCGGCAGCTTGTGGCTTGCGGACTGACAATGATAACGTGATATAGCCTTAACGATGATGAACCCCTACATCAGTTGGGCTCTCCTGCTCGTTGTGGCAGGTGGCCTTGGCTGGTACTACAATGGCCCGAACCCTAAGCACAAGACCCCCATAAAGCCCGTGGTGGAAAAGACGGAAAGTGCGCCGGCCGCAAAGAAGCCCAAGCGCAAGGCTAAGAAGTCTCCGGAACCTTCGCCTGCCCCTAGCAAGCCGGTGGAGGAGAAGCCCGCAGCTCAGCCCACTGTTTCGAACGCCGATGAGGTGGATGAGGAGATCGACAAGAAGGAGATGGCGAAGCGTTTCGCCGCCGTGAAGAACGGAACTCCGGTGCAGTCTAATGGCAGCGGCAGCGGCAGCAAGAACCAGAAGAAGAAGAAGACCAAGGCAGCTCAAGTTGAGAACGGCGAGCGCTCCGCCTCTCGTGTTTCTACGCGCACTTCGTCTACTACTGGAGCAGATGCCGATGATGACCTCTCCCCCGCTGGTTCCCCCTTGGTGAACGCCACTACCCCCTCCGCTGGATATGTTTCGGATATGTTGGAAGAGCCTGCTCCGGGTGCTTCGGTTCTCCGTGTCACCGGTGCCGTGTCGTCGGACGCCACCAAGAAGCAGAAGCCCCAGTCGTTCAAGCAGGTCGAGACGAAGAAGCAGCGCCAACAGCGGTTGAAGAACGAGGCCCGCAAGCAGCAGGTCCAGGAAGCAGAGGAACAAAGACGTAAATTGCTTGAGAAGCAGCTCCACATGGCCCGCGAAGCCGAACGTCGTGAGGCTGCCAACTCGAAGCCGGCTCCTCAGACCAACGCCTGGCAGACCAAGGCTGCTCCCGCAGCCACCAACGGTACCCCCAAGGCGGCCCCGAGCCCGAAGGTCGAATTGTTGGACACCTTCGAGTCGGATGCGCCCGTGACTAAGGCCGCCTCGAAGAAGGAATGGGACCAAGGTCTTCCTTCTGAGGAGGAACAGATGCGCATCCTTGGCGCGGACAACGTGGACCAGTGGACCACCGTCTCCAGCAAGAAGACCAAGAAGAAGGGAGGCAAGACGGACGAGAGTGAAGTCAGCGCTCCGGAAAGCCAGCCCGCTCCTGTTGCCGCTGCCCCTGCTCCCGTTGAGCCCAAGGTGAAGGTGACGCCCACTTACCTTCCTGATGTCCTTCGCTCGAACGTGAAGGGGCACCCTCTTGACTCTGACTGGGCTGCTTAAGTCTCCCCTTAGGTCACCCGAAAGAAGCTAGATCAGGGAAGCATGCCTGTCTGGTTCATTCAGGACCCTCGTATATCCTGAATTGTATTTATTATTCATGGCTTTGGCGTTTGGGGAACTCCTTTATACCAAAAACGTACCATGTATCTGGCGAGTTGTTCTGCTCTCACCGCGAGGTTCAGCGGGGACAGAAACGCAACGAGTGACAGAAGGAACAACGAAAACCCCCCTGCAAAAAGACGTCATGTATTATTTTATCGCTATGCTCGGTTGCTGCTTTTCCCTCTTGGTTCACCCTTATTTTCGCTCTTCTATCTTTCTTCTCTGCTGCTGTGTTTCCTATCGATAATTGGCTCCGGGGGCTTCCCCTATTCCGGCCAGACCCTGTATTCGACCCCGGCGCTGCTCTCTGCGGTTCTCTAATTTGGGGACTGACAGAGGGTAAGTTTGGGGCGCTTTTAAATTGGCCATTTTGCCAACTTTTCTGATGTGTCATTACCTAGTCTACTACCCATTTACCTACCTAGTCTTTACTACTCGAGCGGCATGGCGACCGCATTGGCGAAAATAGCATGGATGGTTGCGGATGCGGTGGACGAGCGTGGATTGGAGCATGCCATGGGGGCCACCTGGCATCTTATGTCTTATTTAAACTGTCTTCGCTTCTCGATGCTGTTGGAATTTGACTCCATAAGTTAGGTAGCTACAATGATTTCCCCTTTTCGCCAGGATCGCCCGGATTTCTTTTTTTAGCATGGGTGCACCCTTTCCTGCCAGTCTGGTTGTTGCAAACCCCCATTTGTAGGGTTCCTGTTTCACAATGATCGGGTTTCAGACGCCGGATCTTGCGCCGACCGACTTAAATTTTGGGCCCTGCTGGGATGTGGGGGCGGCAATGTCCCTGACTCCCTGTCCGTCCGGACTCCGGAGTAGGCATGGCAGTCGGTCGGTCGGTGGTGTACACCGTCCACGCCGGGGGTGAATGCATCGAGACGACCCCCAGAAGAAGGCGGACGCGGGGTCCTGAAGAATGAGGAGGGATCCCCGGAGCCGGGGTCGATCGGTTTAGCTTGCTGGATTGCAGAAACGGGCGCTGGAAGAGGGCAAAGTGGAGGACTAAGGGGAGATCATGGCGTCACGGGCCCAGGGTCACTCCCGGCCTGGGCACTGCCACCATGCCTGATCCGGCCTAGCGTCGAGTTCCGGTCATCGTGGCCTGAACGGCAGTCACGGGCCTTCTCGACACCGCGGAGGTGCTGCAACTATTCATCGTCTTCCTCCCTCCTCTGCAGCGCTGCTCTTTTTCTTCCTTCTCCCCGGGTCCTTTTTATCTCCATTGTCTGGCACTCTGCCTGCTCTTCTCCCCCTCTTGTCCTTTCTCCCCCCTCTTCCTCTCGCCAACACCTCCCTGCTCCTGCGAGTGTGCTCTCGACCCTTCGTCCCTTGTTTGTTGTCCCTGATTTCGCCCAATTGCGGAGGGTTCAATTCGTGCCTCTCCCCCTCTCCTTGTCGATTCGCGTCTCTCGACTTCAACAACTTTTTTTTCTCGCCATGGCGCAAATCCGTGGCACTGCCGGCTACAACTTCGGCCACCAGAACCCCTTTGGGGGTCCTGGTAGAGTAGAGGCAACGGGCGATCCCAGTCCTCTGGATGCTGTCCGGGAACAGACCAGCAAAATTGAGGATTGGCTGGACACGATGGCGGACCCTGTGAAGCCGTATGTCAACCCCAGGCCCTGCTGACCCCAATGATCCGTGTCCAGCCTACGAGCTGGCAAGGCGGAATCCACGTTTCGCATGCGGAAAGGGCTCATCGCTGACACCGTGGCTTCTTTGCTGTTCAGGTATCTACCAGCCATTGGTCGCTTCCTGATCGTGGTCACCTTCATTGAGGACAGTCTACGCATGATCACCCAATGGAACGACCAACTCCTGTACCTCCGTGACTACCGCAAGAGTAAGCATGAATTTGGCCCCGTCCCTCCTATACCCGGCCACACCCGCCGTGGGGTCCGACTGCCGATCGGCTCTAACCTGGGCTTTGTCGCATTGCAGTTCCATGGGGTGTCACGCATACGTTCCTGATCATCAACATGCTCGCCATGTCGCTTTGCTCGTTTTTGGTCATTGCCCGCAGACACACGGAGTACGCAGTTGCCGGTCTCCTGGCCGTCGTCATCGTTCAAGGCCTCGGATACGGACTTATCTTCGACCTCAACTTCTTCCTCCGCAACCTGAGTGTCATCGGTGGCTTGCTTATGGTTCTCTCCGACTCGTGGGTGCGCAAGAAGTTCGTCCCCGCCGGCTTGCCTCAGCTTGATGAGAAGGATCGCAAGATGTACGTCCAGTTCGCTGGTCGTGTGCTGCTGATCTTCCTTTTCATCGGATTCGTCTTCTCGGGCCAGTGGAGCCTCTGGCGTATCATTGTCAGTCTGTTCGGCTTCGTCGCGTGCATCATGGTCATTGTTGGATTCAAGGCCAAGTGGAGTGCGATCATTCTGGTGGTTTTGCTGAGCGTGTTCAACGTTCTGGTCAACAACTTCTGGACGGTAGGTTCTGCCCGTGCGCGAGTTCTCGGGCTCATTCAAAGACTGACGTCTCCAGCTTCACCCTCACCACCCCCACAAGGACTTCGCCAAGTACGACTTCTTCCAGATTCTGTCCATTGTGTAAGCAGCCCTTTTTTAACCTTGATGGATGCCAGGAAACACCAGCTAATTACAATGTGCTCTCTACAGCGGAGGACTTTTGCTCCTGATCAACATGGGCCCCGGCCAACTGAGCGTGGATGAGAAGAAGAAGGTCTACTAAGAACAACGCGTAACCATGGAATGCTGGGCATGATGTGATATCCCGGGCCATAGGGACCCCATATATGAACCTGCTTTCTATTTTCTCCTCTTCACTTGCTTTTGGACAGACATCTACGTCGCATACCACTACGTTACACTACGAACATATCATATTATATCATGCCATGACCATGATTTTCACCATCCTCACCCGAAAATGTGACTCCATCCTTGCTGTTCTTGACTTCCCCCCGCTCATGAGTGAGTAGCTCATTTTCACCCGGGGAGTGCTTTTTGCATGATGTATATCAAGGAATGAGCATATTCAGATTATATTTGGGATTAAGCAGCAAAAAGGCGCACCCTGGGAAAACTTAGTTCTACTCCATCCAATTCCTCCACCCAAATATAATCTCTCCATTTGTTTCACTCTATCTATCAATCTTTTTTTTTTTTTTTTTTTTTTTTTTTTCATTTATCTCGGGTCGCTTCTGGTAGCTAGCTAGCTAATTGGGACAGGTAAATCAGTCAGTCTGCCCCATGTCCATCTATCTATCTATCTAGCGATGTATTCCATTGAAGAAACTTGCACTGGAGATTTGAGATTTACCTATCTATTGCCTAAATGGGTATTTTGTTTTGCGGGCCGGTATGTGTGCACGTGACCCCAGTATGTATGTATGTATGTATGTATGTACGTACTATATGGTTATAGGCTCATTGTCATTGTCAAGGTCTATATGTAGAAGGTAGCAGTAGAATGAAATGCAGGTATGTATTATTAGAACAAAGTAGTATACATGAAGGGTAAGGTGAGAGACAATGAGCGAGGACGAGAGCGATAGTGAGAGAGCAAAGCAATGCAAGTAGGATGATGATCAGCGGCGAAGCGGGTAAACAGGAAAAGAAAAAGCAAACATGATAGGAAACGAAGAACTAGGGATAGTACTCTGCGCTGAGGAATTGGGAAGATCAACGGGCAATGATAACAATAATGCGGACGCAGCGAGTCAAAGATAGTGAGTCAGTTGGGATGATAACAGTCTCGTGGTCCGATGGGGTTGTGTCTGTTGGCCCAGCCATGCATACACAGTATGTGCGTTGATCGAACGGAATTCCCATGCTGTTCGGTATGATGCATCGAGGATATTTGCCATGGAATGGGTCAAGGGCATCAAAACGGAACGCTTTTTGCTGCTGCCAACGCCGAAACACAAACATGCCGACAAAACAATTCCAACCAAGAGGGGTATTCTGCTACCCAAGGAGCAAAAAATAAAGCAAAACAGGCTTCCATGATAAGCAATGCGCAATAAAAAAAAGGGGAAGGGAGGGGGATATGCTAAACGTCCAGAGAGAGGGCCCGGATTATAGACAGTGGGCGAGCGGATTTACGGTCATATATCCATACTCCAACGCCAGGGTCGGAGACGTTCAAGCTGACCTAATCCGATATCGTCAGGCGAGTCATTGATTTCCAAGTGCAACAATTGAACCTTGTTGTTGTCACGTTGCAAGGTAGATAGGGCTTGTGAGATCGTTGGAGGGAAATGTTTACCGCTATCATGGGTTGCTTTGGAGACAGGCCGTGACGTCGGTGTCCCAGGCGAATGCAATGAGTTTCGCGGAGACTCCACCTCGGTATCACCAGGCGACGACAGGGTGGAACATGAATCGGAGCGCGAGCGTAGAGATGGGGATATTACGAAGTTGGCCTCATCGCGTCCGTATCTCAAGCGGGGGGATGGTGGCGGAGAAAACTCGTCGTCACCTTCCGAGTCCACGTCTGCGGATCTCGGGTCATACCAGCCGTCGGGGGCCATGCGAGGCGGAGAAGGTCTAACCACTTTCTTTTCGGGCGTTTGGGTTTCTAGCGGAGGTAGCTGTGGGGTAGGCTCGACGGGTTTCTTGACATTTCTGTCACCGTCGGCACGCTGTGCGCTGCTGTCATTGCTGCGGACAGTGTCCCCAACGCGTTCCTTGCCGGCCATCACCCGAGCACTGGGTGGGGGTTGTAGCATCCATCGCGTCTCAGCGCGGCTCTTGGGCCCACTCACGATTGGGGGATGAAGATCGTTGACGGGGGGCACTCGAGCGATATAGTACTTGCTAGTGGAGCCAGCATCTTCCTTGCCGCCACCTGACAGTCCGACGGAGGAACCCTTGACCTCCACATCCTGGCCCCATAATGGTTCGTCCTCGCGCTGATATCGCATGCGGTTCCACCGATCGCCCAACGGATGCTTCAAACTGCTTTTATCCTTCTTGTGTGACGAGCCACCCGTGCGGCTCACATCCTGCGTCGAGTCCGCGGAGACGCCCGTATTCCATGAATCGGTTCGACGATGTGCCGCCCGATGACCACCTCTTCTGGCGGGGGGTCCCGGACCTAGAGCAATTTCCTCCGCCCATCCTGGATTGGTACTGAACGCCGTGGGTTGTGCTAGCGGTCTTGGTTGGTCCGTGACAATAGCATCTATCTTATCCTTTTGGCGCTGTGATCGAACGGCTTCCTTTTTGCGCTTGTGGAGATCGAGGGAGTTGGCACAGGGAGTGCAGGTGGCATAGTAGAATACAGCGGACTGGGCGCCACGGTAGAGCCACATTCTGGCCTGGCCACCAGAATTGAACGGAGGAGGCTGGGGAGAGAAAGGGAGAGGGAGAGCGGGCGGAAGAGAGAGGGAGGAGGGGAGGGAGAGGGAAGGATAGACACCACCGGCTAGGCAACGATGCCAACGGAAGAGATGTATATCCTAGCGCTCAGAACGACCAATTGGCCCGGGGGTATAGACACGTCGAGCCGGAAGTGTGTCGGGACGGTCGCAACAACATGAAGGGCGCTCGTATTCGGGGGAGAGCAGTTGATAGCGGAGGGACAAGGCGCAGGCAGAAGTGGCGGTCGCCCAGCGACCGAGATTGGCGTCAAAAATCGGCGGTGCAGAGAGAGGCGGTCTGCAGGAGGTGAAGGTGAGGCCGAATAATGAGGGCGAGAAGGAAAGAGGAGGGAGGGGGGAGGGGGAGGAGGGGAGGAGGGAAGAGATAATAGGAAGAGGAGAAAGGAAGTGAGACTGGGGAGAGAGAGGGTGAGTCCTCGGCGTGAGTGTCAGGATCGGAGAGGAGAGGAGAAAGCGAGAGGGAGCGAGTCAGGGGAAACCAAAACCGAACGGCCAGTTGGGCCGCACTTGGCAAGGGCGGGGCGGGCGGCAGAGAAAACGGGGCGGCTGTCACATTTAGATTTCTGGTGGTTGGAGCCTGGTCGTAGGAGCAGTAAAAGGATGAAGTCGGAAGAGGCATGCAATGAGGGTGGTTCATGGGCTGGAGCCGTGGGTGACTGGGCTTGGGTTGCAGCAACAACCCTCGCGATGCAGGGCGCGTTGGGGTGATGAGATGGAACAGTGGCAGTGGTTGCAGTGGTGGTGGCTCACGAGGGGGACCAACGAACTACTCCTACTTAGTACTTAGTTAGTCCCGAATCAACGAATGAACCGCCGACCCCTGGAACCCATCGAGCCCGGAAACGGCCAGTGTTCGATCCTCCCCCGGAGACTCCCTAAACTTTGAACTCTGAAAGTACGTATCATGTACATGGGCTGCCACATTCCATTAGTCACTCTGGGCATCACTGCCTCTCTTTCATGCACGGGGCGTCGTGTTGTACACTGGCAAAGTATAAGAATAGCACAATGGACAGCAATTGCAGTATTGCAGACGTCTTTCAGATCAGATCCTGTGATGACTAATGCAACATCCCCCCAGGCTCGGTCTCTCTTTCACTCTCTCCTTCTCCTTCCCCCCTTGCGGTCCCTGGCCAGTGTCCAGGCTAATCATCACCTTGCATCTTAAACGCCGTCCTGAACATCCCGCGTCTCATCACGTCAGGGTTTCAATCTGATACCCAATAAAAGGGCCGCCCAATGGAAACGCCGTGCAGGAAATACGCTTTCCTTTTCCCCCCACATCTTCAGCCATCCAATGCATTGTCATTCCCGATTTCTTTTCCTTGATTTCCCCCGACTCCCAAGCAAGACTCCTGTCGAGCCAATACTAAATTGGGCCCGAGATTAAGAAAGACAGATGAGCGCTCAGTCAGCCCATGCGCGTCCCACCTGTAGCTCAGCTCAGCTCATGAGAGGATCCCCGCCCGACGCACCGATCATGTCCATGGATCACCACATAACGACCAATCCCTTCCTGTAAATTTGTCGCGCGCATATGTTCGCATAATAACCCCTGGCCCGGCACGCGCCATCCCCTATCCGACGAACGACACCACGAGAAAGAGACGGGTCCCTCCGACCCGTATACGCACACGCACACGCACACGCACTAGCCCCATGTCACGCTGAACTCGTCCACACCCATCGTACCAACGCTCGTCTTTTCTTGCTGCGAGAATTCCTTGTATTGTAGACTGTTATCAAACAGCTCCCGTCTCATGCGTTCTTCGTGCCTTTGACCACCTCTCCCCGGACCTTCGTCCAGTCAATGTCGTTGTCGATGCCTTCGTCGACCTCGCCGCAGAGTACGACATTGTCACCTCGGATCAGGTACAGGCCATGTTCGATTTGGGAGCTCGGTTCCGGGTCGTCGGGGGTCCGGATGATCCGCTCGATCGTGTCCAGAAGAACCAGATTCGTCAGCTGATCGGTGGACAGTAATGTCCCAAGAAGTGTCCGTCCGTCAACTGTCAGGATGCATACTTTCTCTGCGTATCAAAAAAGCAACTGTCAGCCCTCATCTGAAGGGTCGTAATAAAGCCAGAGAAAGAAAGACAAGACAAGCCATTGCGTCGATAAAGGTCATTGGAACGGAAATACTCACTGTTGATATACGAGTGAAGAGACATGATGCAATGGAGGGAAAATTAAAGATTAGGGTTTGAAATAGTAAACCAGCACTTGAGCTCGGCGATGTATGCGGAGAAAGCAGAAGCGTAGACTTCGTCTATTCGAATTGGGGCCGTGAAAGAAAGATCACAAGGATAGTCAGCGTTCCTAAAAGGGCCGAATGCCAATTGTCCACCAGGTTCAGGCTAGTAGTCCGACGTGCAGCAAATACTTCGACGCTGCGTTTTGCTCCTCAAATTGGGGTGAACGGCCGAGTAACCCTGCTTTCCGTAGGCTGACTTGAAGACTGATGTGACTGCCGCGGGGAGAAAGCGCCAGGCGAATAAAAGGGTGATTGTGGAGGAGGAAGCAGCGCAGAGGTCTGGCTGAGATGTTGACTTCGGCTTGCTTCTCCGGACTCTCGCAGCTTCGATGCGGCGGCCGCGCATCACGTGATGGAGCTGTCCCGTGCTGCCTTGACGATCGATCAGATAAGCCTCGTGGTTACACTGCGATTGTGATGCCCGTCTTTCCCTTCTACAAAATCTGTAATCCACGATGGTAGTTACGTAACGACTCTCTTCGTTCCTAGCTCCCACTGGTACTAACGATATGCGAGTTGCTAAGCAAGTTTACAAGCTTGAAGAATGCGCTAATTCCACGCGAATCACGACGACACCTCATCCAGCCAATGCGCTTAGGTCCAATGGCACACTGCTACCTCGTCCAGCCCGGTACCGTTTGGTACCTCCCACAAATGGCCGTGGCTTGGGCAACAAGCCTTCGCTCTGGAATTTGAACCGATGATCGTCCACCCGAACTAGGCCGTGTCCACCTGAATTCCAAGGGCTCGATCCCGGTGACGGCCCGCCGTTGCTGAGGGTATAAGCGCTCGGATCCAGTGTAGAACGATCTGGTTGATGACCGATGGGTGACTCATAGGATGAAGGTCGAGGAGGTGCTATTGCAGAGGGCTGAGGGGTTGGCCGCGATGGTGGCTCACTTGGAGGGGCGACGGGAGGAGCACTGGGAGGAGGAGGTGGGGGAGGCGCTGAGGGGGCCGAGGCAGGTGGAGGAGGTGGTGGCGGTGACGGATGACCATGTCCAAAAGCGTTTCGAGCAGCTTGAACTGCGATGGACGCAGCCGCCGTGCCGTTCGGCGGTTGTGGAGCAGAGCCACCAGGAGGTGGGGGAGGGGGTGGAGGGGTAGATCGTGCCGGCGCCGGAGGAGGGCGGGGAGCAGAGACTGCTGGAGGGGGCGGCGGGGCTGCAGCTGGAATTGCTGAAGGGGGAGGAGGTGGGGGCGCAGGGGCAGAAGGCTTCCTGGTAGATAGGGGCGGCGCCGGAGGTCTTGCGGAGCCCGGCAGCGGTGGCGGCGCGCGTGGAGGAGCGTCAGGGGCTGATCTGCTTGACGCATTCGAGACTGTCGATGAGGGCCTTGACGCCGGCCTTGGAGGGGGTTTCCGGAGATTAGCGACCAGCGGGTTCACTGGAGGAGCAGGCGGCGATTCTGTCGCGGGCGGGCGAGGGGGAGGTCGGGCACCTGGCGGCTTCGGAGCGGACACAGCAGGGGGCGGGGGAGCGCTCCGCGATCCCTCCGAATCCGATAGATACGGCGAGGACCGAGTAGCCCCAGTGTCAACGCCTCCCCGACTGCGCAACTTGGGCATGCCTCCCGCAAAGAGGCCTCCCAGTTGAGGCGCCGCCGGGGCGCCCGCCGCAGCATCAGCTCCTGCACCAGTATCGCTATTGCTTCGTAGCCTGTTCGCCGCTTGTGCCGGAGGTGGTGGTGCCAACCCGGCCGGAGGCTTCGCCATGCCGGGAACAGGCGGAGCGCCTGGAACTGCGGGACCAGAAGACTTTGCTCCTCCACCTGAAAGCACGGGTGCTGATCTATCGTTGGTCACGGTCTTCTTCAATCTTGCGCCTTTGTGGATGTCGGAGAGCAGTGCGCCCTGCACGAGACATTAGCAGATGAGCGAACCCCAGCCTGGTTGGCGGGACTTACTCGACCCTTGACCTCTGCATTTGAGGGTCTGCTGGGCATACCCCCTGGAGGGGGAGGAGGCGGGGGAGGACCCCCCATCCCTCCGGGCGGCGGCGGCGGCGGCGGCGGAGGGGGAGGCATGGCTGTAGACGATGAGGTATAACACTTGCAATCGGGAAGGATGGATGAGTGAGTGAACGATCACGGAGGGATCAATCTTTTGGGGTTGAATGGACCATTTGAGGTCTGATGCAACCGGGGAGCGGGTGGCGTAGAAGAAAGCAGCTGCCTACGGGGCGTTGCTGATGATGGAGGAGGAGGAGCAGGAGAGTCGAGGGACGTCAGGTCGATAGACGGACGTACCTGGAGCCAGACCCGCTCTGTGGCGGCGGCAGTACCACCCTCTCCGCCTTGCCTTTGCGCAACTCTCGGCCCTTCTCTCGTCCGTTGGCTTTGCATTGTTCTCCCCACAACCACAATCATGCTCCCCACCAGAGGCATTGCCTTGAGAGGCCAGAAGGGCTCCCGGCCACAAGCCCTGGCTTGTCAGCTCTGCCAACGACCCGCATCGCCCGCCCCTATCCCTCAATCAGTGGCTGCGCGGTCCTACGCAAGCAGCCCATTGACTCGGAATGCGCGCGGCCAATTGCGACCACAGAAGGGCCTGAGAAGCCCCTGGACTGCGATCACATACAATCCTACCCCTAGACGGTTCGAATCAACCAAGTCCAACCATCTCACATCGGTGGACTTTGACGAGGCGGTGGCCCAGATTGCCCACGAATGTGCGGAGCTTCGGAAAACGGATTCTGTGCCTCCCACCGACAAAGTTGTGAAGCTGCTGGAACGATGCCAGAAAATTGCAGAAGCTATAGTCCTGCCGGAGCAGGACACCGGCAAGGTGAAATCATCGTCAAAACAGCAGCCCGATGAGATCTCATCCCTCCTGGATTTAGAGGAGGGGAAGACTACACGGAAACAACAGCAATCCACCTCTCTGCCCCGAAAGACCCCCGAACAGATCATCGACCGCCTCTGCAAAGCCGTTCACGAACTCCTGACGGACGAAAAGGTCTTCATCTCCCCCGAAGCGTTGACCTGCTACACCAAGATCCATGCCTTGCTCAAGCGCCCCGACCACTTCCCGGAGATCTTCCACCTGTATGCGAATAAGCCGGTTCCGGAGGAGAACAGCTCTCCTGTCAAATACCACAAGGCGAACCCCCGGAGCATTAACAGCGCCGTGCCGGTGGAACTTGCGGATATGGCTCTCGAGGTTGCGATCGATCAGCGGAACCTGTCACTGGTGTTGGCCATCATCGATACCACCTTCTGCACTCCGGCATTCCGTCGCGCGAAGCTCTTCAAAAAGGCTGCTGTCCCGCTGGGTGGATTGGCGGCGGCCCCTGCGGCCTGCTACACTATTGCGTCCTGGGCCGCGACGCTGCAGAACACGATGGACCCCAGCACCGCGACGGGTATCGCTTTCGCCGCGACTCTGGCATACGTCGGAGGCATCTCATCGGTTGGAATTCTCGCTATCACGACGGCCAATGACCAGATGGAGCGTGTGGTCTGGCAGCCGGGTGTGCCGCTTCGGCACCGTTGGCTGCGTGAGGAGGAGCGGGCGGCATTTGACAAGGTTTCGCTGGCGTGGGGATTCAAGGATATCTACATGCGAGGCGAAGAGGAAGGCGAGGAGTGGGATACTCTGCGGGAATTTATCGGTATGAGGGGGATGATTCTAGACAAGACGGATTTGATGGAGGGGATGCAATAGCATGCATGCCTTTCATGTATTTACTGTACCATGGACACATCACAACGACCATCTACAACACACTACACTGCACACTACACACTACAACCACCCTACAACAACTCTACAATAAATATCCGATATAGCACCAGATAAGAACCAAACCATCAAGGGTAACATTTCTCAAGTACCTAAACCGAGACCTACATAACCCCCGACAAACATTTAGCCCTTAAAAAAAAAACCCCCCCAACGAAGCGCTTAGTACAGACGCTTAGGAGGAGACATGGTAGCCTTAAGGACAAGGCTACCAACGTTCTGCCAGCCCTTCTTGAGCAGAGAGACGAGGTAGTTGATGGCGAGCATGACGTTAGCGACGAGCTCATCCTCAGTCATGCCAACGTTGCCGACGGCAACACCGAGGCAGAGAACCTTCTTCAGCTGGAACTTGATGGTCGACTTGACCTCGTTGACCTTGTTGGCCATGTCCTCGGCGTGGGAGACGGGGGTGGGGAATTTACCGGCTATACCATATCATTAGCACCGTTGCCATATCGCTTCACACTCGGAGGGGAAAAGTAAAAGAAGGGGGCTTACCCTTGGAAAGACCAGGACCCAAGAGACGAGGAATCTGCTTGATGAGGGTATCGGAAGCCAAGAAAGCATCGTACTTGCGAGCAAGCTTCTTGATGAGCTTCTTGTTCTTGTTCAGCTTCTTCAAGTCATCGGCCGACATGGCATCAATGCCGTGGTGCTTGGCACGGTCGAGATCGTGCTGGTCACCGAGAACACTATACATCACCTGTCAGTATTCCGCTTCGTTTCGAGTTGTGTCATTTCGCCTCGTCGGTCTGTTGCGGGGAGTCGTACCAGATGCTCATGTTAGGACGGGGAACAGTAGGCAGCTTGATGGTACCGGAGAAACGCTTGTCACGCTGGGGGTCGTAGTTCTTCAGACCGATCTGGAGCTCGACGGTCTCGAGGAAGTTACGCTTCTTCTCATTCTGAGAGTAGTTGAGCAGCTGCTCGATGTTCTGGCGCACTCCGGCTATTCTTCTTATCAGCCACTCTATCCATAACTGGGCGATGCCGAGCTGAGGGTGGTAACATACCGACTGTGATCTTCGACATCTTGCTGACAGTCTTCCAAAAGAATACTTCTTATGGTGTGGCTCTGCGCTGAATCGTTCAAGATCAAGAGAAAAGTGAGGCCGCCTTGGGCGCCCGGGAGAAAATCCGTTCTCCGCTTGTGTGGGACGCTAGCGGTGTTGGGTTTAGCGCTGCCCTAATGGTGCTGAGTCAGGGTACATAATTATGTAAGCCAGTCCTACATGGATAACCACTGGTTGTACTTCGTGGATTTCGCCAGTTTCATTGCAAGTATGTTCGGTTTTTGGGGCAAGTCTTAGTAGATCAAAAATGGCGTGATTATGAAGAAGACTGAGATACTTGTTTCAACTCTTCCGTTCCTGGCGCGCTCTATCCGGCTACCATTTTCATAGTATACCTTAGTACAATGCATTCTTTGTTTGCATGACCTTTCTGGGTCTGTTAGATTATGGGTACACTTATATTCATTGATCGGTTATATCCATTGTTATCTGTTGCATTCCTTCGTGTATATGATCATAGACGATCCAGGAAGCTCTAGACTTAACTAAGCTGCCAATTCTTGTATCCCAGATCGCAGCTATGTATCATAAAGACCAGGATTATTCAGGTCAAGATTATCCCAATCCCAGATCTGACTGAACTCACCCATATCCATGCTAAGGATGTCATCCAGTCCCGTGAGTCCGTCGATTGTTCCTGAAGGATCAAGCCCTGCCGGCAGGGCCATATCCATTCCGCCTCCAAGAATGTCTGAAGACGTGAAATTGACATCATACGCATCGACATTGACAATTGTCGCCGATTCAGCATGCACAGAAGGAGGCGTTTGAGGCCCTTCCAGTGATCCTTCCGGGGTTCTAGAGGACAGCAAAGCCTTCTCTTCCGGAGAGAGAGGCATGCGGCCGGTAAGCCTCGCGAGAACCGAATAACAGGTGGCACCGGCTTTAGTGGTTTGGGATATCTGCTCCAGCGCATCGAGCCCTATGCCAATCGTTTCAAGAGCTTTGTCCCGGTGTGCAAGATTCCGGGCGCGGTCGTGGATGATTGCGGAGCAGAGAAATGCAGCCGTGTCGAATATTAGGAAGGGCGCAAAATGGAACTTTCCACTGGCCGGGAGCATGTGCGCTAGCAGTGCCCGGGCTGAATCCATCACTTTCGTGGCGCAGTCCACCGCCGCTGGTTGGAGGCTCTTCTCCAGGCTAGGCTTGCTTGGGTCGGCGTCGATGGTTAAACATTGCTTCAATGGCATAAACATGACCATGTAGCTTACGGCATAGAGTTGATGCCGCTGTAAAGGCACATAGCGGTGGGAATGGTCCCAACGGGTATCCGGGTTCGTACGTCTATATGCCGGGGGGAACATTTCAAACCATCTCTCAATTTCTTGCTGGATAGCAATGGCCTGATTGGGCGATAAGATACCACTCATCACGCCAGGGATTTTCGAGATTGCCAGCCCTAATTGGCTCTGAAGGGCTATATGTGTTACGGGCGATGGCATGTCGGTCCCTGCGTCGGCAGTCTCCAGCCGTACGTTGGGTAACTCGAAAGAGCAATAATTGCTGTTGATGATGAAAGGCCGTGATAGTAGTAGCGACATTTGCCAATCCCAAGTGTACAGGAGACACCAAATTCGCCGTCTCATCTCCCGTTCAAATTCGGACACCTTCGCCTTGGCGGGACTTCGGTGCATGCCTACCGCCGATTAACAACTAATTATACACATGTAGAGGGACTACCAACCTAACTCCTGAGCTTCGTGGATTGCAGCACTCAAGGCATGCCACGACTCGATAAATAATGCCTCGGTCTTGTACCATACCGCATTGATGAACAACTGTTGGACTTGCGTTAAGCCACCCTTGCCGGGGCTCATTGTACTGCTGAGTTGATTGGCAGTCCGATGATACTGCTCGGCTAGATCGTGAGAGTTTTCGCCCAATTCACTCTCGAGTCTCTGCATCGCCTCCACATCCAAGTAAAGGGTGGCGCATGCACAAACCTGCAGCAGCAGGGCCGTGAACTCTGGAGCTAGCGATTGGCCACTGGCTTTTCCTGACCACCACGCAGCGTAATCGTGCAAGAAAGTCGGCGGGTAAAGACAGTAGTACTGCTCGTTCATCTCACTCAGAAAATGTTGCACCAGCATATCTGTAAGATTAGCAGCGTATCCACATCTGGAATTCACACTTACCTGTATACGGTTTGGGAGGAAGAGTGCGGATTGCTTTTTCCAGTTCTGATGGTATAGTTCCCTGGGGATTTGGTGATATTACAGCAGATTGCTGGACCAATCAGCGATCAGTGTAACTGGCCAGAACTTGAGTCTCACGTATTGGTCAGGCCCTTCCTTGAGCAGGTTGTCGGGGAGGTATCCCAGCATCCGGAAATCCTCCCCACTGGCAACGCCGCCAGCATTCTGAAAGTCGGGTACTGCGTCTGCATTATTCGTAGGGGTATGAGTCCTGATGGAGTTAGCAAGTGGTCGAACCCGGCATTACTGCAGCCGACCTTTCATTACTGGCAGGCTTAGCCTTGAGCACCTTCTTGGGCGTGAATTTACAGAGATGAGCGATTCGCCTTGATTGGCAATGATTGCAGGGCCATTCCCGGCTACACTGATCTCATGGTTAGATTGGTTGGATCCACTCGTCGGGATGCTTGCCTTTTGCTTCCGCCGCTGGCACTCGGTGCAAGCTGTAGCCAAACGGACTGTTTTCCCGGACCCTTGATTCTCCATGATGCCAAGCCGGAGAACTTGTGACCGGCTACAGTGTCGAGGTTAGAGTCCCGAAAGTCGCACCACTGGGGACCATACCAAAGAAGCCAGAGTATGACCGCCATCTGGAATGCGTGAACCACCGACCCCACCGATCAGGTGACTGATTAGTCAGGCTCCTGCTTTTTCTTAACTTCCAATACCAAGTCAACGAGGATTCACCCATGGGACTTTCTATTATGCTTGATTCTGTTGGCTCGTGCGATGTCAGCTATGCTGGTCAGAGTGGGTGCATCTCCGGACCTTGGGACCTGTTTCTGAGTCTGCATCACCTCTACCAATAGCTAGCTTCTCTACTTCGTGATACCTCCCGTCACTATCTAGCAAATCCCCACACTATATAGTGAATACACTGCTCTTGTTGTTCCTTCACGACGTAGCATTAAGAACCTGGCAATATTCGTCTTTGGACAATCATACTACTCTTGGTCGTCATATGAATACTTCCTTCACATAGATTTCTCGGGACCGAATACTATCATCCCGCTCAGCATGACCACCCCTAATCTCAACGTCCTGTCCATTTGCCCTGACGGCTTCAAGTTCCGTTTCTGCGAAAAGGCTCGCTTAGCCTCATGGTAGAGCACAACCATTGACCATATCGTTGTTTCCGTCCGAGCAATGGCGGTCCTTATTTCCGCCGCCCCGTGACATGAGTGTGCGAAAGGCACGATCGAAGACGGATCGGAGGTAAATATTACTGGAAACGATGTGTTGCTCCATCCTCGCTCGCCATTCAGATATGGGACTTCGGCAAAGTCAAGGTGTAGAAGGACATCGAGACGGATGGCGGCAATATCGTCGTCCTGACATTGTTCAAACTTTTATTTAGCAGATGTAACATAACGAGAAAGAGAATGAATGCACTACCAACTCACCATGCTGAAGATTGCGAGCAGACCTAGCCGATTTGCCAGCGGAAGCTGAAGGCGCAGCACCGGGCGAAGGGGTGAGAGATTCATATGCAAGGTCAGCGTTGATAGGAGGGATGAGGCATCACCTTTTGTATGGCAGCTATCATCCGCCATCGCAGGGATGGAGAAGCTCGTTGGATCGTTCTGCAAGACCAGCGAGCAGCTGCTGACATACCTTCTGAACTGCCCCACGCAAACAGACCAACACCCAACACAGCCGCCTACTGCCAAAGTCCGTTTACGCGCTGACCATAGACCCATGATTCAAGCAAATCGCGGTGGAACTGGAGGCAAGACATCAAGATAACCGGGATAAGCCTCACGATCTGTACCCGGATACCAATCATGTCCGGTGAAACAGCAACGGAACACAAGATCGGGGGATTATGACTGGATCCATTGCGTAACATGCAGAAACGACAAGGTTCCTCGGAAGATATTCAGGCTCAGCCATCTGCATTATCCAAGCTGCATGACATCATGAAACAGTATTATTCCAACAGTCCGATTCTAGGGGGCTCAATTAAAAGGCTTTCATGGTCTCGCTGCTCTCAAGAGCAAGCCTTTGTTAGTACCCTAATGTATCCCCGTCCCGATCTGATCATAAAATGGCCTCCGTCGCACGCATCGATGTTATTAAGCGGCTACAGCATGAAACAATCACGATCAAAGGGCTTCGCTCAGCCTTTGCAGGGTGGCCGTTCGGTATTAATCAGCACCTGGATCAAGTACGAGCGGATGTTGAATATACCCTGAGAAGGTAGACATGGCAGATATTCTGACAAGAGGCTTCATCCTAACTCGGACGTAGTCGTTTTAAGAATCACCCCAAGCTACAGAAGCTACTCCGAGGAGACTATGGGCTTTTGGGAGCGACATGGTGGCCGTGCGTGAATTACAACGAACTCCTTCTTGCCACCTATCTTCCCTTATGGGTAAGCCGACCCTGCATTAGACACTCGACACAATCGCGACTAACGTGCTAAAGCTCTTCATGTGGGATGACGGTACATTCTTGCTTCCACGCACTGTGTTCTAACTGGAAACGCATAGAGCTGGACTCGGACGTTGGAGAGCTTACCCACAATTTCAACGCAGGGCAACTCTATCGAGCAGAAACCCTAGAATTTGTAAAGACCCATCTTGGCCTCGGTGACCAGGTGGTTACTACAAGTAGCAATGGTGTGATTCAGAGTTTCGACCACATTGGAGCTGCCTTGCGCTCATCGTGTATTGGTATGTGCTTGCCGCAGTCTAATTTGACACCTACTAAGTGCTACAAATCAGACCAGCGGAGGACACTTCTCAAAGAGATCCAGTTCTTCATGGATACATCAGAAGTAGAGCAATCGCTCCGCCTGAGAACCGGCCTTGTGACTCTGGATGAATTCTCACGATACCGTCCGGGAACGAGCGCGGTGCGAGTGGTTCTCGCGATCAATCAGTCTAGTACCCTCTAATAGTATTTCAGAGTAAGCTAATAGTCCCTAGATACTGCTATGGCATTGACCTTCCTGCGTATGTTACCGAGGATCCAGACTACGATGCGCTCTGGCACCTGACCAATGTCAACATATGCAGGTAATTTTTCATGGTAGCCAGTTGACTTTGAGCTCACTCAATATAGCGTGAATGACCTTTTGTCTGTCAAAAAAGAGCTTGTTCGTCTTCCACACCGGTCATGACCTATACTATGATGTTCACTGTAATTGAACAGGCTCATGGATCTGCCGAGAGTCTTATACCAATCCTCTATGCTGAGCTTGGATCCGCCCAGAAAGCAGCAGAGCAGATCATGCGAATCATCACACTGTCCATTGCTGAGTTTGACCAGACGGCAGAGAGGCTTGTTGCCCGACATGGGGGAAACTCTGCAAAGTTAGCCAAGGAGCTTGAAACGTTCATAATCGGCTGCCGATATGACTGCACTGGAAATTTGGCATGGAGGTACGTGCATCTGTGATCCTCGGTCACGGCATCCGCTAAGTCCGATTCATTCTTGTAGCTTGTCAACGGGACGGTATGAGGTACATCAGGAACTCGACGACAAGCTTACCATCGCACTTGGCGGGTGGGATCAAGGCATCTTGCAGCTTGGATTCGAACGACACAGCTAGTACGGGTCATCCGCATGGTCCAGTTGGATTGCTTGATCATGCTACAGAGACCAGCATGAAACAAGCCATGAACATGAGGTTCTCGGGAGAGATCGTGCGATGGTATAGGTGAGTTGCTGCACTATATCTCAATGTACCTTGAGTATATGTTCTCTCGGCAAACCCAACCCTTCCAACTTTGACAATACAGCCAAACAATGCAAATAATGGTCCCGTTGCTGCTCTCCACCATATGTAGCCAGCTCCACAGCGCTGTGTTCCGTAATACTGCTCGTACGATGAGGTGGTCTCGATTTGAGGCTAGGCCAGTGATGAAGTGAGATTGAGGTAGCGATATCATCACGCAATATAACATAAGACTGAGATAAGGAATGGCTGATAATATCGGGAGGCCGTAATCCGAGTCCAACTACAGTAGTCCTGCCTAGTCCCTGCATGTGCAGGATAGGGAATGTTGGGAAGAATCTAGCGACATCACCGAGAGGACTGATCAGTCTGCTATACCACGATCAACTGAACATCCATATCTAACACTTAGTCACAATGATTATATTCACATCACATCATATCCAGTACAGCACTCATTCTAACATTAGAAACATCATATCTATCACAATCTATACACATGACAGTCTTATATAAGGTAGGTATCTACAACCTCCCCTGCACCAACCCCACCTCCCTCTCCTCCACCACCTCCTTGACCACAAAATCCACCGGCGGATACGCCTCAACAAACTGCAACCTCCTCACCAACTCCTTCCACGACTCCAACCCTCTCCTCGCATGCTCAACAACAACCCCCCTCCCCTCCTCCGCCAGGGTCCTCGAAAACAGCTCCAAACTCACCCACCCCTCAAACCCGGTATCAAAGAACGCCCTCGCGGTCTCCTCAATGGGCAAATAACCCCCCCTCTCCTCCTCAAACGCAAACAACCTCGCATTCCTCGACCAATTCATCCGCACCGGCTGGCCCGGCACATGAAACTCATGCTCCTCATCCAACGGCCTCTCCAACCTCTCCCCATCCACGACCTGCACATAAAACACCTTCTTCACATCCACCGTCTCCCTCAACTTCCTCAACGACTCCCTCAACGCCTCCTCCGCCCCCACCACCATCCCATCCGCCCTCCCCGGATCCGCATACACCCGTCCCGCCAAATTAAACGTATCCAAACAGATCCCAAAATTTGTCCGATCCACCTTACACACAATCTCATACGCCTCATCCCATAAACTCACCCGCGTCCCCCACGCCAACGCCTCATACACGAACCGAAACGGGGGGGACTCCTTGGCTCCCAGATCCGCGAGCCGTTGCAAGTCCCCCACAATCACATCCCGATCCCCGGTGGTTTCATTCTCGGGGGCAAAATTCGACGGCACCTGGATCATATCCGTGCCGAGGATCCGAGCGAGTGTGAACCATTTAGGGAGTTTCTCGGTGAGGAGGAACTCGGTTTGTGTGCGGTCGGTGAGGCCCTCGAAGAACGAGAACGGTTGGAGACAGATGATGGTGAGATGGAGGGAGGCGCAGAGTTGGGCGATGGCGTGCGCGGCGCTGATGTGGTTGCCTGAGAAGTGGCTCCGGGCGTAGTGGTCGAGGTCGTCAAAGAAGAGCTCGATGCCGGTGTAGCCGTATTGCGCGGCGACGCGGAGCTTGTAGGGGAGGGAGTGGATGCCGGGACGGCCCAGGGACATGGAGGCGATGCCGAGACGGTTGGGCATGATGTTTTTTCTTGGTATTTCTGGTCTTGCTTTGAGGTTGGGAAGTGGTGGCGGTGGTGTGGTGATATATAACGAAGCAAGCAAAAGCAAACAACAACCGATCGATCGATCGAAGTCTATCTCGTACTTTTCTATCTCGACAATCGAATCGAAAGTATATTCCCAATAAAGGATAGAGATAGCGAATCAACCCGTATCTAGCCGATCGTACCCAAATACTTCTTCGGTGAGATCAATCAAACCGAAGGATCAATCAATATCACAAGTCAAGCAATCCGGATCACTTCCGCAAAAGCAATTATCTGATCAAACAATGTACTTTCTTTGCTTCTGGGAGGGAATTGCCACTACTTGAATGGTATTTACTAGTTAGGGTTGTCGTAATTTCCTTGTCGGGGGAAAATGGATGGGTGGATCGGGGATGGGGAAAATGGATGATGGGGCGTCGCGGGAAAGCGCTTTTCCAGTTAATTTTATCCGGTGCTTGTCTTTACTCCGTAGTTTAGTCTGGGAGTGTGGTGCTCCGTATTGTGGAGGAGGGACGGGAGAGGAGTGGCGGGTAGAAGAATACTGCCGGTGGGTGTGGGTCGGTGGTGCCATTTCCCCTTCGCCTCCCTTCCTTTTCACGGATAAGAGTGAGCAAAGGTTTAAGTTATTTATCCTTTATCCCCCGTCTGCATTCTACAGTGTCTGTCTGCCCTGAATTCTGGGTGTGGCGGTCTTTTGACTTTTTACCAACTTTACTTTATTCTGGGCATGCTATGCCAAGTCTACAATGGGATAGAGGTAAGTCAATATTCAAACATTCAACACCACTTCATTCATTCATCATTAACACTTAGCAGACTACATCACTGCTGCAGGCGCAGGCAGAAGAGGCATCATGCAGTCTCCACCTGCTCAACATTTCCCTTCGAATAACCACTCTCCTCCAAATCGTGGCGGAAGCGTTCCTCGTCCTCGTGAATCTGGGCCAACACCGTCGCGTGGGCGCGCCACACAGGCTTGGTCTCGAACAACGGGTCCATGTTTTCCAACGGAATGCCCTTGGTTTCCGGGATGAGGAAGTATACGAACGGGATGGACAGCAGCATCAGAGTGGCGAAGAAAAAGTATACCCCATAGTCCATGGCGGCGAACATCTGCGGCGTGAAGCGCGAGATCAAGAAGTTCCACAGCCAGTTGGATCCGGCGGCGCAGGCTTGTGCCAGGGATCGCACGTTGGGGTCGAACATTTCCTGCGTCGGTTAGCTATTTGCAGAGAGAGAGAGTGTGTGTGTGTGTGAGGGGAGGGAGGGCTTACGGCATTGATGACCCAGGGCGTGCCGTTCCAGGAGGGCGTGTAAAACGCCGTCCACAGATAAAAGAAGAAGATGGCGGCCACACCACCCCCGTTGAGACGATCACTGGTGTTGTGCGTGGGATCGACCACCTTGATGTACGACCCCACAATCCACATGCAGACGGACCCTCCAGCGGCTCCGATCAGCAGCAACAGACGTCGACCCACACGGTCGATCAGGTAAAGCAGCCAGATGATGGTGACGACCGTCTTGACCACGCCGAAGATGCCGGTCGTCAGCAGACTGGCGCTGTTACCCTTGAGTCCGATGCTCTTGAACACCGTCGGACTGTAGTAATTGATGGCGTTGATGCCGGATCCGTTCTGCCAGAAGAACAACATACTGCCCAGGAACAGCCGATATAAGATCTTCTTGTTGGTCCAGGCCTCCTTGAACGGTCTCCAGAAGCCGAGCCCGATGGTGGACCGCTGATGCTCCAGCGTCTGATCAATGGCCCCGATCTCCTCGATCATATAAATATGATCCTGCGGGATCTGACGAATCCAGCAGAGATTCCGAATGGCCTCTTCCCGCTGACCACGCATGAACAGCCACCGGGGGGACTCCTTGACCAAGAGGATACCAATCATCAGTAACCCGGCGGGGATCAACTGCACCGCAAAGGGGATGATCCACTGTTTGTGACTGGGAGCCATCGTCTGCTCGACACCATACTACTCCTGTTTAGCAATCGTAGCATACCCCATAGGCAGTAGTAGGTATACTCACATTAATCCAAAACCCCACCAGCCCCCCAATCTGCCACCCCAACTCATAAACCCCCACCAACCGCCCTCGAATCGCCGGGGGCGCCAACTCCGAAATATAAATGGGCGTAAAATTCGACCCAGCCCCAACCCCCAACCCAGCCAACACTCTCCCCGCATAAATCAGCCCCAACCCACGCTCCCCATTCGCCCCCAACATCAACCCCGACCCGAGCATAAACACCACCGCCGAGAGCATCAGCCCCCACTTCCTCCCCCAAAAGTGCCCAATCGGGTACGCGAAGAACGCCCCGAAGAACGCCCCCGCCTGGTAGCACGAGACGATATTCGCACTCACGAGATCCTGGGTGGCTGTGGACATGGCATCCCAGTGGAACTCGGCCTTGAAGGAGTCCAGCGAGATGGTGGTGCCGATGAAGGCGCTGTCATAGCCGATCATGCATGATGTGCAGGAGGCCACGGCGGCCAGGAGGTAGATGCGCCAGTTGTAGACTTCTTTGGGGGTGGGTCGGTCTTCGACCATGGAGAGGATGGACATGGTGGCGTGTATCTTTTCTGTAGATACTATAGAAAGGAGGAATGAGAGGGGACTACTGGATGGGAAACGAGAAAGGGAAACTAGTGATAGACGGCCGGTAGGTGCTTTATATACCTTATTCCCCGGACATCACTCCAATCCCGGGGGTGGAGTCCGGAGGCAAATAAACAGGTGATGGAGATCCTTTACCCCAGATTCTTTACTCCGTGCTACGAGACTTATCGAATACCCAGAGTGGGAAAACGAATGGCGGCAAATGATATTTGCGATGCAGCACAGGATCAAGCACTGACACTCACTCTACCATAGATAGAGGGATAGAGACATGATTGGAACGACTGAATAAAACTCCTGGGGAGAAGACGAGCCATGGACGGCCTCGTGTCGCGCACGGACCTCCCTTGGAAAATTCTCCACGGTGCTGGATTGGGGCACGGAGACGACATTTGCGGGGAATTGACCGGTGCTGGGTGATGGGTTGGAGCGTGCCAATAAAGTCAATTTGGTTGGTTGGGTGGTTGGCTCCGGGATCGGAGGATGGATTCCAGTAGGACGGGGAGGACGGGTCATTAAGCCAATGAGTGTGGGTGTGGGAGGATTCCCCACGGGGAAGAATACACCATACTAAGAAGTATACTAGCCTGCTAAGTAAAGTCGGTCTAGATGATTGAGACGAGAAAATCCCATTGTGGGGAGTCGGCTGGATGGCACAGCCATTCAGATAGCCCGGACAAATAGGTACAACATACTCCGTAGTACGGAGGACTGACTGCAGCAGCATGACAGCACCCAAACATTCACAATACACTATCACCAATCTACCCATAAAGAAAATAATCCAAATTACACACTCCCTACATCTAATCACACTTATATGAACAGACTACAGACATAGAGGATAGTAGCTCAATCGGCTCGCCGGCAAAGCGCTCACCCCCGGCCAAGTGCTTAGCCTGCCGTGGAGGGGCCCGCCCGCCACTCAACCCAGGCAATACTCTCCTCCGACCAACCCATGCATCCATGGTATGTAGATGGATATGGATTGGAATGGATAAGGGAACAAGGTGAGGTAGGTAAAGGTATCTCCGTAAATCTATGACATACTATACATATGCACGCGAGTAGCCAGATTCTTGATTTTCTAGTTCTTCTATTTTATTTGACTTGACTTGACCCCCACCAACTGTGCCATATTTACACTACACAACCACCACCACCACCACCACACACACACACACATACACAATGACAGACATCATCCCGAAATCCATCCTCCTCCTCAACGGCCCCAACCTCAACCTCCTCGGTCTCCGCGAACCCCACATCTACGGCAGCACGACCCTCCCCGACATCGAATCCTCATGCCAAACCCTCGCCAGCACATTGAACTGCACCTTGGAGGCTTACCAATCCAACCACGAAGGCGCTCTGATCGACCGCATCCACGCCGCGCGGGGCAACGTCGACGCGATCATCATTAACCCCGGGGCATACACGCACACGAGCGTCGCGATTCGGGATGCGTTGTTGAGCGTCGCGATTCCGTTTATTGAGTTGCATGTGAGTAATGTGCATGCAAGGGAGGAGTGGAGGCATAAGAGTTATTTTAGTGATAAGGCGAGTGGGATTATTGTCGGACTGGGGGTGCAGGGGTATCAGGTGGCGGTGGAGTATGTGGCCAGACATTGGGCCCCGTTGGAAAAGAAGGGGAGGTTGTGATTCTAGGGGAGGGTAGGATGGGTGGTTGTATATAATTGTTGCTATGCTAGAGATCAATCTCACTGGATCGTCTCGCTGTATATGCACCATATGTACAGTCGTCAATCATGGTCGGCCTGCGGCCAATGCGTCACGGCATCCGTATGAATCGCACCACGTGAAGTATCATCTCTTTCCATTCGAGCTCTCGGCCTGCGACTCCCGTCGCACTACCTCTGCGCACGGCACCTGCTGCTGCGTCTGCGCCAGGAGGAATGGCTCCACCTGGCTCGAGTACGAGTACAGCTCCGGCACTCCGGCGTCGGGCACAAACCCCAGGTTCTGCATGAACTCTGGCTGGTTGTCCGTCCTGACGCTGTCAGTAGTGATCACCATAGAATGATGGTATTCGACTCACTTTTCGGTCCCATCCAATGACGCCAGTTCGTCAAACAACGCGTCCAGGTCCGGCGCGATCCGCGGCCGCCGTGGCGGTCCGTATCCATCAATGTCAACGAACGACCCAAGGTTCAGGCTCGGGTCAGTGTATGTGGGAGTGTACTGCGGTCCTGTCGGGTGAAAAGGGGAGGTCAGGTCCGGCATGATCGGCGTGCCGTTCATCGGTTTGGAGATCGAGGAGCGGGGTTGGTGGGAAAGAGGATTGTGGGAAACAGAGTCTTTGAGTTGAGCGGGAGGATGTGATGTCTCCCCAGGATTAATGTTCAACGATGGGGCAGGTGTGGGAATAGATAAAGCGACATTCTCGTCGACAGTGGGCGTCCTCATCCATGTATTCGAGAAGAAGGCGTCTGGGGTAGCGATGGCCCGACTTTCCTCCAACATGCTCACCCGTCGTGTCGAGTCACCCGGAGCGTGAGAAAAAGCATTGAGAGAACCCGTGTCTCGATTAGAGAGACTTCTCGGTCTGGCAGGCGCTGGTGCCATCGATGTTAAATCCAGCGTCTTCTCTGGCGAAATATTCCCTGTAGGCTTGTCTTTCATATTCCATACCGTCGCCAGATGCGCGGAAAAAGATTGCAGTTTACTCTTCAGGCCTGGGTCCAGTTCAAAGGGAAGAGGGGCCTGTCGCTCTTCAGACATGCCAACCGTGAGAATCATCCCAAAGGTTGGACACGTCGCGGACAGACTGTAGTTCTCCATGTACGTCTGGAGCAGCTGGAGCAATCGTTTCGAACTCTCCGTGGCACGTTTCTTTAGCGGCATCTCGGGCAAGTTCCGGTCGCTCCGTTGCAAGGCAAACTGCAGGCTCAGATTCGCAGCAACACTCTCATACATCATTTCGAGCCCAAATATATGCGGAGAGGCCACTTTCATCGGCGTGCTCTGCAAATCAACCCGGTAGCTTTTCGGAAGCGCCGACACCCAGAGTTGGAGCTGTCGCTCCAGCGCCTCCAAAGGCGCGACCGGGCTCGTCGTCTGCTTGAGGCAGCACAGGTCGTTCAAGATGCACATCAACGAGGTGAGTCGGTTGAACGTGCTCAACGCGTGGAGAGGCCCGCGGTGCAAAGCCCGCGACGGCTCGACCGGGCGCAGACCCGTCTGATCCTCCCATGGATGCCACTCCTCCAGTCCATCTTCGTTGATCGGCCCAATCTTGACCAGGTCGGCCTTGCGTAGCGAAGGAACCTGCCCCGTCTGCATGGCCACCAAGGTCTCCAGAATGAAGCAGCCTAAGAAGACATGCTTGGACCGTGGCGAACTCTTTCCCTCGTTCCCCTTTGCCACCGTCGGTTGGTGTAAACCCAACATCTGAGCAATGCGAACGGCCTGTCCAACCAATACCCACGCAGCCGACCAGTCCTGCTGGCCGAGCTTCACCAGGGACAGGATCAGCAAGGCCTGCACGTGGCCGAGCTCGTGTCCCTCTTCGCCAGGAATGAGACTCCGGGCGGTGGCATACAGCTGGGCCGGATTGACCCGATCGGAAAAGTCGGTCAGCTGACGCGTGGCGGAGATGGAGGCTTCTTGGATGGAGGCCAGCGTCAGGACCGCCCACAGCGCCGCTTGATCCCCGGACCCAGGAGATCCGGCGGCAATTGGGGCGTCATCTTCACTATGGCGAAAGGCAGTTCGTAGGATATCGTGCTTCTCAAGAATAGGAAACCAACATTGGGTATAGGAAAAGTAAATGTCGAGCAAAGGCCATGCATTCGAGGGAAGAAGCGTGGCAGGTTCAACGGGCGGGCGCTGCCCCCGACCAAGCGAGAGGCTTGTGTCTTCCACCGTTTGTGTCGCACAGTCTCGCGTGATGCGCACTCCCCCGTTCCTGACGGTCGATGCGGCGGTCGGGGTTTTGATCGGAGATACCACCGCCAGCGAACCCTCACGCCCATCTCCGAGCACTTCAGGCAGATTCCACTCGAGCACATCCGCCGACAGTACTGCCTCGGCATCCTGCGGGGAATCACTCTCCCCCAACCGATTGCCGGGCTCCTCTTCGGGTTGTTCGAGAAAGGTCAAGAGTCTCTCAATCTCTCGCAGGACGATGCTGTTTTTCCACGACGACAGCAATGTATCTGATCCCTCCGCTTCCTTGCCCATCGTAGCCAGATGACTGGGGATATTGGCGGCCTTGAGCAAGGCCCGCACCACCTCCTCACTGCCTTGAATCTTGTTGAAGACTAACCCCCATAGTAACTCGAGCGTGCGAATGTAACCGGTCGGGAGGCCGCGCTTTTTCGGATTGGCCTTGTAGGTGCAGGGCCGCGAAAGCGAGGCGCAGGTCGAACATACCGGCTGGATGCCATCGCACTTGTCCTTCTTGGAGCGACAACTATCGCAGGCGCGGGAGACTCGTTGGCGTTTGGGATTGGAAGCAAAGTCGTCTGCTGCAGGACTCTGCTTGCTACTTTCTTCGACATCGGTCAGTCGCCGCTTGGACTTGCTGCCGGGCCCGGAGGCTTGGCGCGTGTCGCTGTTCATGATCGTCTATCCAACGGTCCACTAAATAATCCCGGACGCATGTTCATCTTCAGAATGCGCGGCCAAGAGATGAATCCTTTGCCGGCGGCAGGTAGTACCTCATAAATTGGCCCTGGGAGCCGCCCCACCGCAGGAAAGATTAGGCGAGACCAGTTAGCGTCGATGCGAAAACCTGCAAAAACACCAATGGTAGCGGTCAGCGACAGACAAACCAGGATGATTGCTGATAGACGAGGGGGTGAGACCGGAGGAGAGATGGAAGAGATCGAAAGCGGAGAAAGGAAAATTGGCGGACATGACGGCTGGAGGAAAGTTGGGGAAAAGCCGGCCCTAACTGCTTACCCGCGGGTGAGAGCGTCAGCGCCGCCCATGGATGGAGGATCGAGATTGGGGCTACGGGCGCTGCGGTGGAAAGTGTAAACGAGGGGAGGCCCATTAGAACCCGCGGATTGGAAACGCTAAAGATTCCCGGTGGGCAAGATGGAGTAAGGCGCCGGGATCCAGTTTGTGTAGTGCGTACGGTGTAGTGTATAAGTGTGTAATAATGGGTTGTGGAATGTGGATGTGGAGGGGAAATTGGGGGGACACTGCATGCCCCCCCGGGGTGAAGCTGAAAGCTGGAGAGGTACGCGGAGGGCTCCAGACCCTGGTAACATCCCTACCAGCTGGGAGCTGAGAGGCTCCGACCGCATGGCCTCCAGCCGCACACCCACCCCGAAATTGTGGTTAGTCGTGCCTGTGTGCCTCATTGCCTCTGGGGACGCAGGCAACTCCCCGCGGGGTAACCAGGCAGACCAGGAAGTTACTAGGAAGTTAGGAACCGTGCCAACCAACTTCGGCCTCCGGAGTCCATTCCGGGTCTTCCGCCCGCCCTGGTAATTACGGCAAAAATACGCCCAGCGACGGCAGAGCCTTTGTCCGCATCCCACTTGTCCCTTGGCTTCGTACTGGCTCGGCAGTCGCTTCTTCCCCGCGGTTCGTTCGCACTTCGCTCTCCACAATCCACCCTCGTCAACTCCTGCAGCCACCAGGTTCGTTCTCTTGGTCTTCTTGGTCTTCTTGGTCCCTCTCCCTGTCTCCTAGTCCCGTCCCCAGTGGGTGCTGAGCATCCGTCCTCATTGCGCCGCTTACACGAGTAGTTGACTGCCTCCCCGCAAAATCATTCTGTTATCGTCCGTCAGACCAATGCTTACCATTGAATGCGCCCGGTCGGTCCTGCAGGAACTAATCTTCGGAACTCGCGTCCTAAGCCATGCGTGGGTCTGACAATCACCCTGTCCTCAGTATTTTGCATCCTTGCGTATAACCACCCGACATGTCCATCCTCGTGAAGCCTCCCAAACGCAAGCTGGACGAGCTGGAAGGCCCCGTCGAGCAGAGCAGCAGACGCCTGTCACACAGCCCGCTTACGTCGAATGCCTCCCACGCAGTAGATCCTACCTACCCTGACAATGCCCCGCGTCCACGAGTCAACTCCGCTCCCCAGACGGAACATGCGGAGAATTCGCATTGGTTTTCCTTGCGCGAGCTGAACTCCAATCGTCAGTCCCCGGCCTCCTTTGATGGACCGTTTCAGGCCCAGAGAAAGTTCTCACCAAATGCATCCATTGTCTTGACCGGGATTCGGGGCACGGGAAAGTCCAGTCTGGCGGTCATCCTGGCGGCCACCTCGGGGAGGAGGCTGATCGATGCCGACCGGTATTTCCAGCAGGTGACCGGTCGTTCACGCGCGTCCTACAAGAAGGAGTTTGATCTCGTCGAGTATCGTCAGCAGGAAGCCAGGGTGATGGAGTCCATGCTTACGGATAACCAAGAGGGCTGTGTCATTGCATGCGGACCGGGCTCCATGGAGCGCAGTGGGCAGACGTTGCTGAGGGAGTACGCGAAGACCCATCCTGTCATCTACATCCTCCGTGACCCGGAGAGCATACAATCTTATCTGAAGGCGTGGAACACGGACAAGGTCCGTCGCTTCCTTGAGCTCTCAGGGCCAATCTACCGCGCCTGTTCCAATCTTGAATTCTTCAATGTCTCCGAAAAGGGCATCACCGACCATCCAGTCCCCAAAGACGGTCACGACTCGCAACTGGAATCCGAGCTAGACCAACGAGTCCAAGCAATTACTCCTTTCCTAACCCTCAAACAGTTACAGCGCGACTTTCTCTGTTTCATCGCGTTCGCCACGGGCGATACGACGGACCTCAGCCGCCATAATTCATCTTTCCCGCTGTCGATGCAGCCAGTGGAGTCCCGCACCTTTACCTACGCCGTCACCGTACCGCTTTCCTCCATGTTGGAACAAGACCTGGACATCGAGGAGCTCGAGTCGACCGCCGATGCTTTTGAGTTGAAGCTGGATGTGGCAGAGCCACCTTCCTCTCACCTCGGCCTCGACTCGAGCTTTGCCGACAGAATCAGTCAGGCCGTGGCAAACATCCGACGGCACACAGTTGTTCCTCTAATATACCATGTGGAGAGTACTGTATCCCGTTACGGTCTCGGCGCAGAGCAAAAGGATCCGTCGCGACGTGCCGATACAGAGTATCTCAAATTGGTCCAACACGGTCTACGATTAGCTCCGGAGTTTGTGACAGTGGACTTGTCTTACGAGGATAATGTACTATCACAAATCATAGCCTCCAAAGGGGCAAGCAAGGTGATCGGACATTTCGCCGCTATCCAGGCCCCAGCGCGAGGGTGGGATGACACCCACTACATGGAGCTCTACGAGCGAGCCAAACGGTTAGGGTGTGACATGGTTCGGCTGACCCAGCCAGCGATGACGATCGACGACAACTTTGCCGTGCAACGCTTCCGCGACTATATCAAGTCGCTTCCTGCCCCGCAGCTGCCGCTGATTGCATACAATTCGGGTCTCTTGGGCCGATTGTCATGCTGCTTCAATCCGATCCTGACGCCTATAACCCACCCGTCGCTGGTTCCCGAGATGCAGTCCAAAGGATTGCCGTGTATTACCTTGCGCGAGGCGCAGGAAGCGCTTTATTCCTCTTTTACGTTGGATCCCCTACAGTTCTTCGTCTTTGGTGCCAACATCACCTACAGTTTGTCCCCCGCCATGCATAACGCGGCGTATGCGCGATGTGGGATGCCACACCAGTATAAATTACACCAGTCGTCATCTTTGCGCGGTCTGAATGAATTGGTGGAGAACCCGCACTTTGGCGGAACAAGTGTCAGCTTGCCCTTCAAAACCGAAGCCATCCCCCTTCTACACTCCATGTCCCCCCATGCTCGAGCCATTGGCGCCGTAAACACGCTCATCCCAATCCGGCGGCTGGAAGACAAAGCCCTCGACTCTAATAATTCCTCGTTGTACATGGAGAAAAGCAGGGCTGGGCCGATCAAGGCCTTGCACGGCGACAACACCGATTGGATTGGAATCGGGAATTGTTTCCGAAGGGGACTGTCCCCAGCGAATGCCATCCGGCCGTCCTCCACCGGGCTGGTGATTGGCGCGGGTGGAATGGCGCGCGCTGCCATCTACTCCATGATCCACCTGGGGGTGCAGAATATCTTCATCTTCAACCGGACGTTGGCCAGCGCCGAGAAGCTGGCCTACCATTACAATCGACAGAACCTGCCGTCTGGCCGCGTCGGATCAGCGGCGCGACCTCAGGTGCACGTGATCCGTTCTCTGCAAGAGAGCTGGCCGGCCAACTATAAGCAGCCGACCGTCATTTGCTCGTGTATCCCCACCCACAGCATCGGGGGGCAGCCGGCTCCCAACTTTGAGATGCCCGTCCAGTGGCTGGAAAGCCCCACCGGTGGCGTCGTTGTGGAGGTACGTACTAAGTGAACTTTAGCAGAATCCCGCTAATTGATGACAGCTGGCCTATAAAACACTCAACACGCCGCTAATGAAGCAAATACGAGGTCTCTCCCATCGTGGTTGGGTCGCTCTGGACGGCCTGGATGTTCTTCCGGAGCAAGGGTTTGCCCAATTTGAGTTGTTTACCGGCCGTCGTGCGCCGCGGCGGCTCATGCGGATGGTGGTCCTGAAGGAATACGAGGGCGAGGAGGGCCAATACGATGACCGGGTCATCCAAAGTCGGATTGAAAACCTGGAAGGGCAGCCTACTTGATGCCTACCTGAAGTGCCAATTGGCAGGATGCGCTGTGCATGGCATCAGCGCCGTTTTCGGCATGAGGCGGCCACCTAGTCCGTGTCTCCGCGGGATTGACGGTGGCATGTGGATTAATAACGCCCTGGTTTCGGTGGTCTCCAGGCCCATCGGACGAGTGCCTGGGTACCGGCAAGACGAAGCACATCTCTGCAGTGCACCACCGGGTCCTACGACTACAGCCAGCAAGTACATGGCATAATGTCTGACGAACATGTAGAGGGCATAGCCCCATTAACACGATAATCAAATTAAACCCAACCGTCTGAGACGTTTAAAAATAGCCAACACAAAGTCCTATTAGCACAGCCGCAGGGCTGGACAAATCCAGCCATTGAACCTAAACACAGCCATTAACCCAGTCCAACCCATCATCAACTAGAGATACACCTCAACTCCCCCAGCAAAACCCTAGTGACCGAAATCAAACACCTCAAAGTTTCCACACGCCAGTCGCGAGTTATCCGACGCATGCACCACCACCGACAGATTGCCAAAGAACGCCACATCGTCCTCGTTATTCGACAAGAACCAATCCGTATACGTCACGGAGAACGTCTCATCTTCAGGCGCCCACACGGGTCCATGCTTGCCACTCAGATCGCCCACCTGACAGGTCTCGGGCGCCTTAATGTCGCAGGGAATGGTATCGCCTCGTTTGTAGGGGTCGAGGTGCGCGCCCGTACTGTAGCAGTTGCCGTCATCGGGGACGGGCTTTTCGTGGATGTGGTAGGCTATTTTTGGGGGTATTGGGTTAGTGGTGGGGTTTAGGTTTGGTGGAAAGTTAAATTGGAAGTATGACAGATAATAGAAAGGGACAGAGGGATGGGACGTACCCAGGGGTTGACCATCATCAGGGATTCCCCAGAATTCAACAACCAGGTTGATACCGACTTTGCTGGGACCGGAGTAGGTGGTGACGTGCCCGCCCACGGTGGTGTTATCCTTGGGTTGGAGCTCGGCGCGGTAGAGATGGCCGTGGTTGTTGGTGGTGACGGGGGCATTGGTGTTGGTTTGGGCGGAGACAGAAGAAAGACACCAGGTCATGGAGGCGGTGATAGCGAGGAGGGTCTTGGACCACATGGTGATGTTGATAGATAGATAGTCTGGTCAAGTCTGGATAAGAGAATGGGTTAGTGTGGATGTGGGTAGATTGAGCGAGGAAGTCCAATGTATATGAATGAACGAATGTGTGATGGTGGGAAGGGAATGAGTGCTACCTGAACAAAGAAAGAACGATGACTGATATGATTGAATGTCAACAATGAATCCAGCCAGCCTTGTTCTCCCCCTGGATTGAAGCCTTTATAAAGCCCCCCATGCAGGGCGTAAGGAGTGAAACAATGATCCCTTTCAGGCGGGCAGTGATGGTTACATTCCTTGGAACGCCCGGATTCGTGGGTTCCGGATGGGGGAAGGTCGCAGCCGGTGGAATGCGTTCGGGGCTGTCATAGAGACGCTTTCGGGGGAGGGATGGGCTATGACACAGTCTGGATGTGTTGGTTGTGCCAACCTGCCAAGGGCGTCATTCTCAAAGGGTGTGACTGGACTGAAGTTGGTGGAAGTTGGTGATCGGCGGAGGAAAGTCTATCGGGGTCTGGGCGGAGGATAAAAGAGGCTGTCACATTGTACATACATTACTGTGTAGTATGTAATTTGGTCACATTACTCCGGACCTGGAGGGATGGTCTCTCGTCTTTCATTTTCCCTTCTCCCTCTTTCTCGTCCCTCGTCTTCATCACCAGCTGGAATGACATTCTTTATACCCTCCGTCACCGGTTGGATTGGCCAAGCGACTAGTTCAATCTGGTCTGCTGCACCTGTCAGCCACATTGGTTAAATTCCTCATTTGGGTAAAATAGGCGCTGCACGATGATCGTCAGGTCTGGACTTTCCCCGCCATCGACCAGGATCAGCAGCCACCCAGGGGCCCACGATGGCGATAACAGCTGTTGATGGACGCTTGATAGCTCCGAATCCAGAAAGCATTCTCGGAAATCTGCCGAAACCCCCGCAACTCATCCTCGACTCGAGGATGGATCTGACCCATCATCCCCGGACTTCCTTGCGGTCCTCTGCAGCCTGCATCGGAGCATGTCCATAGCTTGTTCCTTCGGTCATCTTTCCGTCTCTTCCGCTGCCCCTCGGCCAGCTGTTGTTCCTAATGCTATGGGTCCCCGGGGGCAGCTCGGGTATTTATACAACGACCGGCTTGTTATCAATCTGCTCTGGTCTCGACTAGTACCCTATCTCACTGATTTTTATCGAGACATATTATTGTGACATTGACTTTCTCGCCATGTCTCTTGCTCAGAATCACTATGTGATACAGCTTCCTAAGACCCCTGCTCCTGTCGGTCAGCTAGAGCCACGCGCTATCGCTCAACGATGGATCACCGATCTGGAGTCCCTCCTCAGCGCGGGAAATTTCTCCCAGCTCCCAGCTCTCTTCCACGAGGATTCCTGGTGGAGAGATATGCTCGCATTAGTCTGGGACCTGCGCACGATTCAAGGCCGTGAGAAGATCCAGGAGTTCCTGGCCGCACACCAGCCCGGCGCAGGTATTTCCGCTCTGCGTCTGCAGAATGAGGGCAAGTACCAGCCGAATCTGGAATCCCCCGCGGAGGGACTGAATTGGATCAACTCCATGTTCTTCTTCGAGACCCGGATCGGACGCGGCACGGGGATTCTTCATCTGACGCAGAACGATGCGGGCGAGTGGAAAGCGTACTCGATGTATACCACTTTGCAGGAATTGAAGAGCTTTGAGGAGCCATTGGGGGCTCGGAGAGCTGATGGGACTATTGAGTCGATGCCCGGTGGTCTCAGCCAGGGCAATTGGATTGAACGACGCCAGCGATTGATCGAGTTCAAGGAAGAGGAGCCGACTGCTCTTGTCGTTGGTGCTGGTATGTCTACCCCTCCAAGTGTAGCTCCCACGACTAACATGAAACAGGCCAGGCAGGTCTCAACATGGCTGCTCGACTCCAATCCCTCGGGGTGTCACATCTCATCGTCGACCGGAACGAACGAATCGGTGACAACTGGAGGAAGCGATACAGGGTAAGCTCCATCTCCATGTGATCTCCATATCTAACTGAATAGACCCTCGTGACCCACGACCCCGCAGAGTTCACCCATATGGCCTATCTCCCCTTTCCCAAGAACTGGCCGCAATACACCCCGAAGGATAAGCTAGGAGACTGGTTCGAGGCCTACGCCAGTATCATGGAACTGAACGTCTGGCTCCAAACCTCCGTCAAATCTGCCGAGTACGATGATGCCACAAAACAGTGGACTGTGACTGTGGTCCGCGGCGACGGGAGCGAACGTATCCTTCATCCCCGCCATCTGATCTGGTGCACTGGTCACTCCGGCGAGCCCTTGGTCCCCAGCTTCCAAGGCCAGTCAAACTTCAAAGGCACAATCTACCACGGTAGCCAACACGATGATGCATCTCGCCAGGACGCCGCAGGCAAAAAGGTCGTGGTAGTCGGCACCGGCAACAGCGGCCACGACATTGCGCAGAACTTCTACGAGAACGGTGCACAGGTGACGATGCTCCAGCGGCGTGGGACATATGTTATTACCGTCGAGAAGGGAGTCATCATGATGCATGAGGGTCAACACGACGAAAACGGGTTCGTATTCCACCCTAGTCCCATCTAACACGTACTAACCAGTCACTTCCAGGCCCCCCACCGAAGAAGCCGACCTAATGCACGAATGCCTCCCTTATCCCGTCCAATTCGCCCTCTCCGTACACTTCACCAAGCGCGTAGCCCTCGCCGAACAAGACATCCTCAGCGGCCTAGAACGCGCCGGCTTCGCACTAGACTTTGGCATCGACGGTGCTGGCATCGCCCGCGCATACATGACCCGCGGTGGCGGATACTACATCGATGTCGGCTGCAGTCCGCTAATCGCCTCTGGCAAGATCAAAGTCAAGCAAAGTCCAGAGGGAATCTCGCATTTCACCGAATCCGGCCTCGTTCTTAAAGACGGTTCGACTCTCCCGGCCGACATCGTCGTTCTAGCAACGGGGTACGATAACATGCGCACAACAGTGCGGAAAGTGCTAGGCGATCGTGTCGCGGATCGCTGTCAAGATGTTTGGGATCTTGATGAGGAGGGCGAGATTAATGCCGTATGTTCCTCTCCCACTCCTTCTCTTCCTTGCTCTATCCACCATCCACACATCACCACTAACAAACTCCCCCATATCTAGATGTGGCGACCCAGCGGTCACCCCGGCTTCTGGTACATGGGGGGGAACCTCGCCCTATGTCGTATCTATTCCAAGTTCTTGGCTCTACAGATCAAAGCCATTGAGGCTGGGTTGGTGGATGCGGACCAGACACAGGCGCAGCCGAAATTGTGAGTTGGTATATACTTTCACAGGTATAAGTATCTTTTTGTGGGCGTACGAGCAATAGTGGGGTTGGATGATGATGATCGTACAGGGCAAGGCGGTGATACATGCTACATGGTAGGTAGATAAATAGTTAGATTCAGTATTAGTATTAGCGTTAGCATTAGGATTGGCGATTAGCATAGATCATTATGGTGAATATGATTGATTGAATGGTACTTACGGCATTGTATTTACACCCTGTCAGAGGGGTAATTCTTTCTGAATTCATACATCCTCAATGCGGTAGGTAAAGCGAAGTCAAATAACCATAAGCGTAGGACCGTCTCATTTATGCATAAATGCATATACAGATAACATACAAATACATCATACATATACATTAATCATCTCATTGGTCTCTTTTCCCCAACGCCGTTCGCCACGTAATCATAGTCATAATCAATCATCCCAGTATGTGAGTATGTATAGTACCCGTAATTCTGAATCATCCATTATTCATTATGCAGGCATCCATCAGGAGGGAAGGGAGGGGAAAAATCAGTCTCGTGCTTGTTCGCCATCATCGATGATCATTTCCACGTCCTTAATCGGATGCAATAACATCGGAGGCAAACACATCCGGCCTTCACCGGCGAGCTCAGCCTGTTCGCCACCGTCGTTGTCGACCTTGTAGCCTAGCCAGCGTCTCCACAGGTTGGGCGCGAATCCGGCCGAGTAGAACCACGTGGTGCCGCGGAAGTTGTGTTCCCTGTCCCCGAAGACGGAAGTGCGTGCGCCGCCGGAAGCGCCGTTGCGGCCCGCGTTGAACACCGATTCGAGGTACTGGGTCGGCCAGCGACGGTCGATGTACATGGAATGAGGTACGTAGACGGCTTTGAATCCGTGCTGGAGGGCGGTCGAGGCGGGCCACATCTCCGAGAACATGGTGTGGCGGTGGAGGGTGGTTTCCTTGTGCATGGTGTGTAGGAGCTTGTGGGACAGGCGGGATGCGGTGATGATGGAGGCTCGACGCGGAGGGAGCCCGGTTTCGCGGTCGTATCCGGTGACGTCGTCCCGCAGCGGCCAGGTTGTGCCTTCGGGGTCGAAGAGCGGGTTGAAGACGATCAGGTCTGCTTCTTCGCCCACGCCCCACTTGTACCGATCCTTTTCCATGGTGGTCGGGGGGATGCCTTCGCCGTCTACCTCGAGGATATCTGGCTCGTTAGGTCGCTCCGGACCCCAGATGGGCTTGTCACCTTGCTGCTGTAGAGCCTTCACCTCGCCGGGGGTGCGGTCTTGGCCGGGCCGGGATGCACTCCACAGGTTGTTCGGGCTGTTGGTGCCGATTTCGGTCTGCACTCGAACCATCTGGCGGAAATCCTCCCAGGTGCCGTGGACGGAGGGAACATAGAACCGAGCATTTCGCTCCCATAGACCCTTCCGCGGCTGTTCCCGTGCCCAACTGATGACCTTGTCAAACAGGTGATACCAGTGGCCCGTATACCGGGCATCCATCTCCCAGTTCCAGTAGTAGTCGTATCCGGGATGCTGATGCGCAAAATATTGCATTGGCATGTAGGTGCTGCGATATACGCCGTGCACGGACAGCCCGCGGGCCCACGTCTCCTCCAAGCCGGCATACATGAGATTCATCTGCCTCTCCGACCAGAGTGTGGCCATGCCACGGAACTCTTCCGGCAAAGCCTCATTCAGCACGCGCTCATACACTTCGTCATCGGCCCAAATCTGCAGGGTTTCGTCTCTGACGTGGACCAGGAAATGGATGGTGTATTCGCCGCCAGAGAGCAATGCAAGCTCCGCAATGAGGGAACGTAGGTACAGAATGTCATCAGGGGTGTAGTGGAGATCGTGCCACGTACGAATCACGAACGCCGTCCGGGGTAGATATTCCTTTGCAGAGTCCGGCTGCGGCTTGCCCTGGGGCTTCTCATCCGTAGTTTCCGGTGCACCCACAGACATAGAGAGGAAGCGGCTGGGTCTCGGCGCAGGAAGATCCCTGAAGCGATGGCTGTTCGAGGCCAAGCATCGATTCTGTGCAGCGGCCCAGTCGACGTGACGAAAGTCGACTGGCGGATAGTCATCCCAGACACGTTCTGCTCCTTCACGGTCGCCCTCGAGGCCAGCGCCGATACCACCCTTTCGCACACTATAGCCGAGACCATAAGGCCCCAAGCGTCCAAACCGGTCAAAGCAGACGTCATCTCGAATTCCGATCATCTCATTAGAGCCCATGATAGCCTCAGGGAAGCCACGGGGTACGCCGGGATAGTGATGCACCAATGGAACCCGCAAAGTCTCATCCTTGTCGAGGAAGCACTCGCGTTTCTCGCCGTACTTTTCGACATATTCTGCAGATGCGTACTCGGGATACGGATTGAACACCGAGCTCGAGAATGGTAGCGCTTGATCCCGAGCTTGAACATCATTGCCCTTCGCATCCTCGTTGTCAACACCGATAGCGTCCGGATTGTCGTTGGGATACTCTGGCACCACCTCACTGCGCGACACCAAGGATCGGATACCACCATGATACCGGTTCAAGAATGGAAAATTCTCCCATGGTGCCGGCCTTGGGGCGGGTTTCGGTAACTGCACATTGACTCGAGTGACTGTCGAAAGAAAGGTAAAGCGGAAGAGGGTACAGATGAAGAGAATCAAGAACGACAGCAGCGCAAAGCAGAGCCATCTCATGATCCGATTGGGAATGCGATAGCCCACCCTGCTGCGGGGGCGCACGGGCGCTCTGTTCAACATGGGGCGATAGGAAGCCACCGAAGAGGAGCTCGCGGAGTCATCGTCACTGTCCGCGTCGTACGAGCTGTGGCTATGATGGCGGTAATGGCGTCGGGGCCGCGATGGCTGCTTCTCAACGTCTATCACGATGTCGCGGTCATCCGTGGAATATGGCGACGATGCATCTGACGAGGCCGAATACCTCTTGAGACGGGCGGGCATGGCGGATCTAGACCAGCGTGGTCCGAGGTATGCGAATCGATCAATGGGACGGCATCCGAAAGGGAAGAATGCGAACGGACGTCCTGACTCGGATCAGTACATCATGGAGGGCAGTGAATGTACGACACATACCCAAAGGCCTTGTTCGTCCCCAGTCTGGGCCGAACGATGGGCGTGCGACACTGGTATAGTAGGAACAACACAAACAACCAGTACCAGGGACGGAACCGGAGTGACCACGGATCAATACCAGTGGATCCAGAACCAGACACGGGCGATGAGGGGGAAGGGATCCGATTCAATATCAACAAAACAAGGCACGACTGACAGGCAGGCGCACAGCGAGCTGTGTTGATAGATCGGCCGAAGGCGTTGCCCAAGGGACCGTCAACCGATGCACTAGGCCCGCCGGGCCCGGCTTGGCGGGAAGCACTGAGCCTCGAGTGCGATGCACTTGATGCAATGAGCAGGATAACCTTTACAGAGCTGTCAATCGGTAGAAATAACCATGAAATTTGAACCGGTAAAGTCAAAATCAAAGTCCAAGTTGGCCGGCGGAGAATTGGTTGGCCCAATCTGGCAGAGGGCCTCGTGCCGTCCCAATGCGGTAAGTCGCTGTCCAGATCGCGCTTGCCCATCTTAGAAGTTAGTCGCCTGAGGTATCAGTTGCTTCATGGCAAGCACTCAACGATCTACCAGGACTCTGGACCAGCCAGCATAATGCCTAACCTCACAGGAAATCCTAATCCCATGTCTGGTCATCAGCATCCACAATGTGTATTGCCTCCATTCCAAGTAAACCACCTGACCGGGACATCCCACGCCATCAGCCCAAGTATCTCAGCCGTCAGCCGGTACGTACCACCCCATTCAACCATCACCAAACGCAGCAACACTCACCATTCCAATTGACTTTATAAAACCAACAATCTGCCCCGATGCCTCGCACCCACATCACAAGACTCTTCAACGCCTCACTCGAGTCTCGACAACTCACAGCTGACCCTACCCACGGGCCCACAATTACCCCAGCTTCTCTCCGCACGCTCTAACCCAACATTCCACGACCAGCCAGCCAGCCACCAAGCACGACTCAACACACATCACGCGGCAATCGCAATGGCTCAGAAAACAAACTTCAATAAATATCCCACCGCCTCAAAGTGAGGAAAAGTCATCCGCTGACTGGATCGGCATACCGTGGCTGACGGAATTTATGCTCCGAAAAACTAAAGGTGCCTTAGTTCCCGAGGCGAGCTGCGCGACGCTACGCTACAAGTGATGGTCGTCATACATCACAGTGACGACGACCAACCGACTCAAGTCATTCGCGCGCGTTCCAAGCCTGGAACAATGGCGGTCCCATCGTCCCAGATTCCACCGGCTCGGGGCGGAAATGGTCTTGAATTTGCCGTCAAAAAGCAGAGCTCCAGCTTTCTTTGTCGCTGGCAGAGTACTTGCGGTGTGATGCATCGGTGATGATTGGCCCACCTGGCGATGCACCCTGCACTGAAGCAGAACTTCTGGGACGGATTGCTGGCCCGGCCATTCAATATCAACTGGGGCAATATTGATATCGTGGCACTCGGTCTGCAGACCATCAGACCATTGATGTGTGTCTGGTTGCAGATGACTAACGGCATATATAGGTATGCAAGCTCCCAACTTGAGTCAGTTGTCCATGGCCTCTCTATCTCAAGTTACTCAATCCAAGTAAATCCTCACCACCACTACACCGAATAATGGAAGCAAACATGGTCCGTCCTTTCTCCCTCCACTCCTTCCTCTACATCCAACTAACCTCCCCAGGATCCCCCAACAACCCAACTCATCCCCCTAACCACCATCGTCCTCCTCCTCCCCATCGTCCTCCTCCCTACCATCTTCCTCTTCCACCAAATCCGCAAAGACTACCACGCCTTTCTGGCCCTCGGCCCCGGCGGCACCCCCTCCACCCCCACCGGCTACCTCCGCATCTGCCTGTTCCGCCTCGTCACCATCCGCGACCCCTTCCACCCCCCGTCTCTCCCTCCCTCCCTCCTCCCCCAACAAGGTCTCCTCGCCGCGATTCCCTACCGTTCGGGCCCGCGCCCCACCGTCGTCGGCATCGCCCCGCAACGCCAAATGACCCAAAAAGGCACCCAAGCCATGTACGAGACCCTCTCGACCGAGATCCAACGACTGGTCTCCCAACACCCGGAGACCTTATACGAAGGGACGTCGTGTTTTGAAAAACACAGCACGGGGGTGTTTTGTACCGGTCCTGCCGCCCCCAATCCCACCACCACCAGCAATACCAATACCAATATAACCCCAAACCGCGACATCTCATCCACCATCCTCACCCACAACCACCAATGGCGTCACCGCCGCACCTGCAACGGGGAAGTCTGCCACGCACACCCAAGCGACGGGAGTCTGCATCTGACGCTGCATCCAGCGGACGTGAAGCTGGTGATTGAGCGGGGGTGGGGCCAACGACACCCGTTGACGCGCGAGAGTTGGTGGTGGTGTTATTTGCGCACCGTGCCGACAGGGTTCGTCATGTTGTATGCGCCGCGGAATCGGGACGAGTTGGAAACTGTCTTGGAGATTATTCGGGCCGCGGCGTGGTGGGTGAGCGGGGAGGAGTTGCCCCGGGGGGAGAGGAAGAGGGAGGGAACTGGTGCGGTGTATCGGGGGGGTGTGCGGATGGCTTGTGAGGGGGTGGCGAGGTAGTCAATGAGGTGGTCGTACAGTTGGAAAGGTGGTGTCCTCGCGGACATCGGAAGGGTAGATAGGCATGGTGCTGGTATAGACTGATAAGATGGTTATATTTATAAAGACGTTATCAACTCACAGAGCGGCCACTACATGCACAGTCTACATTCTCGGGCCAACACGCGGTCACATACATCTGGCCCGCTGGATCATCCATCGAATCTTCGCGGCCAGGAAACAAAAAAAAGTCGAGAAAAACAATCGTTAAATCGGCGCCAGGTGAAGAGCCAGATGAAAAAAGTAAAAGCTAATAGCATAGAGGAATGAAGAGCCGTTAGAGAACATACAAGAACCACCAAGTAGCATATCCCTTCCCTACACGAGGTGACTTTGCCGGCCCCGGTTCCCCTTCCAGCATCCGCAACTCCCAGTCAAACTTGCAGGTATTCTTCCACTCATTACATCAGTCTAGTCGCGGTTCGTTTTCCGCAGCGTCTCGGCGAGCCACTCCAGACCCTCGTACAGACCATCACCGGTCGTGGCGCAGGTGGATTGGATGTACTACAAAGCATGCAGCGTTAGCGTCCGACCACTCGACACCTTAGGCATCCACGTGGAGGGGTCCAACTTACCCAGGGGCGGCGGGTGAGGCTCTGCAGACCAAGCTGCTGGGTGATCTCGGCAGGGCTCATGGCGTTCTGAAAAGAGGAGACGTCAATATATCATCCCGGCGAGGGGGTTCCGGGGAAACCTGAAGCATACCGGCAAATCTTGCTTGTTGGCGAAGACCAGGAGGAGGGCATCACGGAGTTCGTCCTCGTTCAACATGCGCTGCAACTCCTCGCGGGCCTCGACGATACGGTCACGGTCATTGCTGTCGACAACGAAAATGATACCCTGAGTGTTCTGGAAGTAGTGTCTCCAGAGAGGACGGATCTTGTCCTGACCACCGACGTCCCACACGGTGAACTGAATGTTCTTGTATTCGACGGTCTCGACGTTGAAACCTGGACAACCCGATACCAATATTAGTTCCATCGACCTTCCATGCGCCATGTCTCAAGCCTCGAGCCAACAGACCGACGACCCTGCACCGGGGAAGGAGAAAGACTGACCAATCGTGGGGATGGTGGTGACGATTTCACCGAGCTTCAGCTTGTACAGGATGGTGGTTTTACCGGCAGCGTCGAGACCGACCATCAGAATACGCATCTCCTTACGGCCCCATAGCCGGTCGAACAACTTGGAGAAAGTGAGACCCATGATGGCGGTGGCGAGAGTTCAAGGTCTAGGGATGAATGCGATGTTAGATTCGATCTGACCGATCAGGAGGGCAAGGCCACAGCACGGTCGGAGGGGCGGTCGAGCGATGGGCCACGGACCTGTGACGTCTGGCTGAGGGGGTGGTATAAAAAGGCAAGAGGGGAGTGGTGTGACGGATGGAATGGAGTGGACGACGAGGGGCGAAGGTAATCAGGTTAAGGTAGTCACGCCGGGGAAACACGGCGGGCAGGACAAATCAGGGGGGAGGGGAGAGCGGTGGGCGAGGGTGGATGGCCAGAGAAGGGAGCAGAAGGTGCAAGGGCCAGGGAATGAGGACCAGCGATCGGGTGACAAGGCCAGAGGAACCAGACGGGGGGGAGAGGGTAGCGACTTACCAGGTGCGATGAAGCTGGAGAGGGAGGGAGAGGGAGGAGGAGTGGTGAGTGGAAGGCGTGGATACCGAGAGTGACCAGCGGGCGAGCAGAGCAGATCAGGTCAGGTCAGCCTCCGTACGGTTTTGTCGAGGTGTGGGATTTTTGGGTGCCAAACGGCCAGGTCGAGAAATTCAGCCGCCGGCGTAGCTTCCGTCACTAACGAAACCAGCTGGCAAAATTACCAACGATGTAATGATGCTGCGGCTACAATCGAGATACTGACTACACGCTACAGAGGCTCAATCAAGGGCAGGGCCTATTCAAAAAGAAGGGTACAGATCGTGAGAAGTCTAAACCAGTAGAGTTCACCCGCCAGTGCCATCCAAGTAACGGGCGCAATCAATGGCCCGGTCAACTCGGTCAAGAGTCTCCCCCCGAAGAGGACACGGTGTTTCCCGTCCATCGACCGTTGATACCATCTTACGGGCGACTCCCTTCCTGCAATCCCTGCTGCCTCCAGATCGGCTTACCCACGACCAGCCGGACCGCTTTTACGCCATCGCTGCCTATCCTCATGTCGCCAACATGGCCCCAAATGCTGCTAACCGTTCAGCTTCCCCCGGCACTCTGCCTGCCAGCCTCCTTTGCCCCTTGCCCCTCTGGGCCAAAGGTCCAGACACCCGGATCGATTCCCACCCGTGACCCTGATCCCTGATAGGTTCCCGACACGGCTTTCTGGATTTCCCCGTGCCAGTGGATCGCCTTCGGTGGCACTACTATGGGGTGCAGTCGAGGGTAGATTGCTTCGTGCTCATGTCTGGGTCCAGATGGCTTGAAACAAGCCTTGTCAGGACATTCGCCATATGCGACGTTATCATATCTTGATCCTTTGTGCTGGACAGGTCACTTGAACGAGAATTTAAAGTAGGCCGTTGCGTTAGACACTCGGGTTCGTTCAGCCTTCGGAACCCACAGGGGCCACTTCAACTAGTAACTACGCGTCATGCTATTATTCATCCGTGGTCCCCGATAAGCCAGCGATCCTACTTGTAGCCACGAGCACCGCCCCGTCTCCTGAGATACCATTGCAGGTACAACATCGGCGTTGATATCTCAGACCAAGGGATCAACGTTTGCGCCAGAAGGACTCGTGCATTGGGTGGGCCGGGAACACAAATTCAAGCGGGTGTGGCAGAATCTTAGATCTTTAGATGGACCCTGTTTGGATGGGGCAATGCACCCGACAGATCATATCAGTCTGCCTATTATTCTTTATTCGAAACATCCACTGCAAAATGGAGTAGCAGTAGACCGATCATGTGACTGATCTCTCAAGATCTAATGTTAAAACGCATTCGTGGCATTGGTCAGTGATAAGCAGATTGGTGATCAATCTGGCTCACGAGTCCTGAGATTCATGGTCGTCTATTGTACATTCTATACATGTTGTATCATTCGCATCACATGGTGCGGCGGATCTCCAGCATCAAGATCGATGAATTGTGCCGCCCGGTGCCTCGTTTTTATGGTGGGAGACCCTGTCTCTTGACATCCGGAAGAAGCTGCGGGACAAGGATTGATAGATTGTCTTGCCCTCCACGGTGTCGCTGGCGTAACCGAAGACCCAGAGTAAGACTGCGGACAGAAACATGATCACCCCAAAGCTGACCCAGTATTGATTGATCGTATATTCACCCTTGACATTCCGGAGTTCTGTTGAGAAATAGCCGGTCATTAGACTGACTGGTAAAAATAGAATCGTCACTTTTGCCAGGAGGATTGTGATCCTCGTTAATTTCTCAACAGCCTGAGAATCCTTAAGGGCAATCAGGTTGAAGTTCTATCAATGCGTTAGCATTTCCTCCCACGCGAGGATTGAAACCCTACCAAAAAAGTGAGGTTTTCCTTTTCTGTCAGACAGCTGTCAATTTCAGACAGACAGTATAGCTTGATTCGATCGAGCAATCTTTCGAATCGAGCCACGGCAGGCGGGCTTAGTTGGACGCCTACACTGGCATCTGGGATGGTCGAGAAACTGAAACTACTTCGCGTGGTCGAGTGGCGGGAATCCCCATCGTTTTCTCCAAAGCTTTGCCCAATGGCCAGTTGTGGGCGGTTTGAACGGGCTTCATCGCGAAGCATGCGCTGTCTCTGCAATATACGCATCATGATGAGCTCGTAGCTCTGATAGAGACGCTTCAAAACTGCCAACTGCCTTCCTAGCCGATGCAAGTCGTGAATTAGATCGACCACCGGTTTTGATAGCATATCTTGTCTCTGTATCCGGTGTCAGGTCATTCTAGCCACGACATTAATACGGAATATCTCAATAGAAGCACTTACCAGTCTGTTAAGAGATACTCCATACTTGTGTTCGCGTTGCGCAACAAGCGCATACGAGGAAACCCAGTCGTCGAATATATAATAGAAAAGCAGACTTGGGCCGTCATCTTGCTTGATGCTCACCTGATCTGGCCCACCTTCAAAGAACGGCCGTACTCTGATGGTGACCAATGAGTCGCTTTCGGACGAAGCAAAGTGCTGCTTAGAAACACCTGCGAAGATGAGCTGCATGTTCCGGCGGACAACACTGAGCACAGATTGTAGCTCTTTCTCCGATGGCCCAGAGAGACCAGGAAACGGGTTCTCTTGCATGCAAATTACAGTCCCTTGGCTCGTAAGTACAAAGCGAACATTCATCAAAGGCATACTTACCGTCGTCACACAGGATCAACCAGGACCATAGTCGTTTCCCTGCTGGCAATTCCCTCCCATTATCCATCTCGAATTGAGGTACCACAAAGAGCGAGTTGTATCCGACGCAAGTGTCTATCAGCGTTAGAATATCGCAAAGATCAAACTTCATTGAATGGGAATACATTTCGGACCATAGTCCACCGAGCAAAAGTGCCATATCTGGTCGATCACATTGGCGAACGTTAGACCTCTGAACGAAGCAGCAGCACGGATTTCTTCCGGATCTGCTAGGTCTCGCAGGGCGTTTCCCTCCACATCATCCGGACGAGAACGACGCAGGCGATCGGAGTTTCTTGGGCGGAAGTTGTTCCTTGGAGGCTCGGTAGGCACGGTGGCCTTCAACGGTCGTTCCACTGGGTCAGTACACATCATTCCCTGCAGACGTTCCGAGACACCATAGTGACTGGTGATGGTCTATCTGTTTCAGCAAACGTATCAACAATCTTCCAATCGAACGAACCTTGATCAACTCCTTTTGTTGCTCGGGAGCCCAGATGTTGCTACTCAAAGTTAATCGTAAGCCGAGAAACCCGAACAAGGTAACTTACATCCACCGAGTGCCAAAACATCTTGGTTTCTGGTATTGTCAGCTGTACTGCCAATAAGCATTCGATCTCTAGACATACTGGCTTGCGCAGCAGCAGCGCAAAATCCTCCTGGTCCAAGTTCACCGCGCACCATGCATCGTCATTGCCAAAGTCCAGCACAAAGTTGCGGGTCTGGGAATCTTTCAAGAGCGCCAAGTAGGTCTTCAGGTTGCTTGCCTCATCGATATCGCGAAATGCATCCTGGAGATGTGGTCTGGTTTTGAAGCTCGAGTAGTATTCTTGAGGGGTTTGGAAGCTGTGCGATCGTACGAGCTCAGACATAGCTCGTATAAGAGAGAGTTGAGATCGTCTCTAAGGTAAACGTACAAAGCGGGATGGAATGACCCGGGTACTCAATGCAATGGTAGAAGGAAAAGCAAGGGGAGGGAATGAGGGAGGCCTGGGCGCCTCTAAATAGAGGGCGCATAGGTCGACGCAGCATGTTGTCGCCGGTCAGCCTTGTGCTGGTGCATGCGAATGACCCGAATCATTCGTGCGCTGAGACGGCCTCAGCTGGAGCGGGGGGTGGATACAGGAGGAGGACTAGACCTGATGGGCGGGTATTAGTGCATTGCAGGTGACTCGCCCGTGACACGAGGGGTCAGCGATCCATCACAAGCCCCTCCATTCGCCGCCCATCATGCCCACCAGTCCAGATGTACACACGGCAGGGTACGCCGTAGGCAGGGATTTAGCGCCCGGGTCACCAGCACCAATTATAGGTACTGGTTGCCTGCATAGTCCATTGCTTCGCCGTCACAATTTCCCGGATGGTGATGCAGGCCCTTGGGAGGGTTTAGGCGCTGCAACTGACCCGGCCTGCATCCGAGTTGCACGAACAAAGGTGCAACTCTATTTGTAGGATTTGTATGGCTGGATTGCTTGGTGTTGCAGGGATAAATAGACTACTCACTGGCCTGCATGTCTCAGCCACATCGAGTGGCTGCGCCTTGCAGCGATAGCCTGGATCATATGTGGGAGCCTGAAGAGACAACTGCCTGTGTAGGGGACTTTCGCAGGCAATCTTCTCACCAATGCCAACGAATGCATTCTTAGTGATCGATCTCGATGGATGGCGTGCGGAAATTCTGTATGAAATGCCTACAGACTCGGATGGCTTTGGATCATGTTTTGTTCCAAGGCGTGAAGATAAGCCTTTACTGAACAGGAAGAAGTAGCATAAGCAAAGTCGCGGAGTCGGAGGTCGGAGCACAGCCTTTCGTTCAATCCTCAACGTACGCCAGGCTGTAGCGGTCATACTGGAACCGCCTTTGTCTTTACTCTGGCTTTCCCCTATAGGTTTGACTGTTTTCCTGTTCGCTAGCCTGAACGTGCCGTAGAACAGGGAGTGCAGACCTTGTATTTCACAGCACTCGTGTTCTTTCGGTGCTTCGTACACCTCCAGCTGCACCTAAACTCAGCCACCAGGTTAAGTGTCTAGTTCTAAGAGTAACTTTACAAGCGACCCACTGCCATGGCCCCGACCTCAGGTAGGTGCAGGCATATCAACAGGACGGAGATATCTTACTAACATTCCACTTTAGATCCCTGAATGAATGATGGAACGTACCCATATTCTGATGCTGGAAAGTACAACGTCTGCTTTGAGAATGTTGGGGAGCAATGCAATAATCCGCGAGAAGGACTTGCGAGAAGCTAAGACGAGGGATCATATTACCCTCCATGCCACCCTGAGTACAGTGTATGGTTTTTAGAAGGATGCCGCCTTGGTTAGGAAGATGCTGAGGCGGGCCAAGTTATTGCTACAACACGGTAGCTTACTATAACCCACAGGCCATGGCAGGGCAATCGCCTGGTATGCTAGCTGATCATGAGCTGCCGATATATCTTTACGACCCCCAAGACAGCATTTGACTAAGGAATCAGTTCTTGGGGCTGCAGCTGCTCCTCGTGCAAATAAAGCCCCAGACGTTCTCGAGTCTGCACCAGACCCTGAAATTCATTACAGGTCAACAACGAGCTCGTCTTACCATACCGCACGGCTTGTCAATATGGACCAGCAGGCGGGCGACCTTGAAAGGGAGCGAATCCTATTGATAAGTCTTAACATAAAGCCCTACCATGATACAAGGGGTGAATTACAAGGATAATCACCTCGGATGACAACACCTCTCTTTAGCCTATTTATCTTCTACTACTGTAGTATCTTTGAAGTGTATGCGTTGTCCAGGGGCACGAACTACGTTATAGGAAATCTTTGTATTTAAGATTCGGATAAGAGAGCGCAAGCCATTAAGATCTTTGTAAGATAATAAGTTGCGAGTTGGACTACCTATTTATTCCTGCGATGGTTGTATGAGATGCAACGTGGTGGTGCATGTATATACCGTCACTCCTTCCAGATATGCCAAGTTGGTTGGGTTTGGAGCTGTCACTGGAAGCCCAGTGGCTTCTTTTTCTACCAGAAGTAGTTAGCACGAGGTCCAAGCAGCTCATCAAACTAAATTGCATCGTACCCCAGGCATATTGCTAGCGTGTATCTACTCTTTATTTATCTCCAATGTTAGGCTATCCCTCACCTTTCCTCCACTAGATAGGCTAGACACCATCACCCACCCAACATGCGTTCCGCATGGGTGGTTCTCACCGGGCCCGTCTGCTCCTGCTTCCAACTATACCTAGCCTTATTCTTCATCATCATCATCGCAATCCTCCGGCGTCGTCAGCCAGCGATCCCCCAAGCAGCCATCACTCCTCCTCCCCCAACCCCAGACCCAGTATCCGAGAAGTCCCCCCCCCCCCCCCCCCAACGCCAGCGATCCCCCAAGCAGCCATCACTCCTCCTCCCCCAACCCCAGACCCAGTATCCGAGAAGTCCCCCCCCCCCAGCCCAGAACAAGACGACCTCGCCATAGACTACGACATACCCCGCCTCCCCTACAACGAAGACACCGTCATCTCCCTCATCAGCGACATCTACCGCATCTACCTCCAACTCAACTACATCGCCCCCTCGGAATTCATCTGGGCCCCCCCAGAAGGCCACCCCATCAACCAGACTCTGTGCGAGGAACTCCGTCTCGACCCGCGGTGATCTCGTTAATGAAACGACTTCCCTACCCCCTGACCCCGAACCTAGCGGATGATATCCCCTTTATGCCTTTTTCCACGGCCTTTGTATATATCCACGATGATCAAACCCGGGCTGGTCGCGATCCGGATCGCTGGATGTTCGACGAGCCGAGAGTGGATTTTCTTCTACCGCATGAGATTGCGCTCTGTTGTGGGACTGATGAGGGGATTCATCTGATTCTGGATACGAAGGAGAGTATGTACCTTATATACTAGAGCTCTTCACTAGTGGAGAACTTGGATTGATTTGATATGAACCAGACACCATTCGCGCATGGGACTTCAACGACCCACCTCCCCAAGACGAAAACGGCGACGACGACTACCGGAAACTATATCCCCATCATGCACCGACGTATCTCGCGTCGTAATTTCCATCAACTAAAATCCCTTGGAGTTATTCCAGCTGGGTATAGACTTCGCCGGTATCTATGGGATAAGTACTATCCGGAGGTAGTATTCATACACCTATGATTTATCTTCTGTGGATAAGATTCTAATCCTGGTGTCTAGTACCCGAGGATCAAGAAGATCCTCCAAGAACAATACGGCTGGCCGTATGATTTTCGGGAGGCGGAGTGGAAGGCTGCTTCGAAGGAGACTTTTGAGGAGGTCGTCCGGTTGGGATAGATCGCGGACAGGTTTATGTTCTTGGTTATAGTTCCAGTTCCGTATACAGAGGATTACTGTACATTGTCCCACTTTCAGAGGAAACTGGTAGATGAATTGCTATGCACATCACAGATATCTTCAATGTACTATATCGTTAGGCTATCCAGTCCTGTATATGTGGTACTGATCTCTTCAGTAAGTTTATCTTTCACAATATAATACTATCCCCACGGGCCACGCTAGTAGTCATCAAGATAGGGAGCGTTTTAAAAGCTAAATGATCTCAATTGAACAGTCATAACTGATCCCATGTTCTTTGTTGTTACACAATGATTGAGGTAATACATCTTTACGTCTTTATAATCTCTTTGGATAAGTGTGCTACTTCTTATCTTGTTTGCGGTTAATGTATGGGACTGGATTGAATGAACATAAGGTTCTCCTAGAGGAGAAGATCGAAAACATATGAACAACCCTGGTAATTTATTCAGTGAGGTGCGATTGACTACTCGGTTATTGGCTTAGTAACGACAAATGTTGATTACATTATCTACCAATCAATAACTAACGGTAACTATAGACATGAATAAAGCCAGTGCTGGATAGCCATCTATCCCAACCGAGTTTCTGTAAGCAAACCCACCAACTGGATCGAAGACAAATGAAATCAAAAGTAAGCAGAATATGTCATCCTGTATCCTTGTACCCATCCCATCCTCTACTTCATAGCTCCCCTGGTTGTCTACCACGCCACACTCATCAACAAAAGATCTTGTTGAACCCTGACTGATGGTCAGACTTCAACTATGCTGTCGCTGGAACGTTCATCGCTTGCTATGTCAACAAATCCAAGAGATATACATTTTGGTGGCGGTAGTGGGAGCATAACGGGCAATGTGAGATGCAGGTAAGCTAAGCTTCCTGAGCCCATCGTCGCTCCCGGAGAGGCATCTCTTCGTTGGCTTGTGCCCGTGACCCGTCCAGCTCCCGACGCCAGGCGTAGTATTCTCCAAGACGGACTTCGGCGTAGGATGCGTAGTCGAAGTCGATTTGTGAGATTTGGGCTTGGATGAGTGACCAGACGCCCCTATTTGAATTAGCTGTTGATCTTCTAGGGAAGGGAATGAAATACCAGTATAATCCGGGAATACCGCGGAATCGGTCGACGTCCTCGCAGAGACGGTCCACGATTTCTGCATGGGAAGATTCGGGGATGCCCTTGTGGTGGCTGTAGCTCCGGACGTATTCGCTCAAGAATTCACGCCGCACAGAACGGGTGGGCAACATGTTGTAGTCGCAGTCGTAGCCACCCCATTCGGCGAAGTGGTTGACAATGTCAAAGGCAGCAGGCGAGGGAGTGGCATACTCGTAGTCAATAAAGTTGACAGTGGCCTCGTCCGAGTCGGCGCTTTCGGGTAACACAATGACGTTGGCGCAGAGAAGATCGCAGTGAGAAAAGACCAGCTGGTATAGGTTAATTGGTGTCTTGTACGAAAGGGACCAACACTACGTACTCCGCCTTCACCCAGGCCTTTTCCATCATCTAGTTCGCTAACGACCTGCTCAAGCTCCTTTTGCAGACCGAGTCTCCGTTTGCGCTGCTCCTCCGTGGTCGTGGGGAGCGCCAGGATCCATCGCTGGAGGACGCTCCACATACTCGGGCCCGGCTGCTTGGGCGTGATCACCGAGATGTCCTCCTGCTTCAGCATTCGGCAGTCGGCCGTGTCCATGTTTACTTGTTGCATAAGGGGCACATCCTCGACGGGTTCGGTGGGAGCGGCCGCTCCTTTAATGGGCAGCACTGCATGCCACTGCGCAAGTCTCCGGGCCACGCCGCGCCAGACAAACGGCGTTACCAGGTCCTCGTGGCTAGCTGGCCGGCCGCGGATGAAGCGGTACAGGAGACCGTTGTTGAAGCGGGCCAAAAGAGGAGGGGCTAAGCCATGGCTGGCAAGGAGAGCATGGGAGCTCGTTTCTCCTATAGAGATATCTACTCAGCATGTGTCGCAATGGGCAGAGGAGGGGTATCGTAAACCCCGGGTGGCATACTTTCGCGGTCTATGAGGATCTCTGTGTGGTTACCGTACGCTCTCATCAGTACAGCCTCATGGTCTATCTGCTCCTCGGTTAAACCGGGCTTGCGATTGACGATTTTAAGAAGCTGGAACCATGTTAGCCCCATAGATTGGGGTGCCTGCCTCTTGCAGCGGGCACCGGCGAAGGAAGGTGACAAAGGAACACACAGTATTGGTGATACCATCCGTGAATCGCACAAATTCGATCTTGTTGTCGCGTCCCTCCCAGTGTGGGTTGAGTGTCAGAATGAGCCTCAGAGCGGAGGCATGAGAGTCGGCATGGTTGTAGGATAGGGGGATGTAGCGGAAGGGCTTGAGGTTTTCAGAGTGCATCGTGACGGTTGTGGTTGCAAACAAAGGGGGAGAAGGAAAGGAAGGAAAAAAGCGGTGGTCGATCAGTATGCGACAGTCGACCAGGGTCTAGTCGTTCTAGAACTTTTCCACGTAAAGGTCAGCCACACATAATGGTCACGGTTGTTATTGGCATGATAAGGCATGGGCGCATGCCTATAGAGCAAGGGTACCCACGTACCTACCAATAGACCGGACTAGAGATTTGACTTCTTCTGCCTGGTCCGTGAGCCGTCTGGCAAGGGGGCTGACGAGTACAAATTGCCGGCACTTGAGACTCTCAACTACGAAGTGCAGGAAGAATGACGAAGATGGCTAGGAGAGAGAGAGGAGGAGGAGGAGGAGGAGGAGGAGGAGGAGGAGGAGAAGATGTCGCCGCTGGTCTCGTGCCTGCAATCTGATTGGAAGCGGCGGCGGGACCTGAACGCCCCTCTCTTTCCGCCTTTTGACGATTCACCGCAGCCAACCAATGTTTAACACTGTCTCGCCATCGGTGGGATGACGCCAGACCTTCCGCCAAATGAGGCATGCGCACTCGTGAGAGCGATTCCGATAATTCCTGTTCTACATACATAGTACAACCGGACTCAAAGTGATACCAGTCCTTGGAAGTCGCTCAGGTGTATCAGGGGCGCCAGGGGTACTCGTACTAGAGCTGTCATTACCGGCTACGGTCATACCATTCTGACCGTGTATCGATCGGTATGGTACGGGTCGCATGAGGTATACATCTCTCCCTCAGGCTATAGGTTTCTTTGTGTGTGTGTCCATACGACATTATTATTAACATGAGTGGGGTACTACGTACAAAAGGAATCAACATATCGCGAAACGCATTCAAGCTGGTGACCGTGCTGCCATCGCCAGCTATTTGCTCAAGTCCTGGAGAATATCTGCAACTCGCGCAAATGCAAGCTCATCCATCGTCTCCTGCCACAGAGTCTGAGCAATCTTCTCACCTTCTGGCGTATACACAAGAGGCGCCATCCTGAGGCAGTTAGTGACTTCTTAGTATCTTCGGAGGTACTTACGGCGCCAGTTTCCCGTCTTCGATATACTGTCCATGGGACTCCGCGCCATGCTTCACCGCTGCATCCGTGAGTGCGCGGGCTCCGACCGCAGGCTTCCGGGCGAGGATGAACTGAAAGATACTAAAGATGTAACCCGCGAAAGTGCCATTGAAGTCTCGGGCAAGGCCAGATTTGCATAAGCCCGGGTTGGGTGCGTTGATAACAACGACCGACGGTGGTACGCGCTTTGCGAGTTCGCTCAGAAACAGTTGGCTGAGCAGCTTGGCTGTAGGATAGCGATCTTGCCCGTCGAAATACTCGCTCTTATCAAAGGCCGACAGGAGGGGGTTGAAGTTTCGTTCCTTGAACTTCGCCCAGGCCGGTGTATCCGATGACACAACGGTCAGACGACCGGGGTGTTCGGGGGAATTCTTCTCTTTAAGGACGGGGATCAACAGGATGGCGAGAAGGGCATTGGAAAGGTGATTGACCTGGACCGTCTCCTCGTGGCCTGTACTTTTGTTGAGCTCGAAATTCCTCTTCAAGACACCTGCGTTGCTGATAACAATATCCAGGCGGTCGAGAGACCTGGTGCGCTCCGCAAAGGCCAGAATGGAGTCATAGCGCGAGAGGTCTAGCTTCCATACCTCGATGACGACCGTCTCGCTGCGTCTCGCTGCAAGCAGCTCTTTCCTGGCTTCCTCGCCTTTCGACTCACTGCGCACAGCAATAATGAGTCTGCTCAGACCTAGGTCCAGGAGCTGCTTGTTGCACTCGAAGCCAAGACCGGTGTTGGACCCGGTGACGATGGCGGTTTTGCCCGAGAGATCAACGTCGGTCCGTGAGACAACCGGCGGTTCCCCAAACAGCTGGCGCTTGAAGAAGGCGCCCTGAGTGGCGCGACCCTTAATGGTGGCCGAGTCAAATATCATTGCGCTGTCAGGTGAAATGTGAAGAATGGATGATCGAGAACGGAGGGATGTCCTGGGGCAGCGTCCTTTTATACCTCATGCTTTCTCCCGTGCCTGTCATCATTGACACGTTTTTCGTGTTAGAATCCTTTGCACTACGCCGATCGATAGCCTGGAACTTGTAGAGCTAGGCTGGTTCCCGGTGATAGTTAGTGACTAGGCCCGAGGACGGAATTAAGAAGCATAAATCCCAGCAATGACATGAAGTGTATCTATCGGACCCTTACTCAGGCCGTTAGTAGCTCAGACACTAAGACCGACAAGGAAAAATTGTCAGCCATGCAGCACGGAGCGAACTGTAGCCAATCAAACTTCCAGGAACATAAGCCTGTGATATAGCCCATATAGTTAGTGCAGCCGACTTGAGACCAGTGATGATTGGAATATCTGAGTGTTGATCAGGCACCAGTCGTCGCAATTCAGGTTGCAGGATACCTTACAGTGTACCCCGTGCTCCGAAATTAACAATAACCACATGATTGACTATAACGGTGTCAGCATATACCGCATAATTAACCCAAGTTGACCCACTCAGAAACCAATACTCCGTATACTCCATCCTAATAACCATCAATACCCGTCCCACACCAAACCAAACATACCCCATACCAACCCATACACCACCCACCCTTATCTACCCGATAATAAGATACGTAACCATCAGCCCCACCCTCAACAGAACCAATTCACATGTGATTCCCACCATCACACCTCCCACCACGTGAAAGCATAGACCCTAACCCTAACACCTCCCACCTCGTCAACCCCCCTAGCCGCCCACCCCCCAGCCATCCCCCCTACATAAACCCCCCCTCCTCCCACCTCGCCCCTTTTCCTTTTTTTTCTTTTCTCCATCATCAGTAGCGGTTTACTTTTACCTTATTGTTAAAATGTAAATCTTACCGGGGCTCCGTCACCGTACGGCTCGCTGAGGGTTATCTTGTGTGGGATTTTTTCTCTATGGGTTTCCTTCCGTTCCCAGCCTTGGAGAACATGACCTAGCTTGCTAGGTCACCGTCTTCTTTTTGTTACATGCTATGGCTACGCTAGGGAGTTTTTTCTTACCGGATAAAATCCCCATGCGCGGAGTCGTGGAGGAGGCGATACATTCCTTTTTCAAAATTAGTATATATCTGCTTTGTCTATTCTTTGGGATGGGCGGGTAGTTATAGATTTAAACCTAGCTAGCTAGATGCTGGTGCCGTAAGCTTATTGTGTGTCTTGTCTGCTGTGCGATGTGGATGAGGTGTATGGTTTTTGCTTGGCTGGCTTGCTGGCAGGCTGGCTTTTGCTGATTTGTAGCTTGGTGTTGTTGGGATATCTACCCGTCGCCATGCCTATCTGCTGATAAGCGCCCTCGCTGCTGCTGGTGCTGCGCTGGCGCGGTTGCTGCGCTGCGGATAAGATAAGAAAGCTACTGTACTGCAAGTCATTATCATGCTATACTCAACCACAATTTTATAGTATAGTCTATCACACCCGTCCAGCGTTACCAATCTGGATTCTCTCTCCAGACCACTTATCATCGCTACGCAACACCGGCCAGCTCGTTCCATCCGCCTTGACCAGCGTCAACTCCAATTTTGTCCCCAACACACGGAACTGCGACTTTTCGGGATCAATCGGCGCAAACAGCTGATAGGTATCCTTGTACCGCTTGTTATCCGTCGTAGGGAGGTCCAGCTCGATCGATGTAGCTGTGAACGTCACCTTGGCGGTCTCCTTGTTAATCTTTTTGAGGTAAAGCGACACGTTCACGGAGGAGGAGGTCTGGTAGAAATCGTTCCTAGATACCATCATCAATCAGTATATACCCATCTGTAGTTGGGAGGAGACACCCACCGAACCGACTCCACCTTCTCCTCGCCCGCCGGCTTTCCCTTTCCAACAAATAGATGCTTGGTCTTCTCTGTGCAGCCCTGGATCTTCAGGAACTCGTCAAACTCCAGCACCCGCTTCTTGCAGCACGACCAGCCCTTGCTGCCCTCGTGGAAGATGGGCTGTCCCGGGTGATGCACGCACTTCTCCTCCTCGCGCGGGATGGTTGCATCGTAGCCCGTGTTGCAGCCCCGGCGACGACAGGTCGCGTTCGCGGCGATCACGAGATCCGGGTCATCGGAGTCGGGTTCTTCGGGGACGGGGGTGGGCGCATTCGAGGGAGGGGGAATGGCCGGGGAGATGGCTGTGCGGGGGACGGGGCTCTCGACTGAGGGCGCGGGTGCAGGCGCAGCAGGTTCTTCTGCGGCGGGTTGGGGTTTCGGTTCAACGGGGGTATCGTCGACGGTGGAGTGTTTGCCCGTCGTGCAAGGTGGGATGGCGAGGAATTCGTCGAAAGTGAGGACGCGGGGCTTGCAACATTTCCAGCCTATGGGGTGGGTTAGTGGTGGGCGGGATGCAGTCGTAAGGAAGGTCAAGACGGAAGGGAGGGAATGAGTGGTCCATCGACCCCAAGGTCCTTGGGTTTACCTTTTTGTCCCTCGTGGAACACCGGCGGGCCAGGATGGTAGACACAGGGCTCCTCGGCGTCGGTGAATTCCTTCCCGCAGCCCTTGTGGACACACTTGGAGGCCATTTTGATCGATTAGGCAGTGAATGGAAGCGAACAGAGGAGACCGTGGGTATGACGGTTCTCCAGAAGATGCTGTCTTGACTCAGTCGCGGGGGAAGTCAATGGTCGATTCGTCGCATCGAAGGTCGAAGAACCGCCGTGAGGTCGACCCAAACGGGTTAGTCGGGAAGCTCGAAGGTTCCATTCCGCTTCTCTCTACATCCTCCGTCCTCTCCGTCATTGCTCACCAACTGGAACCAGAAAGCTGCAATACACTATGTTTCCCACCGCCATTCGTCTCTCCGCGGTCCGCGTCACCCTCTTTACCCGCGCAAACTGCGGTCTCTGCGATACCGCCAAACACACCGTTACCCAGCTGCACAAGCGCCGTCCTTTTGACTACTCCGAGCTGGATATCCAGCTCCCCAGCAACAAGTCCTGGAAGGATGTCTACGATTTTGATGTGCCCGTTCTACATGTGCAATCGGTCCAGGCAGACGCGTCGTTGTCTGACCCAAAGAAGCTGTTCCATCGGTGGACGGAGCAGGAGATGGAGACTCTGATCGACCAGGTGGAGAAGCAGTAGCCATGCCACAACCAACATACTGTATATATTCATACCAACATTGGGTGTCCACATAACAGATAATAACCTAGTACATGAGAACGCGACATCTGTCGGTGCCTTGACCGTCTGCAAGGCATTCGACAGGAACGTGGCAGGCAGCGGAGATCTATCAAGATCAGCCTGGACTAAACACAATCTGAAAATGGAAGAGAAAGAGCCAAGAGATACCGTCTGGATTCCGAGGCCTACACACTTCGCGGCCTGTCCACTCACACAGAAATCCCCGCCTTTTACCATTACTTAAAGCCGCCTTATGAATGCGCTTAATCGCGGCATTCAAACCATTGTGAAAGGGTCCTAGGACCGGACTGCCGTTGTTGATTCCTAAATTCCAGGGTCCGATGAGAAGGACATCAATGCCAGTGACCTTGGCAATCTCCTCTACCTCTACAACGTCAGCTGTCTTTACCAACCCATCAAGACATGAATTCTACGGTGCCTTCTTGGTCTCAATCTGCCCAGTGGTAAGCAGCGCATCGTTCGCCTGCTGCAGATAGACCACCCTGGTGACATGTCTCATTGACCCCATGGCAGAGAGACTTTCAAAACCCCTCTTGGAGTACATTGTAGTTAGGCCACTGTCGAGTATGGGGGCTGTTCTGTACGCAGTATGTTGAGTGGTATCGGGCAATTGGATAATGGTGTAGATAAGTAATGAGAGAGAGAGAGAGAGGCTGTGGTAAGGATCACCGGTGGGTTGATTGGTTGCGGGGAGAGGGACATCGCACGGGCCGAGTGAAAGGGCGTCCGATTGACTCCGACGCGGAGTACCCCAGCATTAGCGTAAGGGGCACCTTTAACCTCAGATGCTTAATTGCGGTAGAGTATCCGTATATTGTGGTTCGGTTCCATGTTCACATCATATGTCAGTCTTCTCAATACAGCATCGCTGCCAAATCATCACAGCTTGCAGGTACTGTTGCTGGTGCATATGGTTCATCTGATCCAGTGTATCTCTGTATGAACATGCATCCTTTCAACAGGCTCTGAACCTGATAGAACCCTATCTGATGGGCTAGGCTTCTTTCAGAATTGGAATCGCATGTAGAATGGATGTTGGACAATATAGCATAAAGGTTGCCATTGCCAGCAGGAAAAAGGTTCCGACGCTGGGCACGGACCATAGTTAAAGGAAGACCCCAGCAGTTAAAGGAGAACTAATAGAGAGGATCTGCCGTCACTCATGGCGCAGTCACCTGGTCTGTTTCGTTGTGACCTTTGCCTTCCCTGCTGTATCTACCTCATCACTACCAGAGTCTTCCACATGAGTATGTCTTCAAGGATTGTGTCTCGACATACAAAGTGACATCCCTACACAAGAAATGAGATTCCTGGGAATACGTCCTGCCGTATGGGAATTGCCATTATCTAAGAGGATCCTACTCCGCGTATGTCGGCATCATCCTACGAAGATAGCAAGTACAGCCCACCGTCGCCTGTATAAAAGGCATTGAGCCTAGAGCTAGCTAATCATTTGTTCTACAGGCTTATCCCATTGAGTTTCTTAATCCTTACTTCTGAAAATCCACATACCCACAAATCGTTCCAATGCAGGCTTCAAGCCCCAAGATGGAAATCATCCGATCGTTCAAAACCATAAAATGGGCCAATTGCAAGATCCAATTCGACTACGTCTGCTACGTTGTCAAGCAAGACGGCAGCCATTACACCGGGAAATGGCGCGATGTTGACAGCCGTCCTCAAGCCGTATCCGACCTCTCCGATGTCCAGGAACTGCACAAAACCCTCCGAGAGGACCAGTACTATCACCAGGTCAAAATCTGCGAGTTTCTTCAGGATTTGCCTCACCCCAACGTCGGTGTTTACCATGGATGCTATGAACGAGGTGGCTATATCACGAGCATTACTTCCGGACGGTATATGATGACGTTTGCGCTGCGGGTGAACCCCAGGAGCTTGAGTAAGGAGGATTTCCGGGCGAGTGAGCGGGAAAAGGTGGATGAAATCATGACGAATGGCCTGAGCGGTGTTTTGGCGGGCATTCGTCATCTCCATGAAAATGGACTGGCGCATAATAATATCAACCCGCGGGCGATCATGCTGGCTGGGGATTCAAGTCTTGTAATTGTTGATTTCAGATGCAGTGGCAGACTTGGAGAGCCGCTACCCAACTGCGAGAGGGCGCCTCATTGGCATGACCCGAAGGTTGAGGTTTCCAGGAAGGAAAATGATCTTGATGCTTATGAAGAGTTGAGGACCTGGCTGGTAGGATCTGCGGAGGATCAGTTTCGGTTTGAATAGGGGTGGTGTTGATGAGATGCTTATGAAGTGTTGAGGACCTGGCTGGTAGGATCTGAGGAGGATCAGTTTCGGTTTGAATAGGGGAGGGTGTTGACGGTGATGTGAAGTCCAATTGTCTCTATCAATTCAACTTGATAGTGGATCTTGTTTCCAGGTGGATTCTTGCTTGCCGGCCTAGTTACCCGGCCAAGCATTGGATTATGCCTTGTCTGTACGGAGTATGTTGGTCTACAGCTTCAAGCGGATATCCGTGTAATAACTAGCCAGATAGCTCAATCATCTACAGGCTTAAAGTCTATCCACATCTTAAATCCACCTGAGGTGGGATTAGCTTAGTCCCAGCGCAAAGATGGACTGCGCCCCGCCTGATCCCGTTGCTCAGTAAGATTGTCTCCAGTTGAGATGTAGTCAGACTCAGGCGTATGGGATCAGCAGTGTGGAGACTCCATTCAGACCATCTTATTGGCATGTTCGGTTACTAGTGCCAACATCAGCACGCTATGGCCCGATAAGTCTAAGTAGGTGGGTGCTTTAGTATCAATCAACTCAAGTATATAACCCAACTGCTTCACATCATCAAGGTCAGTCCTCACATCTACCAAATCATCAGTCAATCAGCTCACTCACTCACTCCAACATGAGCTGGTCTCAAGTCTCCCCCACGCGGTGGGAACGCCCTCTCACCGGCTTCGAAGAATACCTCGTCCACTTCGCAAACATCTCCACCACCGTTTCCACCACCAACCAACAATACACCACCTACTCCAAAGTATCCGTGGACATCAACCTCCCCAACATCACAACCGCCCTCCAACACGCCTGGAAACAAATGCGGTTCGAAGAGCCCGACATGGCCGCCACCATTGAAGGCACCACCAAAATCTACGAGATCCCCAATGAGCAAACCCTCCACGAATGGCTCGATTCTACCTTCATCGTCACCGACCTCACCGACGCAGATGCTCTCCAACGCAACGGCACTTACATCACACAATCCAAACTCTACTACCTCCCCCACACCTCGGAACTCGTCCTTCGCGCTCAGCATTACACCATCGACGGCGTGGGCGTTCTCATCTGGTGGGATAAGTTCTTCCGCGCTTTACTCAACCCCAACCCTGACATCGTCTTTGGAGACGAACACCATTGTTTATCCGTTCCCCTCCCCGAAGCCCTAGGGAACAATGACCCCCCAACCGAAGCCGAAACCAAAAAAGCCACCGCACAAGTCCTACAATACGTCGCCGGACTGCCCAGCATCGGAATGGTATCCAAGGCGGGACAAGTCCCACCAGGAAAATCCCAACACATCGAGTATCGATTCTCACCCGATCTCACGGCGGCGATTATCCACGGGTGCAAGAGAACAGGCATATCGGTAACTTCAGCCGTGCACGCCGCGTACGGCATGGTGCTGATGCAGCACGCGGACCCGAACTCCAACACCTCACAATACACAACCGTCCAGTCATTCAATCTCCGGGATTACCTCCCCGAGCGGTATCGCACAGTCGCAGCGGCGAATTATCCCACTACGGTGCCGTTTTCGATTACTCTGCCGGTGGGGTTTGATCAATTTGCGCGGGCGTTGAATCAGAGTTATCGGTACGGGATCAAGGAGAATTGCGACGCTCTGAATATTGTGGGAGCGTATAATAAGGTGTTGATTGGGATGCTTAAGAGCCCGGAGGCTCAGGATATGCCTGGTCCGACGGATGCGTATGTGAGTAGTTTGGGGATTGTGGAGAGGTATCTTCGGCGGTCGTATGGGGGGGTTGTGAGGGTGAAGGATTATGAATTTGCTGTTGATGTGGTGTTGGGGTTGAATGCGTTGCATGTGTTTTCGTTTCGGGATGAGTTGCGACTGGTGTATAGTTTTAATGATGGGTTTGAGGAGCCGGGGATGATTCGGGAGTATTTGGAGGGGGTGGAGAGGGTTTTGAGGGAGGTGCTGGGTGAGTGATTACATGGTACACATCATACAGGTTTTCTGTATATACAGTTTTGAATGATTTACAGTATCTTCATAACGATTTGGAATATTTTCAACTATTACACATCAGCAGACTCTCATACCTACATATATCTTAGCTCTACCTCCCTGATCCCTTAACCATACCTTATCCAATCCTTTCCATACAACCAATCATGCAATACATCTTTAAGTCAACCTACCACCCAGGATACATTCCCAGCATTAATGATCCTCCCAATCATCATCACAAACCCACCATTTCATCTCCAACAACCCCTTCTGAATCAATCCCAACTATCCCAACTCCTTCATAATTATAATCATGTTCTTTTGATTTGATTCAACCCTCTTCGCTTCCAACGTCTCTTCTTCCTCACTCGTCAGAGTCCCAGCAGCCCGGAGAATAACATGGCCGGACTTTCCAGCAAAAAGGCGCTCAAGGCTCCAAGAATTGGTAAGAGAAGACTCGTGAGACAGGAGAAAAGCGCGCAGGCCCTGTATCTCTCGAAGAAACCCCTAGGAGAGACCGATAATCTAGCGTTTTTTTAGATGACTGAACAGAAGAGACAACAAATTCCACCCAGATACGCAAGCCGGTGCACCAGTGGCATGCGGGGCCTGTCGAAATTCAATGGTTGCCTTTCGACCATGGTAGAGGTAGAGGTTTACAAAGTTCCAGGCAAAGTACCTGGACCCGTCGTCGTTCATCAAGTCGGCCATTTGTGTAGAGCCCTGGCACTCGTCGCGCCAGTCACTTCCCTCCTGATATTTCAAGATTGGAGATACTATCTCTACTCCAACTAATAAAAGTAAGTAGATTGGTTAGGGAACAAAATAAGGTACGTGGCTTGACATACACTGCTTGCCATTGTCCGTCTTTATAGACACATCGTCTGTCAATGACCACTCACTGTTGGCGTTTGCCCCGTCATAGACCCCATCGATGCCATGATGGAGGCGGATGGCAGATGGAAGGCGTGCATTGCATTGAGTAACCAGGTTTTCCACAGACGTGTCTAAGTCCTTGAAGTCCGCCTTTTTTTCTGATCGGAGAGCAGGGCTTTAAGTTCAATTCCAATTTGGAACGCGGCAGCCATTTGATAGCTAGAGTGACGACAGAAAGGCTGATCAGAGAGGAGGTAGATTGTCCAGAAGAGCACAGAAAAAACAGGGAGATGCGGTGTTGAAGACGAGCTCCTTGGGAGTAGAGTGAGAGAGAGGGGAAAGGAAGAGGGAATGAGAAGGATCAAGTGTTAAGTGTTGCTTCTGCTCATTCACTGCATCCCCTGCACTCCCTCTCCAACGGCTTTCTTCATATTCACAGGCCCCGATTACCTGCTCAACTCTAGAAAACGCTTCCCCTTCCCCATCAAAATTCCTCCCCACTAAACACCTCCTCCTGTACACACTCCTCCAAGTCAACATCCCCTCCCTGCAACTCTTCAAGTCCTCCATTCCACATAAAAACGACCCCCACAACGGTTCTTTCAACACCACCGACATCGTCAAGAATATCTCAGACGGTATTTCTCCATCTCGTAGGCCACCAGTCGATCATGGTGTTCCTCCAACTCAATCTCACACGCTGTGCCATACACAGCCTGAAGCCCTGGCCCTTCAAGAAGGACAGGATACTGTCACCAGAGCTTCATATGGTAGCCCAATAGTCTAGCTGGGCGTATCTTAGGAGCCTCGGGGACGTGTAGGACTTTTGCAAGTGTGGATGAGTCCGTCAGAGCGTCATAGAAGAAATAGTATTGCTTGTCAAAGGTGATAGGGAGATAGGAGGGTTCGGAGGAAGTTGGCGTTGGCTGGTGATGCTTCGGCTTGTCTTTAGAAGCAATCGCCATAAGGAATTTGCGAGCCATGGGGGATGGGCGGGGGAGGGGGTTGGGTGGCATTATGGTAATGAGGGCTTGAGAAGGGATGGAATAGAGATGGGTTTCAGATTGAGGGCGAGGAAGATATTTGGGAGGACGATAGCTAGTCACTTGTTGAAGAAAAGGGAAGGAAGTGCGTCATGGTGAATGAAGAGGCGGCCTTCTATAGATGGATGGATGGATGGCACGTGGTTGGCAGCAGGGAGCAATGGAATCTGGTTCCGGCCTTTTCACTCACTGTTGTCATCGTCCTGTGTCAATATAGCCCCCATGCTATCCATTCATCTGCCATAAAGGTGACATTCCTCTATCAAGTATCATTCAGGTCAGGCTTTTTAGACGCTATTCCCAGCAACATAGCCAGACGGACCACTTGGCTGGCGTTAATCTCAAAATCACAGGTCCAAGGGCCCCTGAGCGAGCAGTCGACCCATTCCTTATGCTTTGTTTTGAAAGGGCGCAGTCGGCTAAAGCATCCCCGTCACACAAGCCACTTGTTCCATTCATCAACAACAGCAGCCCGACTTTCCTGATTCTCAAAACATAATCCAACGACAACAGCATAAGATGTATGACAGTCATCAGGCCACCGATGCACTTCGAGATATACCAGGACATTATTGACTGTTATAGGCCTGGGTATCTGTATCACTTTTCTTCATGTTGAGTCTAATTTCGCTGATAAACACAAGGTATATAGCATCAGGCAACCTCATCCACCAAATCCACTGGCAAACTCTCAATCCAGCCCAGATATGCCCGTTGTATCACCGACGCGGTACTGTGTCTGCGCGCGCGACCCCGAACCGGCGTGTCCATGGTCCGATCAACCAGCCGGCTTCGCGTCTCCTCATCCAGGCCCGCGACTGCATCGCCCCCTGCATCCCGCTTCAAAGCACTGGACAGATTCTCGAGTGTGCTGCGACACAAGCGCATCAACTTGCCCAATTGGCCATTTCCCCGGAATCCGTTGTATGGATTGAACAGCAGTAGGAGCCGCGTCCGGCAATCTTTCAGCCGGGAGCGTGTGATTACATTGTTGCCCTTCAGGAACGGACAGAGTCGGGCGGCAAGGATCACGGACCCACAGGCATAGAGATAGTCGACGTTCTCCCAGTACGGAGAACCAGACATGAGCCTGACATCGTCAGGCCCGCCGTCGAGCAAGTTGTCCGTGTTCTTCCATATTAGTTCGACTAGCTCCACCGCAATGAGGGCGCATTTGGTGGATATCTCACGAACGATAGAATTCACCATCGGAGAGTCCACGGATGAAGTCTCACTTCCGGTCATGTGGGGATGGCCGCCTGGTCGGCAGCTGCATTTGGCCGATAGGGCGACTCCCAGGGCTAGGACGGGTCGGTACAACCGGAGACGCACATACAGATATCGAGCACGGAGGATATTGCGTTGCCGGCGGACAATGGGATCGTCGGTCAGTGTCTCCTGATCCATGCGCAGAAACGATGGGAGCGAGGTCTGCCAGTCGTACAACAAAGCATCGGTCTTGAGGAGCGGCGCGAAATCCAGCGCCAGCAGTTTCTTCGCGGCGCAGCTGTCGTGCCGTACTCTTGCATCGGCCTCCCATGTGACAATGTCCTCCACATGGCCGTACAGTCTGGCGCATGCAAGCAGGAACTCGATGATGGAGGGCCGCTCTTCGCTGGAGCTGGGAGTTCCGCCTGAGACGGCGTCGATGTAGTCCGTATCGAGGTGGGTGGGGAGGAGGACCTGCAGGGGGTTGGTCACCTGCGGGGATAGCCCAATTTGCAACGCCAGCATACGTTCCAGGATAATGGCGCTGTGCCAAAGCCTCCGACCGAGTTCATGCTTCTGTCTCTCCCGTCCGTCCCGTCCACTGGTCTTGGACTGCAGTCCCAAGCCTTGCATGATGCGTATCGTGTACCCAATCAGCGCCCAGGCCTGCCGGGGATTCCCCGTCCCATTGAGATACTGACATTGGAGAAAGAGGCATTGGACGCGCATCCAGGGCGTTCCCTGCCAGTCGGGACTACCCGTCAGCCTCTGGGCATGGTCAAACAGCGACTGCAGATACGCATCATCCACCTGGCGGTACCTGAGACCGGAAAGACACAGGACCATCATGAGGATGGCGTGGAAGCCACTTGACCCAGCTCTAAGATCTTGCATGTCGCCGACTTTTTCGCGGGCGGACTGGAATTCAGCCAGGTCGAAGATGGGCCAGTTCACGTATTCACGGGACAGATACGTGACGATCAGATTATCCATTAAATCCGAGGGTAGCTGAGTCGGGGACTCGGCGACGCTCGAGCTGCGAGCTCTGACTGGGTGACTGTTGGCGAGTTTGGGATCCTGCAGTGAGAACATGCCATCGTCGACAGGTTCCTCCTTCAACCGACCGGTTCGCGCATCCACGGTATGCTGTAACCGGCTCAACCGCGCGATGTGAGTGTTGATGCTAGTCCCGGCTGAGGGGGGTGCAGGATGGTGGCTCTGACGCGACGAGACAGAGTATACATCGACCGAGTCTTCCCTACGAGGCTGCTGGGAAGGGATACCGTCCTTATGACGCTGCTGGGAAGTGGGGATTCCATCCCGACGATGTTGAGAAGAGGGAATTTCATGCTGGCGATGTCGCTGAGAAGATGGCATCACAACCCGACGTTGCTGAGAAGAGGGGATTTCAACTTGACGATGTTGAGAAGAGGGGATCTCATCTTGACCATTCTGCTGAGAAGATGGCACCTCATTGCGACGACGCTTCTTTTTTGGCCGCGCAGAAGGAGTATGGTGAGGATCCCGTGGTTGCGGGCGCTGGATCGAAGACGGAGGGGGAACGACCACCTGCATACTATCCGCCGGGGGCGACGTTCTCACCTTCTTATGAGAGCTGGGAACGTCAGAGAGATGCCAAAACCAACCAGAGACATGTATCAACATACACCTTAGGAGGCATGTCCTCGGGACGATAAGAGCATTGCCCGTGCAGTTTTCGCTTTATGCATCCTCCGCAGACTGGCTGGTGTTAGCTCACGTCGCATACGAGGATACCTAGAACAGACCAGGTACGGCCCTGTCGCAGCCGCGCCTCTTTAGGCGGCAGACGCAACAGGGAGTAGAGGGAATAGTCATGCCGCAAGCCAGTAAGCAGCGTTCAATCAGATGTTGGTTCTGAGGGATCATTGTTAGTGAGGCTGTCCTGGCGGGATGGGTGGGTGCCTGTCAGTGGGGACATGCCTTGGGGTAAACAGCCAGGTATATACTATACACCTTTGATTCGATCGTGTATATAGAACAGTATATGAAAATATCGTCAAATTTACTCCTCGATGCCGAAAATAGCGAGATAATATGGAGTAACGATCCCATAACAGCTCACCCAGCCAGGGAGCACCAGCGGACAAGGGAAAACCAAATGGCTGGGATTCCGGCAGCGGGCGCGGCAACTGGCGCTTCCGCTCCGTTCCCGTACCCCGTTCTTTCAGTTCCTACTATGATACTACTACTTATACTCCGCAATCTCAATCAACCTTCATTCATTCATTCCCCCATTTAAGTATACTCCATACTCCATACTTCCCCATTACCCAACAACTCAACCCCCCACAAATACTAGAAGTAACTATCCATCACACCCATGACTCCCCTCCTGCGGCGGATCCTGACACCCACTCTCACACAACTTGGCATGTCCAATCTGGCCTGGATTCGTACAATGGAAGAGAATATTCCCCAGGTCTTCGGTCTCGTAGCCTGTGCCTTGCAGGGCGGCGGTTAGGTCATCTTGCGAGAAGCCTGCATCATACCTTCTATTAACAATCTACCACTTTATGAAAGGCATAAGGGAAGGGGGTGGGGGGGGGGATGGGGCTCACCCTTCGAGTCGAGGAGGACGTCCGAGCAGTAGTCGAAACTTGGGGTGCAGGTTTTGTCGGCTAGGGTGGTGATGGTTAGGGTTAGGAGGGTGGTTAGGATGGTGGTTGGTTTCATGGTAGGTGGTGGTGGTGGTGGTGATGGTGATGATGATGATGGTTGTAGAAGGGGTCTGGGGGCGGACTGGGGAGGGGGTAGAGGGATGGGATGGGATGGGATGGGGGTTTATATATGGGTGGATGGCATTCTTGGGATGGGTTGCGGGGCGGGAATGTGCTGCGTCGTGTGGTATGTAGCCTACTGTCAGTATGGACTATGAGGTACTAGGTGGATGACTGCTTCACAGTAAAAACATTATTATCTATATGGCATATGGCATATGGCATATGGCAGCCGCCTGCCAGGTAACAGAGCCAGGTAACACAGCCCTATATCCATCCGTCATAAGGCATGAACAATCGGTCCTTGGACCCGCAACTGATGTACATGAACCAAATACACGCGCATTGCGTCAATTTCTGCACAGAATCAAAGCCAGCCCGTTTGCACGGGAATCGAGGACCCTCGGGAGCGCAATCTCAAATCGCATGCTGCCCGACCAGACTATAACGTTCAATTTCAGATCTGCGGATCAGCTTAGAACCACATGACACCCACCACCAGACCGATCACAATGGCCATGCAGCTCCCCCGGCGCATTTGCTCCGATTCCTGTTGGAGTCCAGCGACCTTGGACTGTCCGGCAGCCATCGCGGTGCTGTTCGGTGTCGATGTAGCGATTGGCGCAGAATGGTTTGCGTGGATGTCGCTGCCTTTCACCATCGCTTTTGGCATAGCCATTGGCTCTCGGGGCTGAACCGCACCGGACGAGCTGTTGCTCGAGAGGCCGGAGTGTGGCGGAGCACCAAGCCCCTGCCAAGCAGTCATGTTCTCGAAATATTCGCTCCCGGCGCGGCAGACCTGCTGCCACGACGCTCGGGATACATTCAGCAACCACCGAGACAGCTCGACCACGCTGCTGGTAGTCGGTATCGTCTCACTATACGAGACCAAAAGTCCGTTGTCGGATGGTATAGGGATAACGGAGGAATTGATACGCGACGTAAGCAGCGTAGGTACTTTTTCGGAGTCGCCTTCGTCCGGTAAAGAGGGAAGCAATCCAGGATCAGGCTGCCTGACCACCATTGCTTTGAACGCGCGCACCCCTCGAGTAAAAGCGGACGATTCTCGGGCCGCATAGGCTAGAGGATCGGTATCAAAGACGGCCGCAGCCTCAAAGGCACTCCGAGCCGGCGCATCCACCGCGCAACGTCGTGGGCGAGCTTTGCGATCATAATATGGCTCGGAGTACCCATCTAGCAGCCACGGCTTCCACTGTCCCCCAGTAACCCGAAATCGTGATCGAACATCGGTCCAGCTATCTTTGACCCGGGAAACCTCTGTAAAACCACTATCGTTAGCGTCTGACTCAGCTAAACACCTTGAAGGGAAAAGGGGCCATACGTCGAACCTCACTGCGATAGCCAATATACCCCAAATGCAAATTGGACAAGTCCCATTCCTTGGCCAGCGACGGCACCAAAGTAAACAGCGAAAAGATCAGGAGCGCAAGAAACGGAATGGCTCCGGGTTTCTGAATCCCCGACCGCATCATCCACGGCGAGCGACCTGTCGGCCGGACTCGTTCCAATCCTCGAAGCAACAATATTCTAACAACCAAAGAGGGTCCCGCGTGTATGAGAGGCTTCCGAAACAAACAGCTTCATTGCCAGACAGACCAGGGACAAAAAAATCGAAACGGTGGTAATCAAGGTTCGGAGGGTTTATGCATGTATGGAGATGCGTCGCAGCCTCGTAAGGGTCCTTTGGCAAACGAGTTGCGCGCGCAGCCTTGGGCCTTGTTCTGTTGCTTTTTTCAGGGTCTTGCGCTGGATCTGCGTCTTCGCTTCTAGGCGATGATGTCGATCAGGCGGTCGGACGGTCGGGAAGCAGGCGCGTCTTGCGATCGAACCCCGGCAACGAGGACGGACAACACAGGATGGTGGGGAAGACGTGGAGGACGAGGAGGGGCTTGATTTGGCACGGGTCAGCAGGAATGGGAGATGAACTTTCTCCAATGCGCCCGGATGCTGCAGGAGGAGATCACCGCCGAATGACGTAAAAGACACCCCCAAGAGTCGCAACGCTTGCGATGAAGCGCTGGTTGCCAAGTCAATCGGGTTCTGTATGGTAAGAAACGGGAGATGGGACCCGTAGAGTTTAGATAGTCTGGTCGGGGACGCCCCTGAGATGGCAATTTCAATTAAAGCCTGCAGGCACCCGTCAATCTTAATCGCCAGGAAGATAACGAACGACTCCTCGTATGTCGAACTCAGGAGAAATCGAGCTCTGGAACTGTTGCCTGAGCCGGCCCGTTCATGCATCGGCGGTAATTTTCTCGTCCGGCCCGGTATCAGGGTACGCGGTATTTTACCGGTGGGGGGTTGCCTCAGGCGACAATGCGGTGGCCTCCACCGGGCATCAACAAGAGATCCATTGCCCAGTGGCCATTGGCAGAGACATACAATTGTAGACTGCAGTACCCTCCGGTGGGGTTCATGACATCAGCCAGTTACATCTCTATCTACATCGTAGTATCTACACGTCGCCTCATCGCTCATACTATCCACATGCCCAATTGCCAAGTCTATCGCCTCAACACCGATACAGGATAATACAGAAGTCGACTAAAGTACAGACACCGTCAGAAGAATATACAGTCGTAAAGGTAGATCTCAAATGGGGTTCATCATGGTAGGATCAGGAACAGCCGGAGCCACTTCCCCGCCCGTCGGCCAGGCCGTGCGTGTGGGCGAGGTGTTTGGAGGCACTCGTGGGGCGGGCTTCTTCAGCGTCGTTCGAGAGGACGGTGTCTGACTGCCTTCACTGCGCCCGTCCAGGGTACTACCTCCCGCAGTGCTCGTTTTCCTACCCCGCTTCACCATCTTGCCCAAGATCCCCACGATCTCGGCTGCATCTTCAAAGCTCTCGTCGTCCATACCCTCTTGCGCGTTGTATACATCGGCAATGGCTTGCTTGGCCAATCGTCGACAGGCGTTGGCATCGTGCAGGCAATCGTAGAGGTAGGCGGCAAATTCGAGCTTGATGGAGAGACGAAGTGGATGAGATCCCGGGAGAAACCGCTCAGCCAAGGCAGCAGCATGGTTGAAACATGCGGTAGCCGTGGGTGTGTAATCGAGAGCAGGGAGAAGAAAAGCAGAGATCGATTTGGGGGGTTGAACCGGGGCAAAGCCCGGGGGCGCCTGCGTAACCTTGGCTCGTGGCGCATCATCCGAACTGGGCTTCCCGGATACCGTTATCACATCAGGCTTTGCTTGGAATGAGAATCTCGAACTGGAATCCTTGGGGGACTCCGCTTCGGTAATGCCATTTGACACGGGTGTGCTGCTCGGGAGACTAACAATGCCCGGCGAGTGGACAGCAGGCTGGTTATGGAACAGAACGAATATGTGGTAGAAAGAGGCTCGCAGTTTGTAGGCGAGAATCTTCAGTTCCATATATTCCTCAACCATCGGAAGAACAACCTCTTCCAAAATCAGGAGGCCCTCACGGGAAAGCCATATAATATGATAATAAAGATGAAGGGATTTGGTTTCTCGGGTGGGATCCAGGCGTCGCAGCCGTCGTGCACGGAGAAGTTTCTTGGATAGCATAACCGACAGCCCAAGAATCTTGTAGAGCATTGCGGACAGAAACGGATGCTCGAGGCTCGTGATGGCCGCAAAGTTGCCCAAGGCCTTCTGGTCTACCTCGGAGGAAGCCATCCACAATGCGATCGAGCCAGCTTCTACCGAAGGGCAATTGCCAGTCAAGTTAGCCACATCCAGGTGTAACCCAACAACCTCGGACGGGAGGATAATTTCGTGCAGCATTGGGTCATAGATTGTAAGATCACCCAGCGGCCACCGCTAGCCCACCGCGCCCACATAAACAGATGCAACAAAGTGAAACATGCAAAGCGCCAAGGATCTGGAGTCTTACCTCGGACGCGCGCGCAAACGATGTATAGTACAGATCAGCTGTCGCAAACGCCAAAGCTTCCCATGCTCGTGTTTGGCGCCTAAAGCTAATATGTCTGGGTTTTAGGTTGCTCCAATGCAAACACTCAGTTGCACTGGCAAAGTTATTTGCGTGCGCTCGTTTCGAGTCGATTCGTCGTGTTTGTGGTCTTCAATGCCGCGTTTGAGATAGCTGATTAGTTGTGCACCCTCGGAGATTCCCAGCGTTTGAAGCACGAAGCCGCCAACCGAAAAGATGTTACATATGTCAGCAATTAATACTCCTTGGGACACCGTTGGGAAGCAATGCAGCGGGTGTAGAGTAGATTGTTCTAGAAAGCAAAAGTTGAACCAAACCGGAAGCCGCCCAGGGAGTCCTAGTTACCTGGTACTCGTCCTGTCAATCGCCCTGCACGCAAGATTTCAGGTAGAGCGCAACAGGATAAAGGTGGAAATTATAAATGCAAGGCACGGAAAAGGGAGCATTCGTTACAACAAGTGGCAAGGAGCTGATAGTTCTGAGGTAGGAGCCAGTCTTGATGCATCGTGTGCAAGTAGGTGCAGTAAGGCGTTAGCCTTGCTTCTTGCCAGCGACGGCACTGCCCACGAGATTGGGGCCAAAAGCAGAAGCAATCGTGAGATTACCCCATGTATGAAGCCTGCTCGTGTGTCAAGCAACCAAATATTGGCAGCTTAGGAGGCAAGTCCGCCAATTGAGGGGATTCTCCGGTCGCTGCGGTGCGAGAATGGGGGAATACGGCCGATAATGAAGGATTGTGCGGAGCAATGATGCAAGGGCAGGTTATCTGCCCGGATGAGATTTCCCTGGCCACAGCCAAGTGGATGAAGCCACGGCAGTACGGAATGATGATGCCGGGCTAGTCGAGGCGAGTGATCTGAACCGCGGCAATCTCCACTATACATATAAGGCGGATGGATCCCCGCTTCTGTAGTGGACGTAGTAGGTAGTCTGTAGATACGATAGAAGCGGTCGGAGTTATATTCTTCTTGTCCCATCCAATTGTGCTTGTCCTCGCCATGACGGAGAAGAGGTCGGGCACCAATCGCAGCAATGATTAGGAACGCCATGGTGTGGATGACTACCATCACCCAAACGAAAAAATAATTACGAAGGGCAAGGTGGCATGTTGGCTGGTCCCGTCCAGATGCGAGCCATTGGGCGGAGGGACAGCGCATCAGTTAGTTTGATACGTGTCAGAGCCCAACTGCTGATTTTCCCTGCCTTGCAGCTTCTGATCCAGCCGAAAGGATGAGATAGGCATAGCACGGTGGATCGCCTGTCGCCAGCCTCTCCTTCGGCAGCAAAAGTAACACATGGGCTCCGAGAAGTGTTGCAGCTGGCCAACCCATGGCTAACTCTAGCTCCGTAGCTCTGTGCCTGAGCGAGCCGCCCCTGAGACGGGTCGACCGACTAGACTGCAAGTGGGAAGCTCGGCGCCCGCGCGCTTCTCAACACGGGGATGGCGGTAGAAACGGATGACAGCTGGCGGGCGCTGCCAGGCTTGCCAGCGTGGCATCGGAAGCATCGGTGCGTCTTCCATCATTCCATGGGGCTGTGAAGGGCCATGGCATTTAGATTATACCCGCAGATGTCAAGTGATGATATCAGTGGCCCCGTCATACGCATCGACAGGAGGAAGTGGTCGAGGGAGAAGAGAAAGATGACAACCGACCTCATCTTCATTCCTCCAAGGCTCCAACCGTCGCGGCAGTTCCCCACCGCCTTCTCCATACTACACAGAAGGTACCAGACGAATGGAAGCAATCTATATCCAAGGTCATACTAAATATTGACCACTAGCAAAGGCCAAAATTAGAATAATATATACACAGCAACAGATGAGTAACCAGCAAGGAAACATCGTGACCATAACATCGTATATCTCCTGTCCACCTCGCGGCAGGCAGGAACATCATTCTATATCGTCAAGTTCGTCACTGTCCAAAGTCCCAACAAAAGCTCTTTCCAGGAATGCCCTCCACACCCGGTTCTTCGGCTTCTTGTTCTTCTTCTTTTTTTCAATTTCCAAATCTTCTCCACTGTTGTCGACGGACTCGGCATCCGTGTCAAATTCGTCCGCGGTCGCATCCTGCGCCCATAGATCGTCTTTACCCAACCGGTTCTTAGCAATTCGCTTCGCTAATTTGAAGAAACTGCGCACGGTAAGATCGTCCATCTTGTAGAGCTTGTCGTGTCGGGTGTCGTATTCGACCTCAAACGTGAAGACATCGCGGTGCTTCATCTCGTGCGCATCCCCTTGGTCGAGATCGTCTGCCAACACTTCCTGATGTTTAGCCATCTGGCTGTTGATCTTGGTCAAATTGGCATAGTACTGGGTATAACCGAGCCAGGTTAACGCCTGGTTTGAATAAGCCGGCCCCGGAGGAGTAGTCGACGATGGAGGTACAGGGACCTTGGCCTGTGGCTTTTTCTTCTTTCTGTCCTTCTTGTCCTTCTTATCCCCCTTCTTGTCCTTGTTCTTCTTGTCCTTATCCTTCTTCCCCTTGTCTTTCTTCTCAGCGGACAGCTCATCATCGACAGCTTCCGGGATATCCATATCCAAGCCCTTATGGATCGAAGCATCGGCCCAAGTCATCGTGTCTTCCAAGCCGGTGATGTTATACTCAACCACCCGCAGGGTAGGAAAGAAATTCGGCACCACACTAGGCGACACCAACGAAACACTGTACCTCTCGGCATAAGGACCACCGATCTTCTTCAAGAAGCGCTTCTTTTTCTTCGGTTTTGAGCTCTTTGCACCTTCCGTGGTGACATCACCATCGAGCCATTCGTCCGCAATGAAGGTGTCTTTCGGCATACCATCCGGCGGAGACGGCAGGCTGGACCAGTCGTCCCGGAGACTGAAAAGATAGTCATAACGGGATTGAATGGAAATTTCACCCGAGTCGTCATACAGATCAGACAGCACAGCTGCACGGGCGTCGGCAATCTTCACCTTGTGACTGTCCTGGAACATGAAGTGGTCGATATTCATATGCCCATATGCACTACCGACCACGACGTCCCGGAACCGGTTCACGAACAACGTGTACTTTTGCCAGCAGGTTTCATCCCAGCTGCGCTTGGTCCCGGATCTAGCGGGAGGGACATGACCTATCAGAATGGCTTTCATGTGACGAGTCCGCAGCAACTTTAGTTGAACATGCAACCACTCCATATGCTCATAGCCTGGCTCGGATTTCGCGTTGCACCCATCGACGGCAGAATTGGAATCGAAAAAGTACAGAGTGTTCAAGCTGATGACGGCCAGCTGATCGGGAATCACCTCCGAGACAAACCAGCCACCTTCCACAAAACTATGGCGTTGATGCTCGGGTATAAATTTGTGCCACACCTCTCTATATTGCTTCGTCCACCGATTCGGCCCGGTCTTGAAGATATTATGTGGCATGATATCGTTGTTCCCAAGCGTTGGTACAATCGGGATGGAGAGACCATGGGTTGCGCCCTTTCCCTTGAAGACCTCGGCAAATTTATCCGCCATGAATTGATTCAAGTCGATGATCTCTTCGGCCGTGCGAGGGTTCCTCTCATCGTTGTCATGTCGCGCAGAGTCGCCAGTCCAGATGACGAAGTCAATGTTGTTCTTGAGGTTATCCTCGATCCAGCGAAAGGTCTCGTTGATAAGGGCAAATGGCGAGTCGCATTCGGTTTCTTCGGCTCCAAAGTATCCCGCCGAGCCATCACCTCTATGGCACCTTTTCTCGTCAGAAGTTCCGGGTTGGTAGTACGAATCTGGGTGGAAATCTTGGTAGGATCAGCATCACCGTTCTCCTCGCGGCCCTGATGTCGCGCAGATCAAGAAAGCACGTACCTGTTATGTGCAGAAAGCGCCCCGAGAGCCCCCGGGAGGACTCGGCACCCGCGGTGGGTGGCTCAAATTCGGCCCCATTCTGGAACCCATCACCCAGCGGCTGTTGTTCCAAGACCGGAAAGGCGGACACATAGGTTCCTAGGAGCGGAAGCACCGAAAGTAGTCGAATCGGAACCATTGGGAAAGTTGTGAGCAGGCGGCGAAACCCCGACGATGCGGGAAATCAGAATGAACCTTGACCAGTCGAGTCAGACATAAGTAGACATTGAGCACGCGACCTCGATGAAGAAAAAAAAGCGAAACGAAGCTAACGACAACACCAAAAGGTAGCGAAACCGGGGCTAATTACATGAGATGGAGATTTTGGTCGCCTGGATCGTCGTCGACGTCACAGCTCAAGGCCAGATCGGGACAAGCGCGAGGAAGCGGGTGGGACCCACTTTGTTGTTGCGGTTGACAATTTGACCACCACGAAAAGGCCAGCACGGAACTGGGTGGTCTGGCTGGCATTTAAATGTCGGCCTGGCAAGAGACACGCAACCGCTTGGGACATCTGACTCTGGGATTTCAGTCGGAATTGTTCCAGCAGATCAGGTGTGTACATACCAGACTCTCCAACGGTACCGGAAGGAGCAGCGAGGCGGCAGTGCGGTGGCAGTCAAGGTCCCCCCTAATGTAAGGTACCTACAGCCTGTACCGTCGCCTGGCCAGCCCACGTGCCTGCAATCGACAAGCAGATTGTAGGACGCCCTTAGTCATCGCTTGTCTTGCTGGACCCTCTCCGGATGCTTTCTCCCACCGTCTCAGTCACTTCACCCCCAAGGTCGACGCGCGCTGGCCGCATAGCTGACCGAGCCAAGGCTGTCGTCGTTGTGATAGGCTCTCCAGCCCCGAGCGACTGGAGGGTGGATGGCACTATTCCCTGTCCTCCATTGTCGGGTGGTTTATTAGGTGATCGGAAATCGTAACGTTAACAGCCAGCCTGTACACGAGTCAGTAGACATTCGGACATGGATGGGGAAGATGCGGTTACAGTCGGTGGCAGCTGACGATGAGGGATATCTGCCCACACGAGAGACCAAGCAAAGGGAAGGATGGAGTAAAAGGCACGAATATAAAAATAGAAGAAGGTCAACCGATACCAGCCATGTTGATCCTACCCCGCCATCGCAGCATCTGACTCGGACTAGCTCAGTGCTTCGATGCCGCACTCAATACGGAGTCGAGGGGTATTGCATTCCGGACAGCTAAGAAATAAAAGTACCCGAAGGACTTAACCCACGGCGAGATGATTGACCTCGCCTGTCACCATCGGGGACATGCCATAGGTTGGCCGGTGCTTGTGGAACAGGGGCCCTGACCCCTCACCGAGCAGCGGGGCTTATACCGAGCCTTATCATCCGGCTCACTTCGGAGCTGTCTGACAGCTGATTTCTCCCCATCAACACAGCTCTTGACTACACTCAGCAGCTCTAGCTCATCAAAGCAACCATGTCCGGATTTCCTACTCTCCAGCCCGCCTTTACCTTTAAGGTCCGTATCGCTATCCTCCACCCAACATGACATGACTAACCGTCTCACGGTGAAGGTCACGATCGATGCCCCTCTCGGTGTCGGTAAGTCCATCGTAAACCTTCCTATGGAGTAGACTGAAGATCACAACGCTAATTTCATCTAGGCAGTGCCTCTCGGCAGAATAATCTGCAGGTCGTCGTAAGCACACTCGGATCCTCCCGTTCACAAGATCATCAGTAACATTCCAGCATGACCACAGCCCATGACCGGTGGCACGGTCAAAAGCGAGCCTGGATTCTCCCCTGCCCTGGATGCGGAATTCGTGGGTATCGGCAATGACTACATCCATGCGGATGCTGATGGCAAGCACTTGCGGCTGGATGCTCATGGCGTTATCAAGTAGGGATCTTGTGTCTGGATCGCTGTGCATTTTAATGACTGAATATAGGCCCAAGGATGGAGAGGATGTACGTGAATGGATTAAGATCTGTCAAAGACAGTGACTAACATGGAATAGCTCATCTACCTGAATTACACTGGTATTTGCACGTTGATGCCCGAAGTCATTGCCGTCTTTGCTGGAGAGTCTCCGAACGGCTCGACTCCATTCAACACTGCCTGTGAGTCGGTCCTTTGTGAACCACAAGATACATTTAGCTAATGGTCATGAACTAGTTACCCACATTACCTTCGAGGTTAGTATACCAGTGTCTGTAAACGACCAACAACTAACAACAACAGACCGGCAGCGAGCGCTACAAGGAACTGGAGCACCGCGTGTTTGTCGCCCAGGGCCGCTTCAACGTCGAAAAGGGCAAGCCCACCGTCGTAGAGTACCACGTCAGCCAGGTCGTCCAGGGCTAACCTACTACCTACCTACTTTGCTCGATACTAGGTAATAAGCCCGTAGCAGCAACAACAATGACAAGACCCCGCTTGACAATCAAATTCATCTCCCATACGGAGTACAGTAACATCATATCCATACATCCATCATAACTCATAATAACAACCCCATCCCACCTCACCCCAAATAAACGACCCCTCAATCAATCGATACATACCACTACTCCGTAGTAGTAATGATAAACATCACCCCCTCCCCCCCAACAACGGCCTCCTCTCCCCATCCCCCACCATCCCATCCCCCTCCTCC